GCGGATTCCTGAGAGCATGGGTGCACTTCCAGCCACGAAGTCAGTGGCGACCCCCAGCTCGAGCGTTCATGCATCGACTTCTCTCCGCTCGCGACGAGCAATGGCGGGACACAATCGCCCCCTCAAACGTCCCCGCGGCTACTCTGGAATTCCAATCCCCAGAATCTGAATTTGCCTCTCGGACGCTTCTCCCCGGGCGGCTTGTGTGTCACATTGCGAATGGATGTGCACTGCGCATCCGGTGGGTCGATGAGACAGAAGCAGTGCGGTTTCTGTTGGGTATACTTGGACGGCCAGCTAGCCCTCAATTAATTAGGTGAGCGCGTGGTAGGCAAGAGACCCCTACAGTAGTAGTAGGTCCCAGCCCATCTGAAGTAGAACCGACTCTCGTACTCCGAAAGCTACGCCGAAATTGTCGGCACCGCCGCTTCTGACAGCTCGCACCGGGTCTAAGCGCCGCACTGATGCGCGACGACGGTTTAATAGGAGTAAAACTTTAATGCTCGTCTAAGGCTGAGCCACAGAGGAGCTATCAATTTTCGAATGCACGCCTGAAGACTCCGGGGAAGAGCCACCGACGTAGCTCTACGCTTGCTTGGTGTCCGAGTCAGTGGTAAACAGTGCAGACGAACCATTGCTCTCCATCAATACCTTCAAGCCCAATCTTGGGGTGCCTGGACGGCCTCCAACTGGCTCCAATCCGTTGAGGCTGGTCCCACCCGTTCCACTTTTCGCACCGGCATCGTCGATCCATGTCGTTTCTTGTCGATCTTGTCGCGGGTCAGATTTGACCCCCAATCGCTCCCTCTATCTTCATCGATCGAACCCTCACTCAAGAATACCACTATCACCTTCCATGCCAGCACACGAGCAACAATGAATCGATGTTTCATGCAGGTTAGTTTCAGGATACCTTTTGGCCACCGAGCAAGAATGATCGGCGTCAGCAGATATGAGATGTGTCATCCTGCAATAACCACCGGGACTATTGTACTTTGTTTCCGTCCCAGGTTCCTGGGTCCCTCTGGTTCTCCCAACGATCCAATTGCCGTCTCATTAGGTCCAGACTTAGTGTCAGCCCTGAATAGCCGGGCCACTCGCGGTCATTCTTTTTTTTACGCCGTTCACCCGGCATTCTGGGGCTGGATCATCTGAAACTCTCTCCATGGAGAAGTATTCATGTAGCCTCATTTACGCCTACTGAGTTTAATCACCTTTGCTGGTCTCTGCTCTAGCTCCCGCAAGTAATCCCAGCACGGACTTGAATCGGCCGCAAGGGCCAGGAGGAAGCCAGAGTGTCCCCAGACATTGCGGGAGCCCCTGCATCCCAAGGGATGACTTGCTTACTGCTTGGGCTCTATCGGTTATCTTAATCTGCCAAGACACTCATTTTATCCTCCAGGGTGCCAAAACCTTGGAAGTGACGGCCCACTACGGCAATTATTGTTAAAGAAAGGGTTCGAGACACTCGATTGATCGGTTGATAGGGCAAACTGCCAACATTTTTACTCGCGCACAGCAGTGCTGAGGCCACCGCATAATTATTTGGTTCGCGGGGAGAGAGTTTGAATAGCGTCTTGTGAATCTGAGCTCCATTGTCACATCGAGTCATACCATTCGGGGAAGCCTCTTCAGCCAAGCCTGGAACTGACTTGAGACGCCACCAGAGGCTTGGTGGCAATGAGCCTAGGCCATTGTGGCTGACCGTGACATCGAGGCATCCAAATTTCGTACATACCTCTTGGCTGTCTGTGCTTGCCTCGTCATTGCATCGGAAAACCTTCACATTTGATCAATTGCCACTGCTCGCGCTTCGGGATTTGGTGCATCAATTCCACGAGCGCTCGTGATGCATTCAGGGGCTGCAATGGGCTGGGCACGAAGCCCGGTTGGTCTTTCTGAATTGTAGTGAGAAACATCCAAGAATCAACAATTTGAACCATTGCATGGCCCACTGTTGCCCATATTTGATGCTCAGGCACAAATCGCCTTTCATTCGGCCATCACAAAATTAGAACCTAGACGCTACGCTAAGTTGATTGTTGACCAGGAACACCCGGACATCCCCCTTCACGTAAAACCCAATCGAGTCTCTGGCATCTGGACATACATTAGCACGATTATCACAGTTGGTACCAGGTACCCGGGCCTTGTGATTGGCACTAGTGGTTTTCGATCTTTCTCAGACCCCTGTCGCACCAAAGGCCGAACGCACCAAGGTCCCAATCATAATCGACCAGTCAGAAGTCCCAGCTCAGATCACGCAAAAATATGCAGGTCTCTCGACCCTGCGCACAGGCGAGGTACCAGCGGTCGATCATTTTGCGGGGAAAATCCAGAATGGTCAATTCATACACATGGACCAATAGAGCCCCTTCCAGCATACCATGATGTTGATCCTCTACTATGATTTGTGTTATCATCTGGGGTCGAAACATTCCTCGGTGTGTCCTCACATCATCCGCCTACACGGATATGGGGCAAGTGGTAAGCATCACTGTGGTTTATTTTCTTTGTGCAGCAACGGCCACTCACATTCAGTCAGTTGCCCGTTATCAGGCGTTTTGTGGCTTTACCTTGTATTAACGTATCTCGCTTCAGCGATAGGTGCATACTTCCGCTAGTCCTGTGCTTAGGTTCCTTATGATCTTCATTAGATCGATGAAGTATGAGAAGTGGCACTCTAGCTTTTCGGAGAAAACCAAGTGAGCTCCTACCAGCTCTGTAATAACAAATCGCTGAGATCAGTAGGAGCTCTAGGCCGGTGGTAGATATCATTCAATCAGCCGGAGATAAATAATATTGATTCCTCTCTCCCGGCATATCTGTCTGAAAGTTTGTTCAGTTCCTGGTTTTTCGGCATCTAGTATGATTTTCGCAGCCCGGTTGAGAGCGCCGTCCTATGAGAGAGAAGATACTGACAAAGATATTCTGCAACACACATCAATAGTAATGTGAGCCAATGCAAAAGCCCTATTCGAGAAAACTGTTCCTGAGGCTTTGATGGTCCGCTCACCCCTTCTTTCACTGTCCCCACCCCCTTGCAGCTCCACTTTCTTTTTCCACCAACGGCCGTTCCCTCGATATCTAAGACAAAAATGGAATTGCCATAGCGAAGAATCGGAACCAAAAAAAAAAAAGAAGAAAAAAAAACAAGAAGCTGTCAATTCTTGCTTTTTCTCAACGTAGATCAGTCAGTACCTTTGTAGATTCCTTAATTATGTTGACTCGCATCACAGCACGTCCCATCACCTTGCGTCGTTGGTTCCGGTTCCCAGAATACTGCACCTAGTGGAAGGTTAATTTCCAGCAGAGCCCTACGAGTCCTTCCCGTGACATGTTTCCCCGGTAAATTCGTACCAAGGGTGGTGGATCGTGTTTGGGTAGAGGGTTATCTGGCGTTCTAGGAGTTCGTCCCTGTCGCCCTCGTGTTACCCCAGGGTCAAAGGGCCGCGACAGAGGGGAAAAAGGATTGTATTCTTAATGTTTATCAAGCAATTGACACAACACAGACAGCCCAAACCATCTCCTTCAATCGCACCCAAGCGTTGTCTGAGCACACAGACCACGCAAGCAACGTCATAGCGTTGAGTTCCTCTGCGCATGCCAGACACCTCAATAGCGCAGTAATCGGGTGGGCAGCAATGCACAAAGCCTCAATATAAGCCTAGTGGGATCTGAGCTACCCCGGGGCCCCCCTAATGGCCCAAGTCGAGCCTGATCGATCTGCCGTGATCAACCCTGCACATCACACATGCCAGACATTCCTAGCAGATCAGACCAAAATGGTAGGAGGGCATCCATGCACAGCACGTCCCAAGGTGTCTTGGACAAAGCCGCAGGGGATTGGCTAGCTGAGTCTCTCACTGTTCTCTGAGAAGAATCCAAATGACATCATATTATTCTACCCTTGCTCCAAGGGCAGATAATGGCGTGTGCTCTTTTGGTCGACCAGCAGCGCGCTACACTGTATGGTTTCATATCTATTGAAGTAACGCAGTGTTATACGCGGTATCTTCCTTGATTTCGATATCAAAGTACAGGACGTGTTCAATATATTGCGCCCAGTCTCAGTGGGGTAGCGTTGTATGAATCCCGGGTGATCTCCTGCAACGCGAATCACTGCGTCTAGGCCCTGTACGATATGTCCGTGCTAACTATGGGGGGGAGGGTAGTATTTTGTAATGATTCTAGTGAATGTTAGGAGTGGTCTACTGAAGGCGTTGAGTGAACAGAAAATGCTGTATTGTGAGGAGGGGCTCTTTCTAGGTTGAATACACAGGCGCTGATAGCTAGTCATGAAAGTTGGCACCCCGTCGAAGATGAATCCTTTCTTGTGCACAAGCTGGATTTTATTAATTACATCAAGGTATACTCAATGATGAATATTGTTTAGTTCCATCCTATACTATGTAGAAAGTGCTTATCTACTAATAGTGTACTGCGATCAGGCGATGCTGGTCACTAGAAATGGTAGGGTGCTTCCAAGTTCCAATATTGGAAGGTTGATTAGAAATTGGATATATCAGTAGCTGTAATAAGTTCAAGTTAATATTGGGATTCCTCGTGGGTGTCTTCTACTGGTGCCAGCCTACTAGTACCTACCTAGGTAGATAAGTTCAACTTCAAGTTGTTGTTCCGATGCCGTACTGGGTGGACGCTGATATATATCCCTGTCTCCAAGCTCCATTGGAACCGCACAACATTCACCTGCGCACCTGGGCAAGTTCACTGACAAACGCTGGAGCGTTCCGCATTTCTCTTTCAAGTTTCTCACTAGTAGTACTGTACTTGAATAGCTTCAGGCGAATTTCCAAGTTGAAATACATCCTTGACCGGAGTGGTGAAGTCTACTCCCCCAGCTGCCATGCATTCCAACCATCGAGGGCAAGGCACAACTTGAGAAATGACGCTAACTTCAGGACTGACCAGACATTTGATCCTTGACGTACTTGACTCTTTGAAAAGAAACAAACCTCTCACTACATCCGACGATCACCATGTTTACTGGCGGGCTGGGTCTATCAGCTATCCCACTCTCCGGTTGGCGAAGCAAACAACGACCCCGGGAAATGGATGCCTTCGACGAACTCTCACCCAAACACGCAGAGACCCAGAAGCGAACACCTACTCTCATCCGACTATCCAAATCCGTTTATTTGGGCGTTATCAGCCACCGATCCACCAGCTCAAGACCCACCAACGCCCGACAGAATGTACGCAGCCGACGGAAGAACATGGGTCAGCAATCACCATGGGATCCCAGAACAAACCAGTCGGACCAGCAATGCCTCATCTCCGACAGCCGACACGAGTCCCGGATGCCTCGAGCCGAGCATGGGCGCCTTCTAGTCCGTGTGACGGACGAGGAAAAAGCAATGAGCGTGACAGAAACCCCCGAGAAGCATCGCGACCGATCGTTGACGAATGGACCAGGCCATTGCCATACCGCCCAGACCAGATTAAAAGCCCCGGGGAAACGCCTGTACCGTGCGGCCAGCCGCAATTTGCGCTGGCGATGATTTGGACGTTAGAAGATGGAACCGGGAGTGATGGCTTTTTCTGGATCTGATTCGGATCGAATGGTATAATAAGGTATTGGGGGGCGGGGGGGGGGAGGGGAGGCAGGTCTATTGCGAATGGAGCAGGGCACCTATGCCTGAAATGGTGACCAGGTGTGTCATACCGAGAATTGCGTACTCAGATGGCCAAGTCAGAGGATGGTCGTTGATGCAAGGCTGTGCGACGGTGATTGCCTCGCATGGGATACTATGGAGTATGTAGTCTCATACTAGAAATGGTGCTCAAGTTGAGATCCAGATATCTCCCGGGCTAGTTAGTACTTGATCAAAAAAGCGGGTTCCCCTTCTGTGCCAGTGATTTCATGCGCGTTGAATCCATTAGAAGTAGATGTATGGGGGATCATGGTTAGTATATTACTCACACCATATGCCCGGCTATACTGCATGCCCAGATGTGCAAGCCTTGGAAACCAAGAGGGGATTGGATAGGTAAAATTCCTAGGTATCAAATTCTGCAAGTAATAGTAGTCGTGGGCTCCCAGTGGAATATTTTCCTTATTTCCCCTATTTTAATGAATCAAATGCCCACTGGCAGGTGTCCACGGTGTCAATGTGATGTATATATTTCTCCTCCCGCCCAACTTCCTCCACCTCCACCTTCTCCTTCTCCACTCTCCACTCTTCACTCTTCAAGGTTGAACTCAAGCTTTGTTCCGTCAAGTACCAGTGAATGCCCAGGTGTTCAAAAAATACTCGCCATGGGATGAATCATTTCTTTCAAGTTCCTTGTTTAAGCCTTTTAACTTGAATTGATGAATGCCGAACCCCGCTGCAATGAGATTGTTCTCGGCCCCCATTGGAAACAAAGAATGCCCAACCCCTGTCTAGATGGCCCCTAAATCACGTCAAGACACGTCGACCATCAACGTGGATAGGCCCATGATGACAATGAGTCTTATCTCAGCGGGGGAAATGGGAGCCCAGCAAATCGGGTGCGTTGCCCAGGCACTAACAGGTAGCCTCAACGTCGGAGTTGCTTGACTTCGAGCTCCGAGAGGCTTGATAAGCTGGCGATCAGGCTGTAACTTCAAGTTAACCTTGGAAACGGTCTTACGCCATTGGGGCCCCTTCTCCCTGTCATTCAAAGTCTCGCCCTTTTTATATTCCACCGATCCCCCAAGGTTGACTTAATTCCCAAGTTACACCTATGTTCAGGTTGTGAATCTGGGATTACCATCATGGTCGCTGACACGCAATCCTTGCCCAACGAAACGGCGCCGCTGTTGTCGCCGACTCCGAACTCCGAACCACCCACCAACAACAGCAGCAGCAGCAACAACAACAACAACAATGGGCGGAAGAAATTGCTAATTCTCGTCGCCTGCGGCATTTTCATTCTTGCGGCCGATTTTGGCTTTTTTCTGTCGCAAGCGCCGCAGACAGCTATCTTTGAACGGATCATTTGTCGCAATTATCTCCTCAATTCGCGCGATGACATGAATGCGAGCCTGCTCAACTCTCCCTCAGAGGATCCGTGTAAATCCGAACTCGTACAGGGAGAGCTCGCCCTCATCAACGGGTACAAAGAAACATTTGATGTCCTGCCCAGTATCCTCTTGTCGCTCCCTTACGGTGTGTTGGCCGACCACTGGGGTCGCAAGCCCGTGCTGTATCTCGGGGTCGTGGGGATCATCCTAGGGGAGTTTTGGGTCCGGTTGGTCGCCGCATGGTCAACTGTACTACCACTGCGCATGGTTTGGATGACGGCCCTTTTTCGCATCATTGGCGGCGGTGACCAAGTAATTACCTCCATGGCCATCGCGATGGTGGCGGATGTCTTTTCCGAGGAGGAGAGGTAAGCCCCTATTCACGGTTCAGGGGAGTGCCGCCAGCCCAAGCTCACTAACATAACCATAGATCAACTGCGATCTTTCGCCTCTCGTCCTGTGTTCTGATCGCAGAGATTTTGGCCACACCTTTCAGTGCCTATCTGATGACCTTTGATATATGGTACCCTTATATTCTTGGGCTCGTTGTAGTCGTAGTAGGCACTTTGCCAGCTATTTTCATCCCAGAGACCCTCGCAGACGCCAAAGCAAAAATGAAAAATCACGCAGATGAAGCTCCACTGGCGTCAATTGAAGGCATGGAGCCACCAAGCAAGCAACCAATGTGGCAGGAAATTATCCACCAGGCCCGCGAGTTCAAGAAATCCACCCGATTCATTTGGAGAGATGGCAATATTTGCCTCCTAGTTATAATCGCTGGGGTCGGCTTCATGAGTCGACAGTCGACGGGTTTACTGATGCAATACGCGTCCAAGAAGTTCAACTGGAGCATTGGCAAGGTACGTACTACTCTCCGCCATTTGACTCGATGGCAAGGAGCATACGTTTTTACTGACATGGCGGAACCAGGCCAGCCTCCTCATCTCGCTCCGTGGGATATTTAGTTTGTCAAACTATCTCGTTCTCATGCCCGCATTCAACTCCATCGCCGGCAGATTCTTTAACCTGCATGGCAAGTATCGAGACTATCGTCTCACTCAAGTGACCAGTGTGTTTACCGCGGTCGGATTTGGCATCATGGCCTTCGCGCCGGTCCCAGGCATCTTAATCTGGGGTCTACTATTCCTCTCTATTGGATTGGGTTTCCTGGTCACTACACGTTCTCTTGTCACTGCTCTCGTCCTACCCAACCATATTGGAACACTTTATTCGGCCCTTGCGATCTCACAGGCACTGGGAGGCCTCATCGCAGGTCCCCTTTTCGCTTATCTGTTCCGACTTGGAATGCATCTCGGCAATGCTTGGATGGGTCTACCGTGGCTTCAAGCCTCTGTCATTTTCATTCTGGTTTCCATCGTGTCCTGGTATATTCGAGTGCGCGATCCTGTATCGCATGATGAGGAAGAGCCACACCTTGCGGAATGAACTGGAATGTTATTGGAGGTTAATTGTGATGATGCTTTTAGCGGCTGCATTATTTGGAGTTGTGTTTTATTTTATCTGTTTCAAGTTTCTCTCTTTCTCTTTTCTCTTGTCATTTACTTCCATGATGTCAACTTTACTAGCACTCTTACCCGAGGTTCTCTATGTCATCAATTTCACACATGAGCATGGATTCTAAGATGTACTTGAAACACCCAATCCAACACGTTTTCCCTTAAAAGGTGAGACGTGAAGGATACTTTCAGTCCTCGCAGATCGTTCTCATTACCAAAACCTACGACGGGCGCGCTGGTTCGCTAGATTACTGAGGGACACGGGCGATCAGCGACGGGGTTAATCTCACAGGGCTTCAATCAACGTCGGACATCCGCTGGACTCCAGTGTCCAGAAAGCACAAAAAGCAGGGACCAGGAGACTCAATGCAACCTCGATTGCCCATGACCCGGCAACTAAGCCAAGAATCGAGATACGCCCAGGTTGACTTCCAGGGGCCGGCGCATTATCGACAGCCATTGGGTGTTTCACCTTTCCCCATTCAACTCAATCCCCGCTCGTCCCACTCAGTTTGAGCTGCTTGACGGCGATATCCGATCTGAGTCGCGCGAATCAGCGCCCTTTAATCAGTGCATGTGCTGCTATCAGTAGCGATCGCCATCCCTACGAGGTGCCGTTTCTGCAGGCGATGCGCATCCATAGTGTCTTGGTACCTGGGCACGGCGACTATTAATTCAGCACCGTTTGCCGACTGAAGGGCATACGAGAACACTACAATCATTGAGCGATCCTCAGTACTTGAACAGAATCAAGATGTCTTTCGCCCGCGCCTCGATCGGCCTCATTGCCCTGGCGGCCTCTGTCTCGGCCAGTATCAAGACTTGCTCCAACAACAACACTCTGAGTTGCCACAGCTCCTCCAAGGCTGGCACTTGCTGCTATAATTATCCCGGTGGTGCACTCCTCCAAACCCAGTTCTGGGACACCGATCCAGTCTCAGGGCCGACTGACTCGTGGACCATCCACGGATTGTGGTAAGTTTGACCGGGGCATATATTCTCTTGTTTTGAACCTTGGAAGACCGTCGCTGACCTGCTACTAGGCCCGATAACTGCGATGGCACCTACGAGTCTAACTGCGATGAGTCTCGCGCCTACACCAACATCACCGAGATCCTGAAAGCGCAGGACCGTACCGACCTCCTCTCCTATATGGAGGATTACTGGGTCGATATCAATGGCGACAGCGAGTCCTTCTGGGAGCATGAGTGGGGAAAACATGGCACTTGTGTCAACACCATCAAGCCCAGCTGCTATTCCAACTACTCACCCCAGGAGGAGGTCGGTGACTTCTTCCAGAAGACCGTCGATCTTTTCAAGGGTCTGGATACCTACAAGGTATGTCTCTACATATACCCTCCTGTCCAATGACACATCTAATGAATACGATAGGCGCTGTCTGATGCTGGCATCACCCCTGATGAGTCCAAGACCTACACTCTCAGCGAGATCCAGTCTGCTCTGAGCAAGCTGCACGGCGCCGAGGCTCTATGTCAGCTGTGACAGTGGCAAGCTGAACCAAGCCTGGTATTTCTTTAATGTCCGCGGCAATGCCATCACTGGAAAATACCAGGCTGCCGATACGCGTAAGTTCTCTCCCATTTAATCAATTGACGATATTTCATGAATGCTGGACTTCATGCTAACGACCGCCCAGTCACCAAAGCGAGCTGCCCCAGCAGCGGCATCAAGTACGTGCCCAAGAGCAACTAAGCAGATCAATTGGAAGGTGGCATTAGTTATGATGGATGTCCTAGACTGATGGGATCTTGTTGCTGTATGAATTTATATTAGCTTTGGGTATCTGTATTGGTATCTTGGGTATAGAGTACAAGGGCATTCATTGCCCATAAATGATAAACGACTTCCGACCGAGTCTTTTCTTGAGATTCATCTCAATAGAGTGTGGCCACGGCTGTAGGAAGAACTGAGTACACTTTTGATCATCTCGTATCTTGATAGTTACGAGCGGAACGGAGCCTTGGCTGAATGAGTTCCCGTCTGGCCCGCTACGCTAACGGACAAGACGAGATCCCCAATTTGGTTCCGTATCGGCGGAGATTCTGCACGGGGTTTACCCATGGATCAGGATCGACTGGCAGCTTTCTAGGAGTTTATGCTGAAGCCACCAGGGTCCGAAGGTTCGAACACGCAGTTCCTGGAATACAACCCTGTAGGCGTGGCTGGAGCTGGCATATTTGGTCTGAGTCTTCATGACTGAGTCCCTGCAAAAAAAAAAAGCGGAACTGCATGCCCCAATAGAGTGGCTTCTAGATTGCCTCGAGATGTCCAAAGCTTCACATGCCCTTGAGACGAGCTTGGCGAGCCTCTTCTTTCTCTCTTGGCATCCATACGACCCAAAAAGTCCATCCGACTCATATAGCCCTCCTTGGCCTTGCTGTGTGTACGCAATTCGTCACCGATGCCAGCTTCGTCGACATACTGTGCCCAGTCAAGACGAGATTTCTCCACAGTGTTGATTTTAGGTCCCTTCGCATCGTCACCGCGTTCCACGGCCTGTTTCTCCCAGCTCTTCTTAATTGTACCGGTCGGATTGGGATCGAATCGTGATATTTTGCGGATCGGCCGGCGGATGTTTCTAGCAGCTTCCGCTGCTGCTGCTGCGGCATCTGCATCGGCGTATTCAACAGCCTCCCCACTGGCTAAGAAGACTTTGGCTTCGGCAGATCCCTTGGGAACAACTTTCTCCTCCGTAATCCATTCACCTGCGAATTTGTAGGTGCGCTTGATCTTGATCATCTGGTCGGCGTAATGGTCATGGCGAGAGTTATTCTCTGGATCGGCAGTAGGCTGGTCTTGCTTGTCCGTGTCGACCGAGCGATCGGGTTCTGGAGCCGACTCGGTCTGTTGTTCTGTCTCCGAGGTCGATGTTCCCAGCGTATACCCGGGGTCATTCATCTGTTCCCACAGGGCATTCACGTCCACAGTCGCACCATCGATCTTGGCTAGCGGTTTGCGCTCTTCTTGGCTGTTCAAAAAAAGAAAAGTTAGAATCCGGGCTTGAATCGCACCGCGTCTTGTAGAGAACTGAAGGCTTACATTATCGCCTTCATTGCGCGTGTTCGCACAAAACCCCCAGTACCTCCTTCATCGTCGTCGAGATCGAAGTCATCATCACCACCGCTCTTCCCCTTCCGCTTCCTCCGCTTGGCCTGGGCCTTTTTGATTGTAATTTCATCGCCAGAGTCTAGCTCGATATCTTCGGGCGCATCGCGTTTCTTATCGGTTTTTCGTTTCTTCTTCGCCGGTTCGGCCTGGGCCTGGGCCTCGTCGGAGGAGGACAGCTCGGACTCGTCTTGAGCGGCATCGAGCTGGAAGTCTTCGTCTTCGGCAGACTCATAGGGTTCATCGTCGATGTCAGCGACTGTTTGCACAACTGGATCGGCTGACATGGCGAATTAGGGATTTGTGAGGTATAGAAGAGAAGAACGACGTTGTGGACGCTGGATGTGATAATTCTGCCGAAGGCGGTACTGATAAGGATTATATAATCTAGCCCAGGATTAATGGACTCTCATTGGCCCATCTGATCTGGAGTAGAAGTAAATAAATAAATGTACAGCATTTATTACTGGTGATACATAAAAGAAAGCAAAGGCAAAGGCAAAAATCAGAATAATCTATATCATATAAAGGATTATTCACAGTGAGGATTGGAGTCACTGGACAGACTCCAAGTTCACGCCGACAACTTACTTTCGGGACAGGAGAAGAAAGCATGAATAGTTAACACGTGTGATATAGTTAGTTATGTGGTGCACCCTTAAGGTACATGTACATGTACATCGTGTCCACGATTCATCCAAGGCGGCTTAGACCATTATTGCTAAGAGACTAATGTATGCCTAAATTTGTTAACTTCAAGTTGTGGCCTCATTGCCGGTGGCTGATCAATAACAGATCGACCCCCATGCCGCCGGCACGATGTATGTGCGTCTCCCACGATCTTTTCACTGTCACTGCGGCAGCGTTGCTCACCCCGGAAATTGCGTGATATGAGATTGAGAATAAACGTACCTTTGAGACCTCCGCAGGGATGCTGTATAACCCTGTTCTCTGTACCGATGGGAGTGATCTACATATTTGCATGCGGTAATTATCAAGCCGTGATATGATCATCAGTACAACACCAGCCTATAACTAGTTAGTTTGCCGTCAAGGTACGACTGTGTAATTTAAAAAAAATGGGGCTGGTATTTTTGAAACCCCCCTTTCGAAAATATGATACGGTAGCACAGAGTCGATCCGTAGATCTGTGTTACATGAGCTAGAACTATTGGACATTGGCCTTGAGTATTTGACTTACAATACTCCGAAAATCGTAGAATTATATTTGGTCCTTTTAGATCTTGACATCCAGTGATATGCACAATCTATTGGAAAGGATATGACGCCAACATTCCTGCCCTTGATGCTCAGCCCTGAACACGTCAGCGAAACCCATAGGCTCAACGTATGTCGGAACACATGCACATGCATTGCAATACAATAGTATATTGAGAGTTTAGGGTCAAGCCAAGTTACTAAATTTTGACTTCCTTCGCTTGAGAAGAGACTCACTTCTTTTGGGAGACTCTGTATTGCCTCTCGTAATCATTGCCTTTCGATCGAACTAGTGTAATGTATCGAGAAACATGATATTTCTCTCCCTTGCCGGAACCTAAAGCTTTGAACAGTAGGATGGCTGCCATCCCTTCTTTCTAATCTCTCTTTTCTCTTCCTACCTAGCGTGCTCACCTTTTGAAGATTCCTGTTTCTTAGACCTATGCTTCGAAAGTAAAAGTCCAAGGGTTTTTGTAATGATTGATCAAAAATTATCGGAATCTTCGTCTCTACTTAGCGAAGATAAAATGAGGCAAAAACATGACAATCCTCCTCAGTCTCCTGGGCCTCTCGAATTTCCCAGCTCTTCTGAGGTCGAGAAGCCGGGGATGGACTACAAGTTTTTTTTCGCTGGATTATTAGGCAAGCTAATCACTACTTTCAGCGCCTTCTAAAGTTCTCATTTAATTTAGTCTAACATCTCGTCAATAGGTGTATTTATTGCCTTTGTGGATGATACTTTTGTTTTCACCACCTACGGTACGATCGCATCTGACTTCGATAGTGGCTCCATGGGATCATGGCTTGTCACAGTATACAACTTAGGGTTTGCTGTGACCTTACCCCTTGTGAGACTGCCAGTTTGATATTTCTTTGACGATTTAACTCTAACATTAACAGTATGGGCGACTTTGTGATATCTATGGCTACAAGTACCCAATTCAAGCCTCGTATTTGCTTTTCTCGGTTGGATGCCTGATGTCGTAAGTGGAAGCAAAATTTTCGTGCTAGAGAGATAACTTATATTCTCAAGCGGGCTTTCAAACTCTATGGTACTTGCAATTGCCGGAAGGTTCTTTTCTGGTGTTGGTGGCTCGGGAATGACGGATTTACTCGTCGTCATAATTAACGGTGTGTACCTACTCTAGTGGACATCACTCAATAAGCCCCGTTAGTCTGCTGATGAAAATACAGACATGGAACCCCCAAGAAAAGCTACGGGGCTGCGTTCTTACATATCGATAGTTATGACTATCGCAGTTCCAGTCGGTGCCCCATTGGGCGGCGCTTTGACTGGGTGGGTTGGCTGGAGATGGGCCTTCATTATGCAAGCTCCAGTGAGCCTTGTCTGTTTTGCTATGGCGTCCTGGCGACTGCGGGCAAAAGAGAGGGTCAATTCCAAGAATGGTGAAGAGACACCTCGGACAGATTTTAATTTACTAGGAATATTCCTACTCGGTCTCTCGGTGGCTTCGGTAATGACAGTTTGCCAAATGCTGAGTGAGATGGGCTCTGACCTAACTATCAAATTGGCAATTCCATCATCGGTTTTATTCGCCAGTCTGTTGCTTTTTGGAATCAATGAACGGTGCTGGACACGAACCCCGTTGGTTCCGCTGAAGCTCATTAAGGCAAATAAAATCGGCGCAATGTATATTGCACAGTTCATATTATTCTTCAGCTATGGAGGAGTAAGTCAGTCTGAAATTCCTTGTCGCACTATAATTAATTCACGCCCCTAGTTCGCTAGTCATATTACGGAATTCTGGATTCGGACAGAGAATTATGGCAACAGTCTTGCGGCTGCATGTATATTGCCAGTTGTTTTTGGGAACGTCATGAGTGCATTTATTAGCAGTAGGATTGTGCAGAGGTATATACCAAATAATCCCTTGGCAATACCGGAAAGAAGACTAATTAGGTACACCACTAGGACTGGAAGATACAAGAAACTACTCAGTATCTGCTCCCTGGTTGCTATAGTCAGTGGCGTATTGTTGACAACTCGATGGCCAGATCGGCCCTTTTTTCTCGATTTCATATTTTACTTTGGCTTAGGTCTCGGCGTGGGTGGAATCCTCGTGTGTACATTCACGGCATTGTCAATATCGGTACCAAGCCATATGACGGCAACTGCCATGACAAATTACTATCTTTGCCAGCAGTTGGGATTGGTATTGGGTGTCGCCGTGACATCTGCAGCAAGTCGGGCGATCTTCAAAAAGTACCTACTTCAGGAGATTGCCGACGGCAGGGAGAAATCTAAAGTTTGTCTTCAGTGCCTGGCCCTTTTTTGTGAGCGCGGCTAACAGAGTCACAATTTCTAGGCCATTAGGCATATATTGAATGATTTGCGATTTGCTTTAACCTTGTCCGAGCCGATTCAGTCAATTGCAAAACATTGTTTCTTGCAGGCCTTTCGAATCATCCCAGGTAGGGCAGATCTGCCCAGACTTGTATTTTATTGGCTAACCTGAATCCAGCAATATCCTCCGGCACATTGTTTCTGACTTTGGTTGTATTCTTGAGGCTTCCTGAGAAGTATCTTGATCAGTAGCAGGGGCGCAGTCATTAAAAAGAACGCCAAGTTTTGCGTCGCGCTAACCGTCACGCGGTGCATTGCGAAGATGGAAGATCTAGAAAGAGAAGCAATAGTAGATAATAATCGGAGGAGTTGGTGGATGGGGAAGAGACGGACAGCTTGGAAGGTGAATCATGCAATCCTTGAAGAAATAGGACACCGATCAGGCCAACAATGCACAACTTAAACTGTGATAAAGTTTCAAATGACCTAGATCATGTTATTCTCTATGAGTATTTGAGATAGTAATACTATATTAGAAATCGAGAGTCACCTTTCGATGCCCGGGTGTGGTCTTAAAAAAAGTCCGGCGGTTTTCGTCTCTACTAGTACTGGTCATCGCAAAGTTAGGATCCATCAACTCGACCACCAGTTACCTAATTTATAGTCCTCTTCCATAGATCCCAAGGTTCTTACCGTGACTTCAAAGTTATTGTTAGATTCTGTAATCCAGAATTTTAAATAAAATCCAATAGTATTACAATTCCCCGCTTCTAAACTGCTAATGACTAGAGATGAGATGAATTATGAAAGTTGATGAGAGCTACTCTAGCAGGTGGGAGATGATGGAAGAGTCGGCGGTCTGTATGTATGAGCCTCCAAGTCTTAGCATAGGATTTATGTCATCGCTTCGAAACCCTGGCTACCGGAATTATTCAATCGGAGGCTGATGAATCAGGGCTGACCCATCCGATGGATAAACTCCAAGTCGTAATGGGAACATTATAGCCTGCTTCAAAAGGGAGAGGAAATGAAGATTACCCTCCTTTAAAAAGAGATTTCTTCTTCTTGTCTCCGTCGTATGCTCATTTTGATGCCTGAGTGGGGTAAAATGTTATGTCCACGCAGCTCAACGCGACCTTCCTCCGGCAAAGTCACATTGAAATCATATTTCATTATGATATGGCACAAGGCAATTTTGTTAAAAATTGCGGCGTAGTGTCTTCCAGGACATGCTTGTTTTCCGTGCCCAAAACCCATATGATCTTTGCTTGTTGATGTAAGTTGGTAGGGGCTTGTCAAAGAGTTCTTCGCGTTATTGCGCAAGTTTGCAAATCGGTAGCCATCATATGTGTCTCCATTCGGCCAGACTGAGGAATCCATCATGTGGCATGCCGATACCATGATAGCCGTTCCCTTTGGGATAATTAGACCGTCAGGTAGAACAACTGTTTCTTTTGCGAGTCGCTCCATGTTGCCTATAACACCAGATGAGTCAGTTAAGTGAGGGTCTATGAATTTGCAACATATATATATGCTACTCACTATATCCGAGTGGTCTGAGTCTCTGAGATTCCTTCATTGCACTATCCAAAAGGTACAATCGTTGAATGGATGCTTGGGTCAGTCCCTCTGTCCCCACAATCTCAATGATTTCTTTTCGAATGTCATTCACCAAAGTTGGATTTTCGGAGAGATCACAAAGGACCTTTGCAAGTAGGTCAGTAGATGTATCTAGCGAGGCAAGCGAAAGCGTGAGTTGCAGCGTAGCAAAGTCATATGCGCAACCTTTGCTCGCCTCCTTGATCCAGATAAGCGCACTCGTCTCCGTTTCAGGGTCGATCTTTTTGTAAAGCAGAGGCTCAAGGTATTTCATGACTCTATGTAGCTGTACCCGAACCTTCTGACAGCTTGGCATAAACCGGGAAGCAATAAGTCTCATTGGAATCGGCCATCGGCGTAGATGATGAGCGGCAATAAACGTGTTTTCCAGGAATTCATGCATGATTTCCAACCAGGCTGGGTCCCGACAGAGGTCTTTATCACCAAGAAATACTCGGGATACAATTTGACCCACAATGCGACTTGATGTCTCTCTCAGGTAGACTTGGTGCCACTCTTTTTTTTCAAGTTAGAAACCCCAGCATTAATGAGTCTTGTATATGGAAGATCCTTCGTACCAGATTCATTGGTCAAATGACGTTCTAGGGCTAGCCCAGCTTCTTCGGATAATGGACTGACTAGCTTGGCTTTGAAATTGAAGTGTTATTGAATTTTTCGGACTTCAGTTTAATGTGGTACTCGATCGACTTACGAGTCTGGCGTGCTAGTTTTGTCTTCACAGCAAGTTGTAAGACCTTCGAATCCAATGCAATGTTTGCAATTGGCTCAAACCCCGGTATTCCTTCGTGGAAGTCCTAAAAACAAGTAATCAATTGAATGTTCCTCGATCGCTCACTGAAACAACAATTACAAACCTCACCCACGAACTTCCCCAGATCGAACCTCTCATCAGCGCCAATTACATCGGCATATTTCGGACTCAATATCAAGCGGAAATGTGCTTCGGTGCACAAATAAAATGCATCTGCGCCCTATTTTCAAACATGCAATTTTTAGCCATCATAAGCAGTAATTGCATGAGCGAAGCTTTACGCACATGTTGAAATCCGGACCTTAGCATACCCTCTGGATCGGAGATATACCGCTTGGTTGCTTTGCCGTAGCCAAATTCAAACCATTTTCGATCGTTGAAAACTGGTAACCGGGATGGATTCAACCTCCTTGCTCTGATCTCAAGCAGAATGTATATTACCACTAAGGTCCCCAAGACAAGAACCACGGAGTTAGGATCAATGCGAAAGATGTCTTCGAAGTTCATTCTTTACACTTTCTGCTAATTTGTATTTGTGTAGATTCGGGTCGCTGTTAGGATAGTTCTAAGTGGAGAGAACACATGAACGGCAAATTTATGTAGGGCCCGGGATTTATAAGCCTTAAGAGAGAGATACGTCAATTGATCAATATTTAATGAATTACTGATTCCGCTCCGTTTCCAGGCCCTGCTGGCGGAGTGGGTGGGTCGCAGGGTTGCCCTGCACCATGCGAGGTCGATTTCGCAGTAATTACTAGTAAATACACATAAAAATTAGCGTTTAGAAACCTCGCCAGATGGCAGGGCGACCGTTCGACCCACCCTGCCAGCTCATTAATTCCCCAGTATTCCCTTACTTGAAAAAGGCAAGGTTTCCTTCAACTGACGCAAAATAGCAGATCATTTTACTATGTGAGGTTTACTCCTCGTTAGAATGCTGAAAGGTAGTACAGGGGTCAAGGGTAATACTTCTGAGATCTGCGCCACAATTCTTTCCTCCTTGGAAATTTAACCGTTTGATGATATGGAAAGCTCGTATGTATTCCTCTCATCGCGCCAACACGCATGTGACCTTTGATGAAGTTCACGAACCTGCAATAGGAGAATTGTGTTACGCATTTATTAAACGGAGCATTCCTATGAGATAGGATCTTCTCGTTTCGTGGTTTGATAGTGAAAGCAACAATACTATTAAGGGTGGGCGGTAGATATTATTCCAAGGTTGAATTGCTAAAAGTCAGAAGTATCAAAAATTAGGTATGTATCATCCACTTGCTTTTTCAAGCCTTTTTTCGCAAATACACAATAATGAGTTTCTCGGTATTGATCTACATATTTTAACAGCATCTTGTCTCACTATGTATAACTATTGTTAGTAGTTATAGCCCTATAGCGTCTGAAGCAAGACCCACCGCTTTTAAGAACATTGGAACTGAAGCGCACTTTCTAAGGAGATAAAAATTTGTGCATGTCTCAGGGATACAATTTCGGTCAATTTTACACAATTTGATACGGTGGATGCTATGGTTTGTTCGACGTAATTGAACAATTTGCGTTCAAATGGGCGTGCCGACCCAATTGGTGGGCGGTCAATTGGGTCGGTGTGTGACTGCTAGTCAATAATTACGACGCATGTACTTGCATATTTGGCTGCAGTGCATATGTAGCATGTAGGTAGTACAAATGCATGTGTGCGCACAAACGAGGGGTTACAGCTCACACCGTGACCATGTGTTGGTAGTTCAGCCATCTTTTTGAGCGCCACAATCACAGTACAATGTACGTAAATCTCCTAACTAACTTATGTCACAAGCGGGTAGGATAATGGGATCACGACCTGGGACCTGAACGACGCCAAACGAAGCTGAACCGTGACTCTATCTTAGATACATCGATTCTAATTGGAGACAGCTATCACTTACTGACAAGGTCCGAAATAAAATTTCTCAGTAACCTCAGGCTCCTGGATGCTGAGTCCCGTGCCCACCATCTACATAGCCTGAGCCACAGGTAGTACGAGTAGCCTGATCTCTTCACCATATCTTTCATTCATTCGTATTCTCCGTTTAGTGAGAGTCATAGCGAGTAGAGACCGTATTATTTGAGAAACTGATCAGCTTAGGTGGTATGTAATCAAGCGACTGCCTGGAGAAGAGGATTGGAGGCCGATTGAAGGATATGCAAGAGAACGGCAGTCAGCTTTCTGTTTAAGTGGAAAATAGACAGCAGCTGATATTTAAAGGGCTGGGATTAACATTCTGCTCTTTCTTTAGGGCTGTAACATAAGTCTGAAAAGGGTAGGAAAAATATCTATAGATTTAAACCCAGGGCTCATCAGCCAGGAAGTATGGAACAGGTAGCCTTGAAAATAAAACTACTCGTATTCAAGCATACTGAGTCCTTCATAAAACAAGAAAATACCGAATTAATTTGGAAGTGCAATGGCTATGGTAGTACTCTCTCAGGTCTGCACATAGAATATACTTCAGGACCATCTTGAAAAACACCAGAGCATTCTTGACAATGACGGTTCAACTTCTGTGCCATCTTTGGATAAGCCTTGAGCAGCTCAGATTGGGCCAATCTGTCAACCTGAAGAATAACATTGTCGATAGTCTCTGGCTTTACCAGCGGGTTCATCATGCACATTCGAAGTGATGTTCGTCCGCGGATTTTGGTGGTGAGTATAGCGGCAATATTCTCCGCTAAGAGTTGCTCTGAAATAGCCTTGTTCAATGCGTTCAATGCTGTTTCGTCGAGACCGCGAGGTGTATATTGAAAAACCACGATGCTAGTGACAGTTGGAGCCGCGATAGTCCAGTTCTTGTATCGGCGAAGATTGGAATCTGCGGTACGGGCAAGAAGAAAGCCTTGGTCAATCATCTCGCCCATTCGATGGCGTCCCAGTGTCTTGACAGTGAGCCAAAGAGACATGGTACGCGCTGGGCGACTGAGCTCTGGACTAAGATTATAAAAGTTGGTGTTTCCCTGTGGCGCCATTACACTATCCAGATATTCGGCATCTATGGCGAAGCTGCGCACAAGAGAATGCATGTTACGCGTGAGCACGATCCCACAACCATATGTCTGAAAAAGCCACTTATGCCCATCCCAAGAAACACTATCCGCACGGCCTATGCCATCAATGAGATGGCTATGCTTGTCAGAGAGCGCAATGGATGCACCGTATGCACCGTCCACATGTAGCCATAGTCCTTCGTCTCGTGCAATATCAGCTAGTGAATGGAGAGGGTCGATACTGCCTGTGTTGGTACTCCCGCAACTGGCGACTAGAAGGAAAGGCAAACGTCCAGCTTCTCGGTCTGTGCTAATAGCGCATCGTAGGAGGTCCACGTCTATACAGAACTTATCATCGCAGGGTATTTTGTGAATTTGACAGTCCATGAAGCCCGTTATGTGTAGCGCTTTGCGAATTGAGATATGCGTTTGATCGGAAGTGTAAATAACTGCATTTGCTCGTTGCATGGGATTTAGCATCTCATCGCGAGCTGCAGTGATGGCTGTCATATTCGCTATCGAGCCGCCGGAGACAAAGCACCCTCCAACCGATTCTGGCAACCCAAGCTGAGCACCCAGCCAGGCTATCATCGCTTTTTCGACAGCATTCGGGCCAGCGCTCACATCCCAACTGACCGCATTTACATTGCAGGCAGAAGTTAGCAGATCACCTAGGCGGGCAAGAGGACTTGGGCATGCGGGTATGTAAGAGAAGCAGCGTGGGTGGGCGAGGCGCATGCGGTTATTGAAGACTGCCATGGCCTGATGAAGGACGGATGAAAGATCTCGGGGATAGTCATCAGGCATAACCTGATGCTGTAATGATTGTATCTCATGGGGAAGAAGCTTTTGAACAATTGGGTCCGACGGGGCTGGAGGGTTGATGTTGAGAAGTCGAGTCAAGAGAGATTCCGCCTCCGACATCTCCGACAGTCCGCCGTTCTGTAACTTTTCTCCTCCTTCATGAGAACCCATATCAAAATATCCGGGAAAAATATTGGCACTTCACAAGTAAGAGAGTATAGACAGTTTGATGTTTATTATGGTCTGAAACAAAACACGTTCGAGTTCAAGGGTCCAATGTTCCAAGGTTCGCAATGTTCGCAATCACGCATGCGTCTAGACGTGTTTGTCCCTCACAGGCAGGCGTGGATCTCTAAAGCGCAACTTTGCGTCATGAAAATAAAATATTGTTGTGCGATAATTACAGAGTACTACATATTTATTTGAGACACTCAAGCCTCCGATAGGTCGCGGGAGCGGTGTGAATGTAAAGAAATTGGATTGCGCCAGTGACTTTGGAGGGGTATACCAGGCGTACCAAAGATGATCATCCATATTGCTCATATTTTGTAAGTAGGGTATGTAACATTTGATGCAATGCATAGGAGCATGCATGTCGACTATATAATGTGGGCAGATTTCAAGCATACATAGAACTAGCCGTTATATTACCGCATCGTGGTGCTGAGCCGATGACGAGCGGAACAATTATCTTGACGCACTCCGGGGCCCGCTCCCCTTCTGTTACTACTGGGGATTGCGCGGGTAGATTTGGTATGCAAGGGCCCCCACCAAGCCCCTGAGCGGCTGGGAGTTGTCGTCACCCTCCTCGGACCTCAGTAGCATACGGACCCCCTTTTCTCGGGCTTCAGCTCCCTCCAGAGCTGAACTCAGGTGGTTAATGGCTGGCTGTATATCTGCCTCCCTTTTTTGCTTTTTATTAATTTTCTTTACTGCTGCTATCATCTCTCTTTTAATTCGCCGCTTAATATACTGCTTAACATCATTATACTGTTAAACATTACCTTTAGTTATTATACAAATTTGAAGGGAACTATATATCCTACTAAGCTTCCAAGGTTTGAGGTCGGTCCTACTGAATTCTAACCTGGGTGGATAACGCCGGGGCATATGCAACTGACAGATAGTCTAGACACTGTGTTTAAGTTCGCCGTGCCTCGAGGTTACACCACAACATGCAGAACTAAATATTCGAGAAAAAAAGCAAATCACAGGACATAGATCAATCATATCTTCGACTCCCAATTTACTTGCCTGGCCGTAAATTAAGGATATACAATGACGACTGTTACCTAGATAGATACGCCTTGTTGAATTGCTACTACATATGCTAGCTTGAAATGATTGAAATTCAACACCCGTGTCTTTGGAACGTTACAAAATTGAAATTGTGGTGAATAAATTGCGATACGGTAATATTATGTATCTAGAGCATTCTAAGCTCAATATCTCGAAATAAACCACACACGTTGCTCTTCAGAGGTCATTTGATGCACGACTTGAAGCTCGCATTTCTTCACGGTAAGATAAGTGGATACCATAGTATCACTCAATACTTGAATAAGGCGTTTATCTCCCTCCAGGCTTTTCAGACTCTCTTTCAGATCACTAGGCATCTTTGTCGTGACACCCAAGGCAGCTCGTTCCTTGTCGGACATCTTGCTTGGTTCGACGAGACAAGGACCAGCACTTAGCACCGACCCTTGGATTAATCCATCCAGTCCAGCTGCTAGCAATGCACAAAGACCCAAATAAGGATTGGCTAGCCCGTCCATCATCTTGATCTCGCAACGGTTGCTAGAGATACGCCGCAATATGGTCTCTCTGTTTTCCCATCCCCAGCATACATAATCTCCTCCACTTCCAATGCCTTCAACAACTCGACCATAACTAATGTCTTGAGGAAGAGTAAAAGCAGCAACAGAAGTGAAATGATCGAGGATGCCAGCAAAGAATGACTCCACTGTCGCCAAATCTGCTCTTTCAGAATTGAGCGATATGTGAACATGGGCGCCGGTGCCGGGTTTATCAGATGATAATCGGGGATGAAGAGTCGCTCGATATCCGTGCTTGGCTGCAATCTTCATAACAACATTTCTAGCAAGAACCAGAGTATCGACAGCTCTGAGTGGAGAATCTGGCGAAAGGACAAATTCCCATTGACCGGGACCTAGCTCAGCATGAAATTGCTGGACCATTATCCCAAATGATTGCAAAGCCAATGCAGCTTCTTCCAACATTCCAAGTAGCATTTCATCTTCACGAGTCATGCTACACCATGAATGATCGGTATTGGCCGTTTCGTATTCGATCCGACCGTTGCCCAATGTTCGTTCTCGTAAGACACAGAATTCTAGTTCAAACCCGACGAGCATTGAGCAGTTCGATTTCTGCTCAATTAGGCGTGTCAAAGTATCCAACTTGGTACGTGCACATTGTTCCATGGGTAGTTTCTCTTTATCATTCCATGAAGCCATGACGATCGCTTTATTCTCACCCAAGTGTGGAGAGAGGGATTGCGGATCAGGTCTCAGAACGAATGATCCCGTCAAGCTTCCACCTTCTGCCACATTATCGTAGGGCAGGACATGAAGTATAATATTCGGAATCGATATTCCCTGATCTGCCTCCAATAGTCGTTTGAATTCCGGCACAGGAACTATGCGAACCAAATTGGTGCCGATGTATGTTGTGAACATCACCCAAACGAAGTCCACGCCTGGATGTTTGGCGTGAAATTGGTGCCACAATGTCAATGAATTCGTTTTCGCCATTTCGATGCATCAATGAACAAAGGATATTTCGAGGGTTAGAGAGCTTGGAGTTCGATTGTGTTTTAGGTGGTTTATTCCTCCAGATATCGCACTTTGATTCACTCGTATATGAAAAAGTATTCCTGTATTCGTGATGAGGCACGTGCACGCATGCGTCGACATATTGGATGTATCATAGCTAGTAACCTGCTCCATGTAGATCATGATATGCAAGCTGAGGCGGCGGTAAGCTGCTTTGATTTTCGTGAACATCTAAGGTTTTGTAGCTCTGATTTGGTGATTGCCTTATCGACCCACACGGCCTGATGGTGCTGCCTGGGCCGCATTTTCTTGCTTCACCATGTGCATTGTGCTGTGGATGTGCCTTACATATGCCGGTGTGCGCAGCCACATCTGAACTCACAGTGCAACCCATAACGGAGTGCTGTGAAACTTTTCAGCTTTTTAAAAATGAGCCACCGGAGCACACCAACATGTTCATCTATACCCTGACTACGCCCCAGTTTTTACACGTTATGTAATCATTAAAACCATTGACGTATTGCCAGTGTATTGTATAGTATCATCTACAGAAATGTGTTGTAAATATCAGCCTCTGAAATTAGATCTATATCCTAGTATGAAGCAAGTTGAAAGAGAAAAAAATTATACCCTAGAACCCTAAATGATCATCGGCTAACTATCGAAATACCGAGGAAACAATTATATCCTGTACTCCCTATATGAATAGTGTTTGAAATCGTCGAATAGCACCGATAGCGATGTTGAACTGTCTTGATATTTTGGCGCGATTACCAATGTAATGTGCTAAATAATTAATACGACATCCTGTATTCAGTATCGTCAGAATTTATTATTGAACTGAGAATTACCGAGTGGGGCATGAAATTATCCAGGCATGCGGTTAGATGCCAGATAAATATTGTAATTCAAACAACATTCGCCCTTTGCTTATTCTTCGCCAGCTGTAACCTGCGTGCATGTATATCTATTGCTGAGATCGACCGACTCCTTCCATATCCCAAACTTTGAACTCCCTCGCATGAATGTCAGTATGACCATTTAATCTTGCTGTATAATTCCTCAGCTGTCCTTTTTTCCTTACCTGATCTCCCTACTTGCCCGAGTTCTGGTCTCCTCTCTCTTCAGTACTTCCGGTAAATATTACGAAGCCTAAAAATGCCAGTCGTGAACAACAATGATGCGACCTCACGTGAAGCGAGCCATCTTCAATCCAAGATCCTTCACAAGACTCTGAAGTGCTCAGTCAATGACCAGAGAGAATGGTGGCGAAAGACGGGGCCTTTACTAGCCAGTCTGATGACTTCAGCTGGCTACACGAGCCAGTCACAATACCAGTACCTGATGTTCTTTTACAGATCCGTCGTCCCGTGCCTAGGGCCATATCCTCAGACATACCGCAGTGCCATGACTCACAATGAACTTCCTCTGGAGCTCAGCATCAATTTCCAACAGTTAGGCGGTTCCAAACCAGTCATTCGAGTCGCGGTGGAACCTGTGACATCCCTTTCTGGGACGGAAGAGGATCCTTATAATATGAGCCCTATCGGTGACTACCTCTCTCAGTTAGAAGATATCAATGTTGAGGGATATGATGACCGTGTATTCAAACACTTTTATCCAAAGCATACCTTGGACAAGGCCGAATGCCAAAAGCTGCAGGACCAGAATGAAGCGATACGTGAGCGTTCTCAAGCAGCTTTTGGTTTTGATCTCAAACCCAACGGCATCTCTGTGAAAGGATACACTTTCCCGGGCGTGAAATGTCATGCAGCTGACACAGACCTATGCTCTGTTGCCATTGGGTCCGTTCAGGAATACCTTGGAGATGCCGACCCCTACGGCACATTAAACATGATCAAAGATTATGTCGAAACGACTGATGAAAGGGTCAATTTCGGATTTGTTTACTCAAATGACTGCATCGCCCCAGAGAAATCTCGCCACAAGCTATATGGCCGCACCAAAGACATGTCTTGGAGCAAAGTTCGGGATACCTGGTCTCTCGGCGGGCGTATCAATTCACCCGAGTCGGAAAAGGGTCTTGAATACCTTGAGAGACTGTGGAAGGTGTTGCAGATTGGCGATGATACCCACCCTCTTGGTGTTCATCTGGTATACAATTACGAAACGAAGGCTGGTCTTCCTGTCCCAGCTACCAAAGTATACTTCCCGGTCTATGGTCTCAATGACCAGAGCAATGTCCGTGCCATCGCCCAATACCTCACTGAGATTGGACTGAATGTATATGGGGATGCATATGAGCAATCTGTGCGAGACAGTTTGTAAGTTTCATAATTCCAATTGTTTAAGAAGACCCTGTTGCTAATTATAAAAGCCCCGGGTTCGAAATAAAGGAAACAGATCGCCTTCTTTGCTGGGTATCATTCGCCTATACGGAGAAGACGGGGGTATACCTAAGCGTTTATTATCACTCTTCGCTTGATTACTCTTAGTGTGGAAATAATCCACGAATCTGATCATCATCTGAAGTGAAGTCCTTGATGGCTAGACTTTCTATAGATTTTCTCATGCAGTGTTTCAAGGCGGCGAGATCTGGAACCGACTAGATAAAACCACCTGGGGATGCAGATTTCTTTTTCATCCACAATTGAACAAGACTTCGGTCGGGTAACTATTTGTTCAGACATAATGTAAACTTTTGTTGAGTTCCAAAAGGCGAAGAAGTTAAAATTGTCATAATATTAATACTGCAGGATGTTATGGTAACAAGGAGTCCGCTAAATTCTGACGCGAAGGTGTCGTGCCGCAGACTGATGGCTTGCCGAGTTGAAAAAGAAAAAGAGAAAAGAAAAATTCCAAAAAGCAAAAGTAAAACATACAACAGCAGGGATTCGCATGTGGTCACCCACCATACTACTAACCTGCCGGCGTGTGGCTAAAACACAGACAGTAGTGTGGTGAGTGCCGCCTGAGTGAGAATGAGGTGAGCGCCGCTTTAGCGTCGCGCGACCCGGGTGATTAGGGTGAGTGCGCAATAGAGAGGGTGAGAACGGGGTGACACCGGGTGAGAATCACACTTTTCATGCAAAGCCCACGCTTTGACCCTCCAGGCTGAAGTGAAATATACATCATTGGCTAATCTACCACATCTGATACACTAGTCTACTTGGCACCTGCACATAGCCACCTTCCATGTCCCAAAGAAGGAATGACGAGTGAGTCCTTTTTACCTCGGTACAGTACCTTCAAGCCAGCAACTACATCTTTTATACTGCTAGAGGCGGTCTCTATTAGATCCTTCAAAGCCTCAGAAGAGTCGAACTTCTGAGAGACCGGACTAGACGAATGAATCGTCTGTCTTGCTTTAGTTCAGACGTATGTTTTATCATTCCATTCTGAAGGCCATTCTGAAGGGAGAGAGGAGGTTATAGATACCATGCCGTGCTAGGTTGGGGCCTTCCATAGTGTCAACTTCCGATGGGGTGACTTGCTTCCTGATCTGTGGTGTTTGCCTGCCAACTGGTCACGTTGAATGGTCGAACATTTGGTGATGGTATCTTGCTGTTAGAAGGAAGACTCTCTACGGGAAGAGCAACGGTGAACTGGAGATCCTGGCAGCTGCATGATATCCTCAGTATCATCATTGCTGGTTTGAGATTTTGATGCTCGGAGATTTAGATTTCTTTCAGTGCTGCAAGAGGAGGGGGAGTTGAACTTAGATCTCTTCGTATGTAATGCAGAGGAATGCACGGAGTAGATCGGCTCTCTTATTTTGCAGCGCCACAGAATATCGATATTCTGATAAACCAACCTCACCGCTCCGCCCCAGGAGCCCCAGACGCGATCAGGTTTTGTCGATCATGAGTTACCGGATAGATCGTAGAAGCGGAGTTGAGTTAGTCCTTTCTGAAACGAGCTGGAGAAGGATGACTGCTAGTGCAATGCATATGCACCCCTAGGCAGATCTGGGCTCTCTTGAACCTTTTGTTCTTTTGTTAAGAGGAGATAAAATAAAGATCGAAAAAAGTATGTTTAATATATCTAGGATCTCAACTCTGCTCGCAGCCTCAGCTCAACTACATCCTCATCGTTTTCTTCAATACAGAGCGCGTCATTTGCGGCCTCAAAAACCGATTTTCTGATCGCCTCCATTTTAGTTTTTGTGCAGCGGAGAGTCAGGTTAAATATATTGGTCCAGTCCTTCCCAGGATAACGCGCCGTCGGATTTGCCAATTGCTTATTGTCGGATCCGGATGCTGCTGTCATGGGAAAATCGCCAGAGCTATTGCTGAGTTGACTGCAGATGGCGACACTTGTGCCTGGGCTTGATTCTTCTGAGTCTATTGAGGCATATGGATACTGTGTAACACTGTCGAATGGAGACATAGAGCCCAGTAGGCCTTCGGAGGTATCCTGCAGTTCAGGCAAAGTGCACTTGGGCAACGGCCTAATACTCTGGGGCTCCCAGTATGAATCTTCAAGCAGATTGCCAATCCCTAAGTCGCCGTCGAGTACTCCCCCCTGAAACGGTGAAGAAGATGAGGAAGTTCTTGCATCTGTGGGCCAAAAACTTTCTGTTTCTAACATGGCATTTGAGGTAGCCGCCTCGAGGCCTTTCCAGCCATATTGAGTCGTCTTGGCGAATAGGGCATTACCATCGAATACACTAGCCATCCTTTCATCTTGAATTTCCTCTTCGAATACCATATCGGCATCGCTAGAACTTGCAAAACTGTCAAGCTGTCGACTGTTTCGATATCCGGACGCTTCGATGAAATTAGGCGAGTGGGAGCGAGATCTAGTTTGGAATGCTGACAAGACCCGAGGTAATCCATTTAGCCTATTTTTTTCGACGGATGAGGAGCGCATGTCTATTCTTCAATGATAATGCGGCCCGATTCTTGAAATTGATCTCAGATAACATCTTCCAATTTCGTCCGTGCTGTTCAACGCCAATGAGTAGGCAATTGTCCTATCAAAAATACCAATAAGCTCCTATCAGGCATATCACGTCGATCTTAAAATCTGACTCACTTCTGCAGGACTCCAAGGGCTATGATCAAGATTTGGATCTAGAACTTGTTTCCAACGCTTAGAGCACTGATCACTGGTTCGTGTCCTGACTTCTTTAGAAACAACACGCCACTTTGTGCCATGCTTTGCAACTGCAGCGCGCAGCTGATCATCCTCAGTATCCATCCAGCTCCCGAAATTGGTACTTCCTGCAAATCTCTGGTACCAACGTTTGCGACAGTCCTTATTGTCCCGTTTGGGGAGGTAGCTTGCTATCCAGAGCCAGTCGATCGGCGTCGTGGCTGTGGAATTGAGTCAGCTTTATCAGAGCTTGTAATTGCTGGTTTACTCAGGACCAAGAATTTGAAGGGTTTAATTAACTTGCCTTGATCCACTGCTGCTTTCAATATTTGGTCTTCAGTCTCAGTCCATTTGTGACTATTTCCCATCATAATAAAGATCGCTGTGTGGATAGTCAAAACGACGCAAAAGAATTTCAGAGCATAGAGGTGGGAAACGTTACAAGAAAAGCATCTGCACGTTTGGCGCGAATAAACAGGCCATCCGAGTATACTTCTGGGGGCCATATGCACACAGGATTCCCAAAGGCTAGTTAGTGGCAAATCTGATTTTGAAAGAAAAGGCCCTGGTATCGAAAGAGTACATCCATCATTGGCTCGCAGGCACGAAGATATCAGCTGCATAATCCAGCCTCAAAGATCCACATCTTGGATTGTAGTTGCATAAAGCTCGATATAATCGTCATTTCCATGTGATGCTAGCAAAGGTCATTGTGAAAGATTCGGTAAAAACCAATAGCTCAAGTCTTTTGCACAGGCTCGAAATTGATTAAAAACGTCACCTTTCCAGTATAATCCCAATTGGCCTCGTAAATGGTCCTGGGTTTTGAAGCTGAAACAGATAAGCGATGCGGTTCCTTCGCAAAGGAATATTTTTATCTTCGTTTATGTTGGGAGTCCAAAAATCAACCGATAGCAAACTAAAGCACTTGAGAGCGCCGCCAAGGCTGCGTGCTTTCTCGAGCATCATCGAGCTCCACCTATGTTGAAAATAGAACGAGGCTTCATATAGCCCTGATTTTAAATTAAACAAATAGATCGAAATATGTTCTCATAGTTAAAACTGGTCCATGATTGGCCCTTTGAAATGCAGAATGGTCTGAGCTGTGAAGCCCAGCCTGAAGAAGAACCGATCCCTCGCACAAAAGTACTGATCAGTTAGTCGCTATGAGAAGGAAGAGAGCCCCGCAGTAATCCATGGACAAAAGTTTGAAAATTATCACCTCCACTTTGTTCAGATCCTTCCTGTGCTCTCATCATCAAGATGCCATTTTTCTAAGGTGTAGCTGGAAGGAACTGTTGAAACTGCAGCCTTTATAAATTCAGAAAATAGTAATTTTCAGATTTGATTTCGTGGTTTCTCGGCTTGAAGAAGTCTTAACATCAAATAGTAGGAACAAGTTATAATCAGGACTTATAGGTCCTCACACGGAAGGTAAGTTATATCCGAAGCACGTCACTGGACCGGCGGCCATTACGCGCGGACCGAGGACGCAAGTGGGTCGGAGCAAACGGCCCGGTCCATAAAACAGAGATTAAGTTGTTCAGAAACATCCGGACGAAATCCGGCCCACTTGATGCGTAACGAGGCTCTCAGAGTCCCCAACCCAACCTGGGTGCAAACGTGTTCAACCGAAATATTGCATGCCCTGAGAACGTCGGCAACTTTCGAGCCGAGAAACTTTGGCGATTGACTCTATGGGCTGCTATGAATGACGTTCTCACCCTAAAAAAATCATCTCCTGGCTAACATGATCTCGGTACTCTGGCATTTACCGCTCCTTGATGGTGTGTAATGAGGTGGTCCGGATAGTCTTTCGACGGGAGATCTTTTGCCGTTTAATAACAGTGCGAAATATCCAATTTGGTCAATCTTATTCTACTGATTTCTCGAAACGCGAAACTCTCCCCATATTCTAGTCATATTCATCCTTCCGATCCATCGAAAATGCAATCCTATATCCAATACAGGCAGCTACGACATTCTGTCAACAGAAATCTCGAAGTGAGCTCCTTTATGGGGCAGAAAATCTTTCATGCTTCCCCGGTCGATGTACCTGGAAAGACTTCTGATTCACTCGGCGCCGAGATAGGCCAAAAGTGCCCAGAGGACCCAGAGAAGGCGCTTTCTGATAATGGCTGTTCTGGAGTAGACTCATTGAGAGGAATCCAAGTCAAATTACGTTCTGGTGCTACTGGAAGTCCACTGAAAGAGGTATTTGTAGTTGGGTGGGAAGGAGAACATGATCCTCTTGACCCACGCAACTTCAGTCTCTCCAAGCGCATGATAGCAACGATTATGGTGTCTGTGCTATCATTCTCAGTCGGAGCGGCTTCGTCGATAACTGCCGCCGTACTTCCTCAGAGTAGCAAAGATCTCAACGTAAGTGAGGTTGCGGGTTCCCTGGTAACTGGTAGGTCATATCAATTCATTATGCAGCCTAGTACAGATTAAAAGTCATACTAACACTGATCTTAAGGCATGTATCTCTTTGGATTTGCAACAGGGGCCCTCGTTTCAGGGCCTTTATCCGAGATTTTCGGTCGCAATATGGTATACCTCAGCTCGCTCATTATTTTCATGATCTTTGTGATGGCTTCTGCCCTTGCCCCGAACTACGGTGCGGAGCTTATTTTTCGCTTCTTGTCCGGTGCCTTCGGTTCTCCACCTCTCACCTGTGCAGGAGGTACAATCGCAGATCTGTGGAACCCACTTGAGAAGACGCTAGCTTTCCCGTTCTATGCCATCTTTTCATTTTCGGGGCCTATTCTCGCACCTGTGATCTCTTCATACATGGGCCAAAGCAGCCTTGGATGGCGCTGGGCTAATTGGATCATCTTGATCATGTCGAGTATCGTTTTGGTTATAATTATCCTAATACAACCAGAAACCTATGCTCCCCTCCTTTTGAAATGGAAGGCAAAACATCTTCGTATGAAGGCGGACGACACCCGGTTTGTATCTGAAATGGATATTAGCCACGCTGAGGTAGGAGCATTCGCACGGATATATAATGCATTGAAGCGGGAATTTCTTCTCACTTTCCAGGAGCCAATTATAATCCTGATTTCGCTGTATATGACAGTGATATACATCACTATCTTTACATTCTTTGACGGTTATGAATTCATCTTTGGTGATGTTTACGGATTATCGCAAGGTCTTACAAACATCATTTGGTTAGCAATGTTCGTTGGAATGATGTTAGCGGCATGCCATGTACCGTTTATCTATCGGTGGACAAAAATTGAGTTCGTCCAGACAGAGGAAAAAAATGATAGCACACACACTCGGCCGGAAAATCGGTTGTGGTTTGCCATGCTCGGGGCACCTGCTATCCCCATCGGTCTATTTTGGATGGCTTGGACAGACTTCGTATGCACCCAAATCATTTATTCTTTCGTCTTTCTCAAGAGAAATAACTGACTAACTCTCTCGGCATTGGCTAGTCTCATATTTCCGTCTGGTCGCCCATCGTTGCATCCGTTTTTGTAGGCTACGGTACCATTTTGGTATTCACTAGTTCTTACATGTATGTTATCGATGTCTATGATATTTATGCGGCATCTGCTTTGTCATTTATGACGGTATCACGCTACTATGTGGCGGGCGGAATGACGGTTGCTGGAATTCCGTTTTATCGCAACGTGGGTGTGCATTATACCTTGACGATTCTCGCTTGTATCAGCTCGTTGATGACGCTTGTGCCGTACATTTTCTATCGCTACGGGCCGAATATTCGAGGCCGGAGCAAGTACGCGACAAACAATCATAGCATAGCCAGTGTGGCTACTTGAAGCCCCCATCTATCGTAAAGATGGAATTCACTTTTCTTGAAGTATTCATTCATTACCAGATGTTATAAAGTCATATTGAAGTACTTAACTTATTCCATGAGCTTTCCCTTCCTGTAGGTAATCATGTTTTTATAAATCTGAGGTAATTAAAATTCATACTAGTTGGTTACACACGCACACGCATACACCCACCGCACAATTTATTAACGCCCGACGGCTAAGCCAAAAGGGCAACTATTAATACGTACCAGTACATGTCCTAACATATGCAATGTCGTCTTGAAGCCCATACATGTTTACTATCGCGGTAATTTAATGTCCCTTCATGGTAGAAAACGCCAGGTTCGATTTATAGGCCTTGGGAGCAAATATTTAATGGCGATTTTCTCTGCTTTAAAGGTCGCACTACTCCTCCTTTCCCGGTTAAGTCCTTCATTGGTAGCTACTTTAACAACTTACCGGATACTCTGTGTAGTGAGCCCAGTTACCTATACAGTAAGTTATCCACAAAGATAATTACTTCCCTGGACAATATCTGTATTGGAGAAGAGGAAGAAAATTAGGGATAGGGGAGAGAAGGCTTTCAGTTTTAGATGCTTGTCTATTGATTTTCATAGTCATCGCTTGTTCCAAGTAGAATCCTTCGACCTACCGAAGTACATTCTCAGGTATGCCTTATTCCTTTATTCGCTAAAGTAATTTCTCTTTGCAATTCTATTCTAGGTTCTTTGAAATTGAAGCGGATAGGCTTAATACCCTTCAGCTATGCTAAACTGTGTAGATTTGCTTCTATGGGGGTAAGAGTGCTAACTCTGTTGACTGCTGTTTGCCTCCGAAGTGGGTAGTTGGGAGTAGGCTGTTAGTTTTGTTACTGAGTGTGAGAATCTGTCTAACTTCTGACTTAACTTCTGACTTAACTTCTTGCCTACGGTTAATAAGAGGGAATAATTCTTTATTGTTTGCTGATTGTGGATTTTACTTTATTTTGCCAGTGTCTAGATGGGTCTGTATCGGTACAGTCTTAATTGAGGGCTCCCAAATCTATACAGTCCATGATTCATGCTAACTTTGGTACTTCTCTCTGTAATACCACCCGTCGTAGTTATATACTGTACTCGAATAACGTCTCAAGGCCTTGTGCATTTGAAACCATCCTGCAACGACGAGATTTTATCTGAGATATTAATAGTTTTTGGCGCTGGGCTGAAGTGCACTCTGCCGCCTTTCTTGGGCTAATATTCTTTATTGAAGGTCCCATCCAAATAGAAATCTGATCGCTGCTCCCATCTCGAGATGACAAAAAGGCAGCAAGAAGTGGTGTACTTTGTGTTCTTCTCTAATTAATGGATTTCAGGACGCTTTTTGGGCTTATGAATATTTTTGAGAAAAGCAATTAGGCACACTTTATTTCATACAACGCCCCGAAAGCCAGAAACTGACACTTTGAACATTTAGGCGGTAGTTAGGCAATACTTGTGCTATTCATTCCCTCATGAAAATAAGCGCGTAACTGAAAATAATCACTTTCTAAGCCGATACTCCAAAATCAATATTTCCAAGAAACGTGCTATTATGCGTTGAGCTACTTCCCATCTTCCGCAAACTGGCAATGCCACCAAGTCGCCATGTTCTTCTTGTACCAATCGACTGTCATCTCTAATCCACTATCAAAGTTGATTCGCTGTTTCCAACCGAGTGCTTGAAGTTTGTTCCCATCAACTGCATAGTCATTATCGTTGAATGGACGATCGGGCAGCCATGTGATCATATTGCCAAAGTCTTTGACCGGATCATGGCCGAATAACGCTAGCATCATAGCCGCCACCTTTCGATTGGATACCTCGTAGCTAGAATCAACATTATAGATCTCACCAATCTCGCCCTTGTGCAGGATAGTATCAAAGGCATCGGCTGCGTCTGCTCCATAAAGAAAGCGGCGGGCGTTGTCTCCATTCCCTTGGAGCGTGAGATTTTGACCTTTGAGCATCAAGCCTGCAAACCTCGGTATGATTTCTGGGATTTTTTTGTCAAGTCAGCTTATCTTTCTCGATCCAAGGGATTGGGCTGATGAAACTAACTTTCGGGATATTGTCCTGGTCCGTAAACATTATTGCTTCGCACGATAATGATAGGAAGACCAAAGCTCTTTTGATATGCCATCGCGTACATCTCTGCTGCAGCCTTGCTAGCTGAATAGGGGTTTGTCGGTCGCATTGGTGTGGAATTCTCCATTGCCACTTGGCCGTTCGTTTCACCATAGACTTCGTCAGTCGACACATGGATGAACCTTTGAATTTTACCATAGGAGCGAACGGCTTCTAGTAGGCTCTGGGTTCCCAGCACATTATTTTGTGTGAATGTGAATGGGTCATTAAACGAATTTTGGACATGACTGCTTGCTGCAAAGTGCAGGACACAATCCACGCTGTAGGACTGAAGCGCAAATAAGACGGTGTGTTGGTCGTTAAGGTCGCAATGAAGGAAGCGAAAATTAGTGCAGGTAAATAGGTCCAGGATGTTGTTCAGCGAAGCGACTACATCCATCTTATCCAGACATATAACATTATAGGTCTCGGCATACTGCCGGACCAGATGTCGAGTTACCCAGCTTCCTCTAGCAAGGATAAGTTACAAGTCCATATGACAGTACTATGATACTGAAGAGCTAAAACTCACATGAAGCCTGCCCCTCCGGTGACAAGAATCGTTTTCAAATTCGGGAGAGGTGGAAATTTGCACAGTCCGGTCAGAAAGGCATCGATTGGTCCCTCAATACGCTCACTCGGCGATACAGGAGTGACGGGTGTTTCGGTAGCTGCAGGTGCCATTCTGTACGGTCAAGTTTTTGGTTTGGGTAATTTAAAGATAGTGATGCGTTCGATTGAATTGACTCCTAGTATTCTGTGCAACTGCCCCGTGGAAGTCTCAGTCCCTTTAATATCCTGCATTTCCATGGAATGTGTATGTAATCAACCAGTGTTTTTATAACCGGAGTCAAATAGAGCGTGATGTGGGTCCAATTTCAAAGGAATCAGAGCTGACTCCGTGTTTATCTGATGGGATACTGGGCCACTAACGAATATTATAAACGTGTTGACGGTCGGATACTAACTACCCGAAGAGCCGGGAAGCCCCAGAATCCGGACATAAAGTTAATTGTTCGCCGAAGCCCGACTCCGAATGCAACACTGACTCCGTTTCAACTCCGGGTACTCTTGGTATTTATAAACGAGCTGGCTCCTGCTATCATTTCTGAATTAGATTTTCACATTTAAGCACGGACAAGTGATCAATCACACTGATCCCACTATCAAAATGACAGTCTCGTCATCTAACGAGGTATTTCTAGTATTTGGTGCGTATGCCACGGAAAAGCAGTATCAAAAAAAGTCAATATTTGCAGCCATATTGACGAAGAAAAATCAGGCAATGGATGGGTGTCTGGGCTGATCCAGGAAGAGTTATCGAAAACTGGAGATCGCTACCAAGTCTCGTCTGTACGAATTGAAGACCGCGAAGCAGTACTTCGGTGAGTCTCATGAAAAGAGTCGTGCCTGGCCAGTATGACTTACATCGGTGAAGCGAACTCGATCGCGTGAAGCCTACCCGTGTGATCAACACCGCTGGTAAAAGAGGCTTTCCGAACGCAGATTGGTGTGAGGACCATAAAGATGCAGCAATTCGATCCAATGTGATCGGCGCTGCTAACTTGGTGGACTGTTGCTTCATAAGAAATGTTCATATTACTCATTTCGCTTCCGCCTGCATTTATGATGAAGATGAAAGTCACCCTTTAGATGGCCCGGGCTTTACCGAGGAGGAGCCACCAAACTATGCTGCTTCTTTCTACTCTTACTCAAAGCTTGTGTCAGAGCAGGTTTGTGTCCTTTCCCTTTGTTGTCCTGATCAAAAACTAACACTTACTCCCGTAGGCGATCAAGAGTTATCCAAACGTTTTGATCCTCCGTCTTCGCAACCCGCTTGCCGCGGATCTTCATCCAATGAATTTCATCACGAAGCTCATTAGATACGAGAAGATTGTTAATGTTCCTAATGTGAGTGAGCATCTTATTTCGGGATTTGATAAGCGTAGAAACTCATAACTTCAAGTCTGGGACCATAATGACGAACATGACGCCAGCTGCAGTCCTGCTTTCGAGACACCGTGAAACTGGCATATTCAACTTTGTGAGTCAATTCGACAGTTGCGAAATGAAGCCACGGGACTGATAAATTCCAGACAAATCCAGGGACATTTACTCACAACGAGGTTATGGAGTTGACGAAGAAATTTATTCGCCCCTCCCTAAGCTGGACAAATTTCAGCCTCGAAGAGCAGAGAAAAGTTCTTAAAGCACCTCGCACGAATGCCAAACTGGATGCGTCCAAATTAGAAAAGACATTAGCAAAATATGGTTACACCATCCTGGGCGCCCAGGATGCGCTAGAAGAAGCTTTCGTCATAATGAAAGCCAAGGGATATAAATGAGTCTGCCAGTAGTGGCTCAGGCGAACGGAGAAGCTATCTTAGTAAGGACGGTCGATTTATTCGGCATATACCCAGGAAATAAACATTGAGGCTTAATCCATACCCCCACCTATCAATCCACATAATTATTTGCCTTATCAAAACTGCTGTTCTTAAACTCCAGTAATATTTTCCAGTCCGTATAGAGGATCCAATGGGAGCGAGTCGGATAGTTGCTCTTGCATACTAGCTTCCCAAACCTTTTCCGCGTTATGCTGAGGCGGAGAACAGTGTACGGGTGGCACAACACTCCCATGGGCTATGTTGAAGGTTTGAAAGATGCAATCCATGTCGTAGTCAAATGACTCTGAAGGAATGAGAGGTACCTCATTTGGAAGGAAAGATTGGGAGAAATTTGTGACGGAACCTGTATGATTCCTAGTTGAGTTCCCACCGTACAAACCGCATGTTTCTGGAATAGTTGCACAGCCTTCTGTGGTCATGTTACCGGGGATTTCAGTAGTGGAATTGTCGTTTTCATCAATGCCAACACGTCTCATAAGGTTTCTTATCACCCCCAATGCTTTCTTTTGGTCCTAATGATAATTCCTGGTGCTCTCTAAGCGTCGAAACACACCTCTGGAGTGAAGCATGGGCTTGAGAGTCCGATGGGCTCTGTGCAGCCACTCTGGCATGAATTGTGGCGCTAACGTATGTTGCGTAAGACAGAGTGTATGGTGCAAATCTGGTCGAGAACATTTCCCGGTAGCAGGTAAGTACTTGGTCTATTGAACTAGCTGCCGAGACACAGGTGTTGAATGCAAGAGGTGCGGCAGACAACGACACACCGCGCAAATGTCCATCAGACACAAATGGACGGTGAAGAAGTATTTCCAACGTATGGTACAATGCCCTGTATGAAGTAAGCAAAATGCGAGACTCATTTCTTTTTGAAGTCGGTTCTATGGATATACCTCAATGAGAGAATATGCGGCGATGCAATCCCCCTCGACATCTGCGACAATGTGTCGGTCAGAACAGATGGAATGGACTTGAGCCAATTTTTGAGCTGATGGTAGAGAGATGATGAGGCCTCAAGCAGACTATTTGGTTCCTTGAGTGTGCTGCGCTCTGTGTATAGAGTGTCCAGGATACCAGACATAATAATGGAAAGAGAACAGTAGCCTTTCAGAATTGAGATGTTATGGGCTGGCAGATCGGAAGCTCCGTTGACGTTCGCATAGGATGATGCCTGCAATGTCTCATACTCTTCAAATTCGTCAAGGAACCGTGGATATAAGCTTGTGTCAGCATCACACAATCGAATGCACCTCCCTTGATATAAAGACAAGAATTTGTCGATAGCTAGTTCGAAAGCAGTGAGCTTTGAGGCTCCAATAAGATGGGAAAAAATCTCCTTACAGTATGCACCCCAGAATACTCTCTGTCTAGCTTCAATATCTTCAGGGGCCAGTTTACCCACTCTAGGGTCAGTTTTATGGCCGGTGTGTAAGCCCAGATCTATGATCATATTGATAGCCATTCCAGAGTATAGCCAAGACAAACTCTTTTCATCACACCAGTTGAACAAAGCATGAGACAATAGAAGAAGCGCTTGCACTGTAGGTATCTCGCTTTTGGTAATGTGATCCCCAATCAATTCCATCGCCCGTCGCCGAAATCTTCGACCCGCTGTCAGCGCTTCTGTCCGATCATCGAAGACTTCCTCATGGGAACAATATTTTGAGGCGGTGAAGTAAATGGCGTTGAGCAATAGTTTAGAGAAGTATGGCCCATGACATGCCATATCCCTCATAAAGGTAGGTCTATAGACAACTGCGCCGACGTCGAGCTGACGGTCCCAATACAAAGATAAGAGACGCATTGCGACCCGAGAATCTACTCCATCGAAATCAAATCGGCTGGAATTGAAGTTAATTTTCTCCATTTGACCTACAAATCGAACAATGTTAGACCACGTCTATCGCATCTAGGAAAGAAGACCTACTTAGTCTGGCTGAATTTGCAAATAAAGCGTTCTGAAGGGCTTCCAACTCCTCAGCATGGTGAGAACGCCCCTTAGCCATCATGTCGAGGTTTGAGGTGATCTCATCAGTGACAGCACTTGTCGGTCCATGCGATTGCGCAACAGTGTCGACCTGACTGAAGGGTTGGGGATCTAACGGTGGAGTACTTAAGTAGTGAAGATTCTGGCGTCCCTCGATTCTTCGTCCATTCCATAATTCCGGCGTGTGCACTGACATCAATTCCAGTGACTTGGATGCAAACTCGGCTGAAGTTTGAGACTCAGCTGTTTTGTCAACTCGTTGGGGCCTCAACCCCTGCTCAAAATTGGCCAGTGAATCTTTCAGATATCTATTTTCTTCCTCCAAGCGGGATATGCGAGCTTTAGAAGGCCTAACCCAATCGTTAGTTTATTTATTTCCCAGCAAGGCTTGGCACTCCGGCAGCCTACCGAGGAAGCTTAGGTGTTTCTACATAGGCACAATCTTTTCCGCGGGCCTGGCATTGCTGGCAGATTGGGCGATCGTTACTGCATTTGAGCTGTACTCGGTGTTAGCTTTGATTAGATTATAATTTGCTACTAGTACAGATGTACTAACTTGGGGGATCTTTGATATTGGCCTACTTTTTTTTGACGGCAGTACTCGCATGCAGTGATGGCTCGCACTCTTTGTTCTCGAACAGCAGCTTTGTATCTGCTGTTGGGAACAGGTGGAGGCATTCCTAAAACGGTGATTGGCGGTTAACACTTCAGTCAGACTCACAGATGCCCGATACCGGCCAGTGCAAAACCAGGACAATTTGGCAAATCTGGAGAATTTGGTGGTTTTATCGAGGTCCTGTCCCTTCAAAGAAGTCTCAGGTAGTGAGGTGAAGTCCGGATTTGGTGGGCTGCAGTCACAGTGGGTCGGCAAGTGACCTTCCGAGGAGCCAAGGCCCAAACCCATCAAATATCAGCTTGAAAGAGCGTACCTGATCACATGATGCGGTATTTTCCGGTCCAGCGGCATGGAGATAGCTCACATGTCATTTCCCCGTACGATGCTGAAATAGCTTTCACCTTAGCAAATAAAACGCTAAGGAGAGAGGCCACTTGGCTTCCTCCGAATGCCGTTATCATTTCCTGGTGTTTCAATCTTACCTATACACAGTATATCCATCAACGACTGACTCTCTTTAAAAGCGCAATGCAGCGGCCACTGCCGAGAAACCTCGTTTTCAAAGTTCGCTTCCGGTCGGCTTCAACCCCCATAAGTAACAACCTACACTCAACAGCAACTTCCGACGGATATGTTGATGTTCTGGACGAAGGATTTCCATGTGACAACACCAAAAGCACTGGAAATCACTCACGCAGAGTTTCTCTCCCAACTAGCTGCTTTGACAACGACTCTTCTGCCGAGTCTGAATGGGTGGGGCAGATTGACGGACTGATAATTGACGAGGACAGTGAGGGCTCACATCGAGATAAGAGTCGGAAGTATGTTGGTCACTGCAACGGTAAACTTATCAGGCGTGATCAGATACGGGCTCAGTTTCGTTCTGCCATGGGGCAACTATCGGAGGAAGCATGTCTTCTCGCATTTAGTTTGATGGACAGGTTCGGCCGTTTGAAAGCAGATTTCAAGAATCATCCGGTCAAGAAAGGCACTGGGCTGTGGAGCTCGGGGCTAGAGAGCGGCGACATATTTCTCATCGAATCCTTGCAAGTCGAGAAGCCATGTCAACTTTTCGATCAAGGCATTGTACTCGTGAAAACTGTGCTAGAAAAGGTTCGGAGGCAAACACCTGGGTTCGTTGCTATTGTACGTCCAAGTGGAGCTCCATGTGATCCCAGTAAGAAAGAAGTATTCAGACTTTCTCCGAAGATGTATTCACTAGACAGTTTGGAATGTTTCTGGCGGGAATTGGGGTTTCGACGCATAGGATCTTCGGCGTGGTTTGGACTTTCCTTGGATCCAAAACACCCATGCCATCGTCTAGACGCTGCCCACGACTTTATAGTCCCAAAAGTCCCACCAATGACTTCGGGAATCTCAGACGATGAGATTCTACCGAGAATGAAAGCTGCTCTAAAATGTAGCAGTGACGATGACTCCTTGAAAATCCTTAAACAACTCACACATGATGAAGCGCGGGATGGTCCACACCTGGGATCGATCGATACTGCGAATGGTGACACTATTTTGCACCTTGTTGCAGTCGGCACCAGGCCTAATTGCGTGCGATTCATTTTGGACAGGAAGAAGTCACTTCTCCACATGCGCAATTTCCATGGCGAAACCCCATTGGATGCTCTCGTCACCAAATTGGAGGAAAAAAGAACCACACATCGCCACGATGCCATGGTCAAAGATATTTCGGATAATTTTGCTGGGTTTAGCGATCCTGACGTTGACTGTCTTATACTTCTGGATGGCAGTACTGATTTGAGCGAAGCAAATATCCAGCGCCTGAGGTACGGGTGTAGTTGTGGGCAATGCATATATGGGTGCCTGAGCCCGCGAATGCGCGTAGCCCTGGAGCTTGTGGCCGGTATATGGAGTGAATTTCTTTGCGAGTTTATTGACGATGGGGACTTATGGGTTCGGCAGAACCGCGTGTGTTTCACTTTCCTCTCAGATGATGTACAGATGCATCTTAAGAACGACAAGTGTATGAGGAATGGGTTCAGGAATCTCTGTGTGCATTTCATCAATTGCCTCCGGGGGAATATGATTCCTAATGATCATAACGTGCAATTAGTGTTGAATCACGCTGGTGAGTCACCTCCTGATTCATGGTGCTTCCTACAACGAGGTGGAAGTGTTGATGCAGTAGCTTCTATGCTCTTCCAATTCGCAATGGAAAGCGATGAGCTGGCTGGGGATGCCACGCACTCCGAAGATCAATTTCAGCTCCCTCGGTGCAGGAACGACCATGAGTTTGGCTTCGTCAGTGGATTGTGTGGTTATGAGAGAATATCACCTAGGAAAAGTCAATCTGCCAGATTCTGAATCATACTGGACAGGTTATCAAGGGGTGGAAGGAACATTAGAACTTTCATTTGATATGTGCACCTATTTAAAGAACTATCATGATATGAAATCTGTACTGCTAATAGGAATAGAATTATGATGTATATTCTCCCCTAATTACAATGCCAAGTTATATTAGTCTGTCCTTGTGCTTTGGGTTTCTGTTCAATGCGTCACGTTTTCATTATGCACTCACCCTTCTCACCCAGGTCGCGCGATGGGAAAGCGGCGATCAACTACTTCCCTACTAGGCTAGAGCTGGCGATTGGCTAGCCCAGCCATTCGGCGTGGGGCTTAAGTACGGCTGAGCGGACGGGAAGCCCTGTGCTCCACACCCTATGGTTGTATGTACTAGGCAACCCGAGAAAAGGGGTACATCATTCTTTTTATGTGGGATTAAAATAGACATGATGTGTCGCTGCGTGCAGAAAAAATCAATTTCGCCAATTACATATAGAGATGGATTCAAGTTCTCTCTCAGATATCTTTTTAAAATCCAGAGGAACGATCATACTACTAGTATTACTATACGGAGTAGTATAAAACATATTAATATATGTAGTAACTAACCTCGAAACTTAAACCTTGGAACCTTTTGGATAACTTCGAGCCCTGGATATAACACCTAACACTAGGAACTTGGGCAAGAACTAATATGAGGATGCTAGATACTACTCACAGAGATCAAGATATAGTATATAGATACCTCTAGGGCTGCCCTTACAATAAAAGTACTACGAGCCTGAGTAGTACTAGTCTGAAAAGCAAACCTGAGAGGGATATTTATTCCCGACCCCATTTGAAGGTTTTATTGCAATCGGCATTGAGATACACAAGCCCAATCATAAGAACTGGCCCCCACAAAGTGCTGCGGGGGCGGGTGCTTGATCCTCAACCGAAGGGGAAGCCGTGCTCTCCACACTCTATGATCGTATGTGACAGACTTGGGATGACAAGAGGTGTATTAATAGTATCAATTTGGGGAGAGGGGGCATATGGGAATAGGCGACCGCCACTTTAGCATCGTGCGACCAGAGTGAGAAGGGTGCGCGTGGAATCCTCGCAGACAGGATGGGAATCTGAGTGACAGTGGGTGATTCTAGCCTTCGAGGGCCGCAGCACAGACCGTTTTAGCTGAACTGTATCTTGGCACCTGCACGCAACTCGTCTGGGCAACGGATGGGATGGGGCGAATGTATCAAATTACATGCTCTTTTAAGGTACGGTCCGCGGGGCCCTGGACAACGAACATGCTCGGGAGCTTAACCTTGCTTTGTGGGACAAAACCCAAGCCCTAGGTGTTTGCTAGGCAAACCGGATCGCCTTTATCTCAACATTACGTACGTACGCTCGAATTAGTTTTCCCAGTTTAATTTTTTTTCCATTAATAGGATGAAATAAACATGATGTTGAAAACTAAAACGTGTATTTCTTTAAGATTATATGGCTTATCTTGGTCTTCATGGTGCGTCCTATGTGCACTTTTCCTTAATCAGGTAGAAGTAGAGTCTTTCTTCGCCTAAAGCTAAGCTGGTGACACTGACACCGCTTAAAATAGACAGTTACTGGATCAACCACTAACAATAATAGATCAAGTACAGAGTAGTCAAACAATTCGAAGAAGCTATCCATCTAATTCGACAGAGATCCTCGGCAATTAGTACGAGGAATTCCGGAGACACTGGGAAAGGGGTACTACGCAGTAACGTATTTAACCATCGAGCCGCCGCCCTCGCGGCGCTTGAACATCTTTTAGCATCAAGATATCGCCTCGCAGACAAAAGGTTCGAAGCATAGCCAAAGCAGACAAAACAGTGATTTAGTGTGAGGACACTCCAATCAAATTGATAAGTTTTTGTTCGAAATAGATGGTATTATTATACATGCACCGTAAATTAGCCGTGGTGCCCTGTACTGGCAAATGATTGGAACATGTACCTCGAACACTGAGAACGCCAATGTTACATTGGGATTTCAGATCAGCCCAATAAAATCATGCGGCGTGGCGTACTCGTATTTGTTTGGAGGAAGTAAGTCACGCTGAACACAAAGGGGGGTACTAGTTGGGGTGATCTCGATGCCGCTAATGCAAGTGCCTTTCTAACTAACTTCGTTTGACAAGCGTAGCGTTTAGCGTCGTCTGGATAGACCAGGATCGGGTCGTAGTATCTTCAGTTAGAATAATTAGCTTGACTCGCAAAAGTACCGGGATAATAAAGAAACTTGCGTGATCAGAACTCGCTTGGCTTACTGCGGCCCCCGCACGTTTTCAAGCAGGCTGGGTCTCATTTCATCGTTCTCAGTATCTCAAGAATCTGGCAGTTAGCATTTAAATTATGCGCAAATTCTAGACAAGAAAAGCCATTGAATTCAAGCCTAGCTATGGAGTACGAAAAAGACCACTTGAAGCTGAGATGGATGTCCGAAATTCCGCGCTGTGCTGTATGTCGCATCCTATTCCCTTGTCGCTGGCCCACGCCGACCCTTTTTTGGGAATTAACACTGACACCGAGGATTTGAATTTGACAATGACAGTTTGATTGCTTTTATCCACATGCCTTAGAGCGCGGCTGCATATATCAAGATTTCAGTTGCATATGTCTAGCGATCGCAGATCTCGCAATAGGTGCTGAGGCTTGCATCAACGCATGCCCTGTAAACCCAGATCAACGCTGTTCGTAACCTGACGTCTTCTTCTATTTATTTCTCCTATGTTACTAACCTTGATTAATTTGAAGGGGCGCCTTCTCGAATCCTTGACTTTTGCGACCTGGTTGGCGAAAAGATTCAGCTACCTGAATATATGAACCAGTTTGCTGGAAATCACCGACGAGCTGCTTTCAACCTTGATGCCAGTTACTCCGACTATAGCAGCTATTTCTCTGACTATAGCACTGCCGACTTCGACTCTGCTAGCACCGACAATTCTCAGCCAACATTGGCATCAGCGACGCCATCACCGACAGCGGCATCACCGACAGAGGCACCGGCGACACTGACTGCTTCACCAACATCGTTATCGACATCAATTACTTCCACGGCAAGTACAAATACTACTACTATGACTGGCTCTGCTTCTTCTGGTCTCTCAACTGGAGCAAAGGCCGGAATCGGAGTGGCAATTCCAGTAGCTGTCATAATTCTCGGGTTTTTTGTTTTCTGGTATTTGCGTAAAAAGGGGACCAAAGAAAGGAATTCTGCGTCTTGGACCGATGACAATAGTAATGCCCTTGAACGCAGTGTGAAAAATACAGTGGGGCCATTGCCAACTTCGCAGACCCACATTGCTGAAGCAGATAGCAACACTATTCACGAGTCTGGCGGCAAATCTGTCGTTCTATCAAAGTCCCCAAATGCCGAGACGCAAGGTCCTGCTGTTTACGAATTAAGTGGCAATTCTGCCATCAAATATCTCCCTCCCGTGAAACATTCCTCATTTGCACGAAGCGAATCAATGGACAAAGGGGTCCAACCGCTCGCCGGTGGAAGAATATCTCAAAAAGCAGACATATCAAGCAGTTCTACGACAGCTACTGAAACGAAAGAGAGCAAAAATTTGCATATTCCTTCGGGTGATTTTATCAACACAGGTATATTTTCTCAAAAGTCGCTTCAAGAGGGCTCTATGGAAATTACGCCGCGCTGGCCAACATCTTTGGAAAACGTTGATATGCCGCTATCGCAGCTTGAGGCCGAAGTCGCGCTTATTGCGGAGGAAAAGGAGCGTTTGCAGCAATTGCAGTCCCTAGCAGAAAGAGAGGCAGAGCTGAAAAGACAGATTTTGGCACGCAAGTCTGCAATGTAATAGGGAAAGTATCACGGATAGTCTAATATATCTATGTTTTACGTTGTCAACTAGTAAGTATCATTTACATTGGCTTCTTGCAATGAATTTGATCCCAACCCTCAGCAACGAGGCCGAAAGTTGATTCGCTTTGATCTAGTGAAAAATTCTACTAAATCTATAATAAGCTGATCTTGCCAAGCTCTTTTCAAATTTCCTCGGGGAGGATGATGGATTCTTGACTGGATGTAGTAGGTCTTTATCTGCAAAGGAGATGGCAGGTCAGAAGAATCTATCACCTGTAAGCAAGTGGGCCCGACCAACTATCAGCACAGTTCTCCTTTTTGCTTTTTGCTACCAAAATTATTTCTAGAACTACCGTTGAGATCGTGAGACCCGTTATAAAAGCTGGAGTGCATTATTATGAGCTCTCACTGAGCAATTTCAAGGCATTGAAATTTAGAGTAAAACGACTCGCCAGCCCAGCCTGGCTCCTATTGACAGGTTTGCTTCTAGGTTCCCAGCTCGGAGTGCTAGACTAGTGGTGAGCACAATCCATACCGAAATCGCTCATTGGTTGTCCATCTCCTCATTGCACATTCTATCCGCAATCTCATTCTCCTCCCTCGGAATCCAGAGATACTCCACGTCTCCCTCCTCTTTCAAGTTCTCATCAAGATCAGAGGCCTCCTCCAGAAGATCTCTATTTGCAACCTCTCTTCCCCTAGAGTTAATCCAGCCATTCCGGGTCCACTTGTAAATCCATTTTGTCATACAATTGACTGCATATTTTGAGTCGGAATAGATCTTGACTTGGAGATATGGACGGCCATCTAGCTCCTCGTACTTCTTCAGGGCTTGTTCCAGTGCCACGATTATGGCTGTGATTTCGGCACGCTGATTTGTTGGCGTAGGATCGGAGGGCAGCGGCCTAGTCCAGCCCCTGTAATTCCCATATTTGCTTTTGAAAACGGCAGCAGCAGCTCCAATCGCTGTTGGTTGTCCATTGCCTCGACAGCCGCCATCGGCGTAGATTTCCATAATGTAGACCATGTCTGCGGGGGCTGACGATGACGAGAAGGATGCAAATTCTCAAAGCGATGCACGGAAGGATGTGATTGGAAGGCTCGATTGCTCTTCGTATTTTGTACGTTTCTGTGCCAGATAGCTCTGTGGTATCACGGTCAGCTATGCAGAAAGTATCCCTTGACAAATGAACTCAATTACTTACAGCACTGCTTATATTCACTCCGGGGCTCTCGAATGAGATAAAGTTATCGAAACAATAGGATAAATCTGTCTTGGAGACGCAGGATACGCTAGCGACTGCTCAAATAAATGCGGGAAATCGGGTCAGCAAACTCCAGATGTCAGAGGCGGCAGTGTACAAAAGACAAGGAAATTGAGGATCGCAACTTTCTCTGCGAGAATTGAGTGAATGGTAAATTCGGCGGAGCTGAGCTTTTCCAAAGAAACAAACAGGCAAACAGGCAAACAGAGCGATCGCGCTGTATTGATCACATGATATTCTCCAACTAGCAATCACACACTGACGGAAGGATGAGAGCGAGCTCTATTTACTATCCAGTCCAAAAGGACTCTCATGTACATGATGGACACCCTTTTGAAATTCCAGGTGGTTGAGTCGAGCGAATTTAGGTATGATAACAGTAGCCCCGGCAGTTTGCTTTCGGCGCTATATGAGCTGGAAACTAACGATCTTGTGGGATGATGTTGCTGACCCTCTCCGTGAGTCCTTCAACATCCTCAATACTGTATTTTAGATGCACACGCTTATCCGACGGCGGTTGCTTCGCAGTGCATAAACCAGTGCGCCATTCCTTCGATGGGCGGATCGGCCGTCGAGCAAAGTTGCCGCCGCAGTTCGGACAGACGTTGGCTAGTTTCGTCTCCGCACAATCGGCGCAAAAGGTACACTCATAAGAGCAGATGCGCGCCTCTGTTGATGCTGGTGGTAGGTTCGTATCGCAATATTCGCAGTTTGGGCGTAGTTGCAGCACCATGGTTGCCGGTATAGGATGATGGATAGAATTCGGATGCGAGCGTTGAAGGAATAAAATCATTAGCGCGCGTTCTGAGAGTCTCTCGATCTATTTAAGTCGCAATGTAACTTGGAACCTTATATTATCCCCTGATTAATAATAGCGTGAGATATAGGCGGGGTAATCGATCCGCGGGGACTCGGGCGGGGACTCGGAGCTTTCAAGTTTAAACGTGACGGTAGGTGACAAATTGATACTTTGATATGCAGATATAATTGAAATCTTATCACAAAGAAAGTATTATTGAAGATATTCTCGCCAAACTGTCGCTGGCCACTCAAAAAGCCTTATGGGTAGTGACAAAACAATCAATCAGCATGCTTGCACGCTGACCCCATTTCAAACATTGTCCCCAGCAGCACGCTGAATCGCCGCAGTCATACCATCTGGCTGACTATAGAACGGGCTATGAGAAGCTTCAAGAGATTCCGTTCTAATTGCGTAGCCCTGTGCAGTTCCCTCAACTAGCAGTCTCTGGACGCCTATTGGAATAGCCTCGTCTTGGGTGCAGTATAAATAGGTGCTGGGGACAGTCTTCCAAGCTGCGTAAGTGCAAGGCCTATGAAAAGTTTGGTAGCTGTGAGGCCTCAGAGCTGCCACAGCTTCCGTGACTTGAGATTCATTACAATCATTGTAAAATATTTTCTCTGGTCCTGCAGGATGGACTTCCAGCCTATCGTCCGACACCATAAACCACGGGAGATCCTTCCCACCAAAGGCACTGATCAGAGAATGCCCCTCTGCTATAACGAAAGAGCAGCAAAAGAAAAGATGCGAAACGCCACCATCCAGGCCTTCCTTTCGACGCGTCTCAAGGTCGAGGCCTCTGATTGCTTCATTTGCTGGCAGGCTACCGTAGGAATGGACGACCACCAACACGTGGCTCCCATTGGCAATTTCTGCTTCGATCTGGGCTCGGATTTGCATGACGTCGGCCTCAAAATAATTGATTTCATAGTTTGGTGGATTGACTGAAGGGAGATAGACCTTTCGTGTGCGGTAGTTGACCGCTTCCAGTTGCTTAATCACTGCATCGAAACAGTCCGGGCTATGCCACGCCCCAGGTATAAACAGGACTGTGGTTGGGCGAAACATTCTTCTGCGCAAGTGAATGGTTTGTACATCGTAAGATCTGAAAAAATATCAGCATGTCTAGATCTCCATTGTGACGCGGTGGAGAGGTGTGCGGTATTTATGCACCTCGTTCGATGGTTCTAGGATGTAGCATAATCTCCGGCTCTGGTGGGATCTATATTCTACTACATTGAAGAATATCGCCAAACCAAGGCAGTTTTCAACATGCGGGAAGTGAAAATGGTAAATTTTGCACGAATGGCAATGTAGAGAACTGGATACTGATAAATCCGCCCCACTCCACCCTGCAATGCATCGAAACGCTTACCCGAAACGTCCTGGGCTTCGATCCTCCGCTCACTCTGATTCACCTGGCAGTGACTGATATCATCACCAAGTTTTCTTTTCGCCTCGAAAAGCTCACCGCACCGGCCTAGTCTACTCATCGACTGCCGCTTTCAGGATTTTCTGCGAAGAACCAACTGCAGAGCAATTTGACCCTGCTTCGTAGAGGCGGCGTTGCTTTTCTGCAAAACCTCTACTCTCCAAAGTGTGAAACGAAGGTAAAATTCACTCGGCTATGTCAACATCTGGGCTCTCCAAAAAAGGGTACCTGAGTGGGTCGCTCATTGCATGAAAGATTGATTCTAGAATTTCGTTGTGTCGAAGGGAGTGCCGAACTAGGTCCCGGTGCTGATCTTTACTTGATTGGCTAGGGCTATGGCCTCCGAGAAAGGAAACTGTTTCGATATCGATGGGTTTAGGCTTCGACGTTGTCTAACATTGCCACGGGGTTCACGAATTGCTTAATTGGGGTTGCCTATGCAAGCTTATCCCTCATATCACGGATCACTTTCCCAATCTATCATACTTTGACCCGAGGCCATGCCGATCAGGTCCATCACCACCAGCGCAAAGAATAGATTTTCCAAGGTTTCGATCAACATAGCATTCGCCCCCAATGATCAGCAACCTACAATGGGCTCAGCTTTCCCGTGGCTCTGCTCGAATACCTATATAAGAATGCTCGCCGCTGGTATTGAAATGAACAAGAGTACAATTCAAAGTTCCTCTTGATCGTTTCAATCAGAAAGCTTTTGATATTTTTCGGATAGCCATGGAGACCTCAACAACGATGAGAAAGGCAATCTGGTCTACATTTTTGTTGCATCTAGCTCCTCTGGTGCTCTCAGCCGCAGATCCAGGCTACGACTGTCGTCCAGGTCAGAAATGCTGGCCCACCGAAAGCGAATGGAGGCAATTCAACACAAGTCTCGACGGTAACCTCTTCGAAACTACGCCGATCGCGGCACCCTGCTACCCAAATTCACCACACTACGACAAGGCAGCCTGTGAAGCAGTTCAAGATTATTACGGCAACAGCACTGCCCGTGGTACACATTTTGGCCAAACATACTGGCTAAACTGGGAAACATGTCACAACTCCGGGTGCGCGTTGCTCGAGACAGACCCTTTACAGAGGCTCTACGAGACCTGCTCGATTGGAAGTCTCGCGTCCTTCTATGTTGAAGTCAAAAACCCAACGCACATTTCCACTGCACTTAAATTCGCCAAAGCCCATAACATCCGCATCAGTGTGAAGAATACCGGACATGATTACTACGGCCGATCATCACTCCCAGATACTCTATCAATTTGGACTCACAATCTCGATACAATGGACTTTCATGCCAACTTCAAAGCACATAATTGCCCATCTTCCAATGGCCAAAATGTCGGCGAGTTGGGTGCGGGAGTCATAGCAGGTGATGCATACCGTTACTTTCACACTCAAGGCATGGACATTACCGGTGGATACGAGCAGTCGGTCGGAATCGCGGGCGGCTTTGCGCAAGGCGGGGGCGTGGGTTCTTTCACAACAACGTACGGATTGATGGCGGACAATGCAGTCGAATTCGAAGTGGTGACTGCGGATGGTGAGGTGCGGATTATCAACGCCTGCAACGACCCAGAGCTGTTCTGGGCCATGCGTGGTGGAGGAGGAGGCACTTACGCGGTCCTCACCAAGTATCGCGTTCAGGTTTATCCCTCTGTACCGATCCACACATACACTTTCATTGCGAATTTCACCGGAGTAGGATACTACGAAAACGCGACTGAAAATGTTGCCCTCCGAGAAATCATGACCGCACACGCCCAAAGCCAGTTGAATTGGTCCGCGCAGTTGGTCACTGGACAGGTGGAATACTTTCCCGAGCAGTTTGCTGTCGGTCTAGTTCTTCCCTATGGGGATGATGGATCGAAACTGCGAGCGGCTACGGGGGCGTTCGCTGCGTTTTTGCGCAACAGGACGGATCTTGCGGTTGAGCAAGATAATTATACTTCGTATTTGAGCTATGCCGATTTCCTATCTGTTACCGCCGCTAGAGCCAAAGTGACGGAGCCTGCCGGAATATTCTCCCTTTTGGCGACGCGGCTTATTCCTTGGAATGTGTTTGAAGAGGATAAGAGTATCGATGATCTCGTCGATGGCGTGCTGCAAGGGATCGCGACGTCGAGGAGCTTGCTCAATCTCACCGGAACACAAATAGTCTCTGAGACACCTTTGACAAATCTCGACAATGACCAGCTATCATCTGCTCACCCTGCCTGGCGAAATGCTATTTGGCATGTTATTCACGCTGGAGAGTGGTTGGAGCCACTGGACAAAGATGAACATCTGCGCACGACGACGGGATTCTTGGGCATGTTGGAGCCCCTGAAGAAATTGAGTCCAGGTGGTGGTGCGTACCTTAACGAGGCGCACTATTTGGAGCCTCAATGGCAAGAAACCTACTTTGGTTCCTTTTATGACAGGCTATTGAAGGTTAAGAATGATTACGATCCAACTCATATCTTTGATTGCTATAAGTGTGTTGGATGGAGAGGAGATAAAGAGTGAGTCCTTCCCAAGGGTATTGTACTTGAAGAGAAATAGCGCTGATTCAGTCGATTCCAGTCCCTTCTATTCCTGTTATGACTGGTGAAATAAAGCATGGACCTGCCTTATTCAACGGTGCAGCCGGGAGTGACTTCAACAATGTTTGGTAGGGCAAATCATTGTGAGTGAAGAGAATGGGGACTTCACAGTCCATCTCGATTCCGCAAGCATTTTGAAATTGTCGGATGCGGCTCTCTCGAGATGGCCTAGCGAGTATTGGATGGGACTCGAGGAGGACTTCATCCTGTAATAACTTACCAAAATTGCCTATTGTATTTGCTTCAGATTATGGCTGCGTATATCTTGTATCTAAGGAATACTACACATACGAATGTAACAGTCTTGCTTGTGTTGTTTTAAAGCCCTTACTGGTAATAATACTCTGAATTACTTCCTCATTTCCAATGTAATCGTATAGGTATAGTCTTTGTTTCATAGCTAACTAATGAGAAGCATATGTAATGGCTTATAGTATTTTAAGTGACGATTAGAATATAAGAGGCACGATACTAGAATGGTGTTGTCTCTCAGATACCCAGTCCCCGAAACACGATGTCATTACACCGATTCAAAACATCCAAGGCCTCCTCTTTTCCATGCCAAGAATCGTTATACGCTGCACTGAGAGTCAATCTCCCTTTCCATGTATCCAGGAACACCCCAAGTCCAGTTCCTAGCTCCTCGCCAGTAACCCAAGGGTCGTCGACGCTGAAGCTACCGTAATTATGGCGAATGACCTTGTCTATCACGCCCATACTGGAAATGGACACCGAAGGAGTCTCATTTCGTGCCGGGATTGCAGGTGTGTCAGGTCCAGGATATGGGAAGATGGACATCGCCCAAAAGCTTGGAACGAGTTTGATATATTCTCTATTGCCGCGAATTTCCAGATAGTAATCGCGGATATGCTGAGCGATGGGGAGGAAGCTTTCCCCGTCGGTTGTAGTAGCTTTCGAACTCCGTAGCCCGGGGACGACAAGATCGACGGCCAAACATGGACCGGAGCCGGAGTGATAGACTGACGCGGGATGAGCCGATGTGCTGTACGGGGGCTTGCAGTGATGACGCTCGTTGACTAGGCAGTAGCTGACGTAGCGTACCATACGCTCGTTTTCTTTCCGTTCCTGAAGGTCCCTAACAGCCAGCGCAATCGCGGCATGGTATGCATGCGTGATGCTCAGTCCCAGATTGCGACATTTTTCAAGCAGCACCGCTGTTTTATTCTCAGATAAAGTTACTGCAACCCGTTGGTGCTTTCCAGGGAGAGAATTTTGACGCTGGAATGGTGGGCTTGCTATCTGAATGCCTTCTTTCAATGCGGCATTGTGTTTGAGGATTCCTTGCATTTGTTTTTCATGCTCTGCCGAGAGGGAAGCTGGTATCCCGGCTGCTACCCTGAGAGGCGGGCTGAGGCTTGACCACTCCTCGCCAAATTGAGGTAATTTGTAATTGGTTTGCTCGTATGCATCGGCGGCAATAGAGAAAAAATTGTTGAAGAGAAGCAAGGTGCCCATGCCATCAATGATGTCGTGATGCGAGCGGAGGACAAGATCAGCACGGAAAGTCTGGTCCTTTGAGGCTGGGGCTTTCACGAGGAACAGCGTCGGGAGAGCAGGGACTGGGGGATCGGAGTTACACCAGTCAAGTCCTGACATTCTTTCTGTTACAACGCAGAACGTATCTTCCAGCCATTGACGCTGGGATGCGCTATCAGTGAAGGTCTGGTAGGTCTTCTTGTACCTTTCCTGAACCGGGTCATATTGCACCCTGGAGGCGATGGTCGGGTGGTCAAACCGCAGACGAATCCAGGCATTTTTCAGCGCCTGCTCAACTCTTTTCTCCGTGTCGAGGAAGTGAGTGCCTGGCTCAACCGTAACGGAAAATGAAATGAACCCGGTCATAGCAAAGAAGACTCTTCCTGTTCCTTCATAGGCTTTTGCCAACGAGGCGTAGAATTCTTCCGCCTCGTCAATATCTCGTTCCCATCGCCCGGGCTGGGTCAGCTTCCATTCAAAGCGGCTGTCTACCGAAATAGCCATTGTTATTGGTTTCTGTCAAAGACTGTGGAAGCGAGTGTTGATTTTGTGATCAATAATTGTAGGTTTTTGAGCAAGTTGGGCGAACGGCTTTTTAAGATCACGCACCGACACACAACCGGGCAACTATAAGACAACTTGAACCTGAGCAAGGAGTGTCGGTCCGAATTTCCGCGGGTTGGTCACCATAGTTGCATAGAGTCTCTGCAGGAAGTGGGCTCACCTGCCGAATGGAGTAGAAGTCGCAGCACCCTGAAAGCTTTTCCCCGCAGGAGGATTGGCCCGAAGTTCAGCCGGCTACGCTGATACGCTACGGGGATCGCGGGGCCTTCTTTCTGGGTACATGAGATCGATGATTTTATTTTATTTTATTCTTGCTAAATTGCCTTGCATGAGATCTAAAATCTCTGTAGTTAGAGGACGCTTGATCATATGGCTCACTGAACTACTTCCGAAGTTCAAATTCTCACTCAGGCATCTTGTCACTCCAGGAACTTCTCAATTATGAAATTAACCAGAGTTTGAAGACACTCCGTCGTATATACATTCATCTGAGAGCTACTGGCCTAAGCCATATCTGTGTGCTTCAATCTATGTCCAGCATGGATCGTCTCGAGAAAACCCATCACACCACTAGCCATCGTCCATCATCGTCCATCATCGTCCAAGTCATCAATACACGCCGATGCCTACATACAGCACTTGTATTTCACATTTCAGATCGAGCTTGCGACACCTAGTTCGCGGTGCTCATAGTATTAACATCATTTAACCCCGATAGGCCTGCTTGGTAGCAATCTCCAATTTCTCAAGCTGAAACTGCTCTTCCCTACGCCGTGAGACACCCCGCTGGGACAGAGAGCCTACGGCGGCAGCGATACCCATGAGGATTTCCAGCCCCAGGGTCAAGCAAAGAAGTGCGAATCCAGCGCGAGTGTCGTGACAATCCCGCGAAAAGTCGATTGGAATAGTCTGTCCGCCAGATCCATTCTTCCACTTGCAGGTCCAGCTGTACAAGGTTTCATTCTCGGTAAAGCCAGATGGGTAGTTTGAGGAGGAGGGCGGTAGATGATGAAGATGATGCCGACAAGGGCGGCGATGAACCCGCTAATGGCCGACAGGGTTGAGTAAGAGTTGAGCAGCTTGATTCGGGAATGGGGCTGTACGCAGTGTTAGCTTTCTGTGTAGTTACTCGATATTATGATAAAGTTGCACTAGTACTTACAGAAGGAAGAAGGGCAGCGACCACATAGACCAAATTCAGAGCTGTAATCACACAGCCGCAGGCTAGCGCTGCAATGGTGGGACGCAAGTCAAAGTTCACGGGCCACAGGGGCAGATCATCACTCGACCACTTAGAAGTGTCATTGTAATGGCGTAGAGGGACCGCCTCACAGGCAACGGCAGCGATAGCCGCGATAGTAATCAAGACAGAGAGACCAAAGCGAGCCCAGTGTATCAAACGGTTGCGTTTGAGGAAGGTAGATTCCTCCATATCTGTGGAGTAAGGGTGGGAGCCCGCTGTCGAGGAATTTGAGCTCATGGCGACGATATTCGAAGGTGCAGATAGAGAGAGAACGGGGGATACCGATGTCACGGTTGGAGTATAGAAGAGATATTAACTCGATACCTTGCCGGCAAGGCTGGGAAAAGTATAATAGCAATCCCAATGTTGTTTGTAAAATGTAATAAAGAAGGGGGGACCCTAGCCGGGGGTTCAGAAAGACAGACAGAGACAGGGCAGTTGCAAAAAAAGAAAGAAAGAATGGTGGACGAGATAATCGAAATAGAAGCCCCCCTAGTTCCAGACAAAACATCAAGAGGGGACACAAGGCCGAATATGTAGGATAAATTGATCCACCCCGCGAATCGAGTCGCCGTTCGTCACGGACAGTTTTAGCGAGCGCGTTGCCATCACAATGCGTTTCTCGCGAGGGCGCGTATCCAGCGCTGGGGATAGGAGGTCCTCATCACGACATCAGCCACGGCAGATGAGTAGGATAAGATATGCGGGATCCTAATTGGTCTGATTGTAGAAGTTTAAAATTCTCAGGACCTGAAAGGTCGCACCGCAAACATGGGCTTGCAGCAGCAGTGTTTTGTGTTTTGTGTATTGAGAAGGGGTCTGGGTGAAGCATATCGTCCGGGCGTGAGCCTGCAGGCTTGGCAAGGGGGAGGGTGGGCGGTTAGCTGGGTGCTAATTTTGGAAATTGGGGAGAAGTTGCAACAGGTGACTGGCGATCATCACTCGAGGGGGTCGATGGTGGCTTCTGATTTGTGTTCCTGGAGTTCTCTTCTTTTTGAGGTTGGGGGTGGAGGAGGAACTGTGATAGGGCGAGGCTAAGCGCCGAGGATGATCTGTGACCAGTGGCGCTCGCTCGGGCTTAGAATCAGGGCAAGTGTCTGAACTTTGGTGGTGGTAAGTGGGGGATAAATATTGTCAAGCATATTTTGCCAAGTCTATTTCATAATTTTGGTCACTCGTCATTCAAGTTTTCAATTGACTGCATGTTCGTGTTTAGAGTAACTAAATGGTTCCTGAGGAGGGTCTGGCCAAGTGGATGTTTACCCGATTGCCCCGGATCATAATAGTTCGTTCTGAATAAAGATGTCTACTAGTATTTCAAGGTTTCGAGTTTAAATGGAACTTGAATGGTTTCATCTAGATACTCTCAGCGGCTGTAACAAACCAAATGTGATGTGTTGTAAACAATGGAAGTATATACTTGTAGTTATACGAGTAACTATAGTTATACTTCTCTGTGGGTTGTATACTTCACACCGCCCGGCAGAACAAGCCAAAATGGCGGGGCGAAAGACGAAGTGGCGCCCCCCCCCCCCGCGACTTTTTTCTGTTTCTCCCCCCAGATCCAATTGACTTCCATTACTCTCCTCACAATGCCCCTGTCTCACCTGCAGGGAGTTAAGATCCCGGCCTCGGCTGATTTCCATGGTATGTGCCCCCACTAAGGGACCTCTCCTAGAAAGATGCCATTGTGAACTGACTCGGACTGCTCTCGACAGTTCACCTGCGCGATGGACCGATGATGGAGTTGGTGACGCCCACCATCCGTCAGGGTGGTGTGAACACCGTCTTCGTGATGGTAAGATATCTTCTTGAATCTCAATAACACTGGGTGATTGATGTGAATTTGGTTTGATTGGACTGGATTGCCTCTAAATTATATACGACTTGTATAGCCTAACCTGGTCCCGCCCATCACGACCGTCGACCGCGCTCTGGATTACCAAAAGCGCCTCCAGGCCCTCGAACCCAATGTCAACTACCTCATGTCGTTGTACCTGCACGAGACCATAACCCCCGAGACCATCATCGAGGCCAAGAAGCGCGGTATCACCGGTGTCAAGAGCTACCCAGCCGGCGTGACCACCAACTCGAGCTCCGGCGTCGTCGACTATACTGCCTTCTACCCCGTCTTCGCGGAGATGGAGCGTCAGAACATGATCCTCAATCTGCACGGTGAGGTTCCCTCCCAGGGTGACGTGACAGTGCTATCGGCCGAGGAGCGCTTCCTCCCCAAGCTGTTCGAGCTGCACGAAAAGTTCCCCAAGCTCCGCATTATCCTGGAGCACTGCACCACTGCTGCTGCCGTCGAGGCGGTCAAGAAGTGCGGTCCTACCGTTGCCGGTTCCATTACCGCTCACCACCTTTCCATCATCATCGATTCGTGGGCCGGTGATCCATTCTGCTTCTGCAAGCCCGTCGCGAAGACCCCCGCCGATCGGGACGCCCTTCTTCGGGCCGCGGCCTCGGGCAACCCCAAGTTCTTCTTCGGTTCCGATAGCGCCCCGCACCCTGCTGCCTCCAAGCGTGGCGGTGAGAAGATTGCTGCCGGTGTCTTCACTCAGCCCTATACTACCCAGGTCGTGCTCGATTCCTTCGAGCAGGCCATTGAGAACGGTGTTCTCAAGGACGAGGATATCACCCAGGAGATTGTGGAGGGATTCATGAGCAAGTTCGGTCGCGCCTTCTATGACATTGGAGAGGAGACCAAGGAGTTCATCACTATCGAGAAGAAGGGTGAGAAGATCCGGGATATCCTCAAGTCGGATAAGATCGACGTTGTCCCCTTCCGCAAGACCCAGGACACATGGACTGTGACCTGGTCGTAGAGAATAGCCTCATTGCAGAATAGAAGAAGATATATAAAAAGAATTCGAAGTCCTTAATAAGAACCATTCTTCTATGCAGATTTGTTGTCCCGTGCCAGCATGCTCGCGACATTTTCGAGGGCATGGGCTTCGGAGATATCAATTCGGCGACCTGCGACAACAGGTCCTCCATCATCACTGATAGCCAGCTGCCCAGCTCGTTCAAGGTGCAGTCTGATTCGGCTTTCAATGTATTCCTTTCGTTCGTCGTGCATTGTCCTGGTCTCCATTGGCTTGAGAGAACCTGGCAAGGCAGCCAGCTTCGGTCGAAGCTGGGTGAGTGTCGACTGCAACGCAGGGAGTTGGGACAAAATGAAAGCGGTGTTGGTTGTAAGCGGGGCATACTTCGCCTTCGATCCAGCATCAACGCCCACGCGGAGCTGGCGTGCTGCCGGGCTGGCTGTCAGGAAAGATAGATCGAGCTGGTTGGATTCCTTGGCTGTTTCGCCGCTATCGGTCTTGGAGCCATCGACAGTGGAAACTATTGATTTCAGCTGGGAGATGACAGCGTCATTTCGCGCACATTCGTCTTGCAAGGCCCGGTTGAGTTTCTTCGTTTCGAGGAGTTTCTTGCGCTGCGCTTGGATAGTTTCGGGGTGGGAGCGTCCGGTGAGTTGTCGAAGGAGAGACCCTACAATCCAGAGTTTCAGTGTCAGTCAGACCAGGTTTCCGAGGGAATTCACCGTTCCCAACTCATTGTCGCATACCTCGTAATGTTTGAGCTTCACCCACGAGAGCAGGTCCTCGGGGACGGTGAAGATGTTTCTCAGCACGTAGATCTCAAGCTTATCAAATGCCTTGTCGACATTGGCTTCAAGAAGCGTCTCCAACTGGTGCAACCCATTCTCGATCTCAAGTTTGGCTTCCGGGTAGAGGATGTTTCCATCCTCGTCGGTCTCATGAATGACCGTCCCGTTACGGTCGTGGGCAAACCCCAGCCGCTCTGGAGGAGTGTCAATGAGACCCGATTCGAGACTGGAGATCGCCTGGTAAATCAGATTGTTGATTGAGTTGATAATATCGTCTATGAGAGACTGGAGAAACTAGTTAGTGTGCCATTTTCACTCGAAGGGGGGTGGGTCACCCTGCGCATAGATGCGCCAGTCCGCGGCGGAGGGGGGGGACCACTCACCAAGGGGGTGTAGCTGAAATGCTCAGTGAGCAAAGAGGTCGCCGCATCGTTCATTGCGGAAGAAAGAGGCCCTGACTGGCCTTTGTGAAGGTGAGTGTGAAGGTGAAGGTGAGCTTGAACGTGAACGTGAAACTGGGACACGCGCGCGCGTTGCGGAGGAAAAAGACGGCGGGGACAAACAGCCCAGACCGCCTCGGGAGTTGCGTTGCTGTTGTTGTTGCACTTCCACTTCAAAACATTCCTCTTGCACTTAGAAATACCTGCCACGACCGTGCTTCGATCTGTACCAGTGGTTGATGGTCTCGGTTTAAAACTTGCAAGGTCATCCTCTCCGCTCGTTTGTATGTTGACTCGAACCTGGCTGCCTGATGGTCGTACAAATCACCACTTGGACCGACTCGGCCACGCTACACCATACCGAGAGGAATTGGTAGCAATGGATGACAACTTGTTTAATCGGTGTAGAAATTTCAATTCTGTCCAAATTCCCAGTTTTGAAGACTACAGGTCCCAAGAATTGTGCCATGGCGACCGGCTTCAAGCTGCCCCCAGCGAGGGTATATAGTAGTAGGAGTGGATGCCACAATCCATGGGTATTGTTATTACTTTACCACTAGTACTCCTAAATACTACTACCTCCAAGACATCCCTGGATCCTGTTTGGATAGGTATTGATATTGAATTCCTCCAGAATCGGCTTCCGTAAGGATACTCCGTTTACAAATTCCAGGAATCCAAGTACTCATCCATCAATAGGTCAAGATGGTACAACCTCGCCATCGAGTCCTGGTGATAGTCTCCCAGCGAAGCGCCTACCTATCCAAAGCGCGAGAATCCCCTCATGACCTCATCTCACCGGCCCTTCGCGTCTTGATGAAAAATCAACTCACAAAAGAGCCAGTTCCCTTATCCCAAACGAGACTCCTTGCCGTCCAGAATTGGAGAACGCGATCATTCCTCGTCTTTGATATCGCCAACGCAGACTACAATGTCATGCTGGGCCATCTCCCGGAACATAACCAGCTCCCCGTTGTAGTCGCTCATTTCAGCAAGAAAAAGACGGGATATATGGCGAACTCGGTTGTTTCACGACGAGTCAATCACGATGTCGGGATGCTGCATAATGCGAATGGGTTCGAGGCTCTCCCGCCTTTCATCGAAGATCATACTTCAGGGAAACCCCCGGCATATCGGAACCCACGGGATATCACCATGCTGAAAGTCATATACATCTAGCAAGGAGCTAGGCGGACAGTAATGGAGGTCCAAAAACGAAAGTGGAAGTGGAAATGGAATTAGAAGTGATATTTCCAGAATGCTTTGTGTATGTGTGCTTTGGTATCTCAAACAAGAACCTCCCGAACGCCGTATTCCCAGTAACCCATCATCAAAAGTCCATTGTAAGTTGCGGCGCCATTTTTTCCAAGTCCTCTACCTGTATGTTTGGTTAGCATCATCAGGATACAGATAAACGCCCGACCCGTCGAGTGCAGGGAGAAATAAAACCGACCTCCAAAAACCCATCACCGGCCCCTCTGCCCCCATTATTCGTCTCGGCCCTTTCATATGCCGCACGCGCAATAGCCTCTCGCACAAAGACATCCACATATTTCGCCACGATCGAATTCGCGTCCTTGGCAACCTTCGTCTTCTCATTACTGAAATGCTGATGCAGTAATCGTGTAAGTAGCTTAGGCGGTATGGTCGGATCACTGGACGCCACGTCCTCGGTCGGATTATTCTCGATAATTTCTGCGAGTATAAAGTCCGGTTCCTGGGAGACGGAACGTTCGCGACTGTGGACAGATGATTCCGAGCCGGAGTCTGAGTCGGAGGCGACTGATTCGGGGCGGGACTGGGCGCGTTGGCGCTTTGCGGTGGATTTGGATTGAGCGGGTGTTTTGGATGAGGATGCTGTAGAGGAGGATTTTGCAGAGGGCTTGGTGGCTTTGCTGGTTTTGGTCTTGGGCTTGGGTTTGGGCTTGGACGCGGTTGTTGATGGCCCCGCGCTGGGTGCGCGACTCGGTGGTTTGAAGGGGAGTCGGCGTTTCTTCTGCGCGGGGGGGTTCGCCTGTCATTTTCTTGGATTGGGGAATCAGACAAGATCCGATTCAATCGTAGAGATGGAAATGGGAGGATGGTGAAGGCAGTGCGGAGTAGAGTGACTTGATCTCGAGCAGTCGCGGGGACGCGCGCTGTCAGGTGACCCACTCTTGGAAGTATAGTGCAAGTCAAAACAGAGCAGAGCAGTTCAGGGAAGATTTGGAGATGAAAAGCATCATTTATATAGCAATATATTGGCGTCAAATATGCCAACATTAAGGTCATCGAGATTGGTTTGTTGGTCCATTGCCCTCGTCGATCAACATAACTCTAATCACGAACCATTCCCTCATTTATAAGCTATGCATGATGTAGATTTTTTGAATTAAAAGGTAATATTATTTTATTACTACCTAGAAGGATATTTTATACACATCACTGATAACTCGATGACAGTGTTCGGCTTAGTATATCACAAAAATTTGCCATACCTCCAGGGTAGATGGCAGCATAATATTTATTCATCTAGATATCTGCATCCTATCTACTCGTATATCCCCTACGACTATAATTCCAAGCTCAATTCGCATGTCCATTAAACTGACCAGGTCCAATGGTGGCGTTGTCCAATATTGCAGATCTAGCATCCAGATTTATATCGAACCTAATGCACGGATTAGCAAAAAGTTGAATTCGATCTTCCATCGACCCAATGAATACCTAGTTCTTGCTCTCGCATTTCTGGGCAAAGTCTCAATATAACCAGGAATGGTCTTATTCCAGACAGAATCATAATTTTCCAAAGCCTTGAGCTTCTGGCACTGAGCCTCAGAGAGCTGAGAGGCACTAGCCAGCTCTTTCATATGCTTCTGGTAGATAGGGGTAGAAGCCTTGAGAGCGCAAGAGCCCCATTCGAAGAGACCTTGGGGGTCATCGCACAGAGGCTTCTCGCCCTGGGAATTGCACAGAGGCTTCTCGCCCTGGGAATTGCAGCTCTTCTTGACTGCAGCGGCAGCCTGAGTGTGAATTTGGCTGAAAAGCTGCTTTTTGCCAGCGGATATCTCCAGCTTCTCGTCCAGGTCAGAGATGATCTTGGGGAAGACGTCGTTGACGAGGTATTCGCTGTGCTCGTTGATGGTGGCACTGCATTTGCCCTTCTCGCAAACATCCTCGTGGAATTTCTTTAGTAGCCGGTTAGGCTTCAAGCAAATTGCCTGAGGGATCTCCTGGCAGGCCTGAGGGATGGAGGAAGACCAGATGGCGCAGGAGTCCCGGCGGCAGCAGAGACGGAGGCCAGCGTGGCCACGGCGATGGGAAGAGAGAACTTCATTTTGATTTGAAAGATAAAATATGAAAAATTTCGGTTGCAGAAGAAGATTTCTGTGCTGCTATGCTTTGTTGCGCTCAAAGTGTTTTGAATATTATTTGGCAGGAGTTAAATGTGAGGCCTTTATACCCTTGGCTGGTCAATATCATATGGGTTTGTTCACATCAAGCCGAGACCAAAGGATTGTCAAATCCACCCTGAATGTTTGATCAGCAAGTCGTGAAGACTCAATTATGTGCTCTTTCAGGCACCGTGGGTTTTTCGCTTGTTGGAAATTCCTCTTGGTTGTTCGGAGTTGACTCCACTCAGGGGAGCCTCAAAAATCGGTCTTTCTATAGGGTCAACCACCAGTCAGTTCTATCAGATCAGATCCCCTAGTACGGAGAGGTTTTGTCTTTAATATAGAATCCTAAAATACTATTCAACCTGTTGTTTCAGAAACATCCAAGACTGAGTTCGTCTAATTCCAATTTTGGTGATTGTCACGTTCCAGAATATTGCCCACGCCTGCTGGCTCAGATAATTCGATTGCTCGCGAAAAAAAGGATTACTTGATGGGAAAATTCATTTTCATCTTTAGTTTCTTCATTTGTGAGTTTTATTATTTCTTGAGTTGCCATAACCCTTTTCAAGCCATGTGAGAGACCAGTCATTCCTTTTAGTTCCAGATATTCAGCATAGTCTGGTTGGTCACATCACGATGACTTCATGGTTGAAATCTGAGACATTAATACTTTGAATACTTCAGGTCTGCTGAAGATTGTGTCTGAGAGAATGTTTTAACAGAAAAGGAAACTTCTTACCTGAGCGAAGAGCATGTTAAATGCATTATTCAAATCAAGTCACACACTAGTAGCTTCCGCAAAAGTATACTTAGAATTTATCGGTGAGTCTCATTTCTTTGAATTAATTATATGATCGGTAAAATCTTCAAGTTCATAATAGGGTATTTTGTAATTCCCAAGCACAAAATCACATTAAGCAATAGCCAGATAGTTAATGGATCTCTCTGGGCTGAATTTTAAGAACGTTCTGCGTTATTTCCAAGCTTCTTGCGGTGAGACTACTCGTATGCATCTATTCCGAGGACACAATCGAAGGAGAAAAGGATTCCGACCAATGTCTAGGTAAGCAACCCTTTTCAAGTTAGCTCGGAGTCTAGTCTACTGTTAATCGTGGTTCTCAAACTCGCGAGTACGGCCTCTTAAGGAAGAAAATCTTGTACATTATAATCTGTTGATAGTATCTACTCCGCAGATCACATAGAATGAGTATGGTCTAGAACCAACTGCCTAGAACAGACATTCTTAATGACATTTGCCGATGAACTTAGATCTTCTCGATGGCCTCCGGGTAGTGTAGACCTCCAGCTCGTCTGACTTCGTCAAGTATTTCCATCATCAAAAGAGTCTCATTCCAGGGCATATTTTTATTCTCGACTTCCTTGTCTCTCAGACTTCTCCCTACTTCATCCGCCGCCCAGAACATTCCACGCCCTCCCCCAGGCTCGCCAGGCGGCCCAAAGTTAATTACTTCGATATAATCTTGCTCTGTACCCTTTGCCCCGCTCATCTGGGGTCTTGATTTGGCATTGACCCGCAGCTGAGGGATAATCCTGATTGTCTGCGGGCGCGAAGCCGGTCCACCCAACACCTGCAACTCCGCTTTCGAGCCTAAGATCCGAACACACGGAACAGAATCTTGGCACTTGTTAGGATCCCAATCTTTTCGGAAAGATGTCGTCGCAATGCCGTGGGCTTTATGTTTCCCATGTGGCGGGGACGCAAGCTCCATAATGACAGTGCTAGTTTCGTCGACACCGGCAGCCGAATAGAGAGACATCAAGCTCTGAACCTTGGGTTTCTGGCGAACTTCGCTCGGCAATGTATGATAAAGACATTGCAAAGCCCAAGTAAGGCTATAAATTCCAATATTAAGAAGACAACCACCGCCAAGGTCCGGGTTGATGGATCGGTGACCCTCCGGCCAGGACTCGGGATTTTCTCCGTAGGAGAGATCAGCATAGACCCTGATGATATCCCCAAGCTTATTCGACTTGATGTATTTCCGAACTTCAGTACTGATGGGTAAGAAGGGAAGCCAGTTATTCTCCATAACGAAAAGGTTTTCTTGTTTGGCCCTGTCGAGGATCTTGCGGGCCTGGGTAGCATTGATAGTCAAGACTTTTTCGCACAAAATCGACTTTTTGTGTTCCAAAGCCTGTAGGCAATTCTCGTAATGACTCGAGTGAGGCGTAGAAATATACACGACCTCAATATCGTCTCGTAAAAGAAGGGACTCGAAGCTCCCGTGAGCGATACACTCCTCCTTCTGGGCTGGACGGACGAAGTCATCGATGAACTTGGCCGCGGTTTCTTCCCGAGTTGACGATGCCACACCGACCACCCTGTGAACAATATCGGTTGTACCACGTAAACGAGGATCGATGAGCAAGTCAGTCACGAACCTACTCAGCCATCCAGCCCGTGGCTAGTAGCAGTTAGACAAAGGCCGTATCATATTTAGAGGAAAAGACGGAAACACGAAGACTTGCCTATGACACCCCATCTCACTTCCCATGGCTCCTGCATGATGCCCCCAGTGTCTCTTAGTACAATCTCCAAGTTAGATCCTAGGTTTGCAAGGCGGCATACTCGAAGACAGAAAACGGGCAGCATTACCAGGGCGTTACTAAGCCCAGGCGATCTAGCCTTGGTAGAATTGATACGCGATCTCCCGTGTCAAATTTCATGGCCTCAAGTTCACTTCGGCTGAAGAAATGACCGTAGACGGATAAATTACCCTGCATGCTATTGTGCGCATTTGTGAAGTTGGCAGGGGACCCATAATTTAGGACAATATGGCGGCCATGGCTTTTCTTTGCTGATTTATCTAGACGAACCTAAGTGCGCATCATTCTCCATCTCTAATTTAACAGGTCAAGAATGAGCACCTGAAGAATCCGTGATATTTCATTGTATTGTTGGGTATCAACCGCTTTCAACGGCGAGTAAATTAATTGACCCGAGCGACCCAGCAAAATCTGCAGGCATTTCAGGGGGTATGGGGGGTACAACAAAAGTGTCCGAAGAATGAATGATCGGCCAAATGAGGCGAAAAACTTAGAATCCTTCCAGGATTCGATGAAAAAACCCTTTATTGAACAGTCCGATCATTCTCCCTCCGGGTAGATTACAGTCATACTCAGTCCCAAGTCGTCGATAAGCTCCCTCGTGTCGTTCCAAGGTACCGCAAAAAGGCCCGAATTGAATCGGCAAGAAAACAGTGCACCCGGTGGAGGCTGACCGTCTCCCATTTCCTCATTTGGCTGCTTGAGCATGACAAGCTGCATATCCAGATCTTCCAGGGCAGCGTAGGTACTGTTCAGAATTTGGTCGGGAGAGTCAACGCGGCTTCCGAACCCGCTGGACGTGAAAAGACAGATAATCCAGTGCTTCTTTTTGCCATTATTGTAATCTTCCGGCTGTGGAGGAATGACTAGTGCGGTGCCCAGAGGTAGACGAACGGAGAGAGTTTCCTCGTCTTCGCTTTGCAGATCCACGATGTCATGGTGAACACTTTGCTCTTGGTATTCTTCGCAGTGCTCTTTGTAGCATTGGTATGCAGTTGGATACTACATACCCGTCGAGGTTAGCGGATTGGCCCTCGGGAGATGCGCACGGCGTATTTGAAGCCAGCACTCGGGGGAGAGCAGAGCAGAACAGAACAGAACAGAACAGACCCACCTTCTGCTTGAAGACTTTGGCGATTCCAGCTCCCCATGAGCCCTGAATATTGCATGCATCTAATAAATGGTTTAGCCAGGGAGTAATTAAGGGTCGGAAGGCGAACTTACGGATCAAGCACGATCCTTCTGGCGCATCGAAGAGATCGCCGCACACCTCCTTCACTCTGCTCCCCTCTGCCATCGAGTCATCCGAATGTGTACTCATTATGAATCTAATTGTGAGACGAGATCGTAAGCGGATATGGAGACACGGTATTGAAATTGCGTAGGCGCGAGGCGAAGATGAAAACGCGAGTTGAGCAGTGGAGCCGGTGTGGGGCGCGGGGCATCGCGAAGAGTTTACCAGGCGCGGGTCGGGTTGATTCTGGTGGTTCTGGTGGTCTATAGGGATAGAGTTCTCAAATGTGCCATGGAAGACCTAAAATCTGTATTTGGAATAATAATTTGTCTCCCATCTCGCTAGTTCAATGGTTCGTGATTCCAACGTGACCAACATGATTGGATTTCAAACAAGAACAAAAAAAAGAACAAGAAGAAAACACCTGGATTGTACTTCTACTGTTCGTCTTCGAACCGAAGAACTCTATCATCTTTTTTGGGTTTCGCAGTCTCCTTCTTTTCCACCTTGTCAAAATCCTGTTGCTCCTCTTTCTCTTTCGAAGCACGTCCCAGACCACGGCGCATGAAATTCGATACGGACTTCTTCACCCCAAGTTGACGTCGTCGCTCGACGACAGCTATATCATCATCAACGGGCGCACTGTGAGGGGTTTGGGCAACGGTCGGAGATTTGAGAGAGCTAGCGAGGGGGGGAAAGAGGGCCGCTAGTCCCCCCACTACTCGATTTGAAGTGTCGTCGCGAAATCGATTGGCCAAGTGTTTTCATAAAGCCAGGGTTGTCTTCCTGCTCCACCTTGGATAGCTCACTTCCGATAATTGCTCCGTTCATCGCCAAGTTATCTTGGGGCACCGGGATGAAAAGAATCACTCCGAGCTCGGGAACAATGCCAAGTAACTCTTGCAACTCCTCGGTAAGCATGGTTGTGCTGCGCATATTGATGGTGGGCGCGATGACGGAAGGCAGGGCATATATCTTGAGCTTGTAAGCCGGAAGAGAAATGTTGCCAAATGACAGTGGGGCTTCTAGGTGGACTGTCAGGCAGATTGCGGCCTCTGGGCGCTGGTAGATCAGAGCGAGGTGTCGAGAAAGATCTATCATCAAAACTCCAGGGTGAGAGACCTAAATGAATTCGAATGGATGAGTGCATGTTGCATCAAGCCGGAACAAAGCCAGGGATTACCTTAGCACTGGTTGTGAGCTCAGCGACCACAACCGAGTCCTGGATGATGCGCTCCCTGGGTGAGTTATGCGAGCCGCGGCTGGAGAACGCTTCCTCATAGTAGGTCGACTTGGTTTCGGGTTTTTTGGGCATGGACACCTCCTCAATACTCTTCTCCAGAATGTGGGCGTTCTTGCTTGGTCCATACCGAATGTTAGGGGCGAGATTCTCATTCGAGAACAGAGTCGGGGCCCTAGCAGGTCTCTCAGGCTTGATTTCCAGATCCGGAGATGAAGTCCGGGAGAATACTGAAGTACGGCCATCTTCCTCGCAAGGGATATCTGTGGTGAGGCGTGGCAATGATCGCTTTGTCGATGGCCTTGCCGATGGCTTTGTCGACTTGGGTATCTCGGGTGGTTCCATGGTGGTTCTCGATCGGGAGGTGGTACAGAATATAAAGGGGAATAAAACAGATGAAGGAGATGAAAGATGGAAAGATGAAGGAACAAAGAAATTGAAGAGAAAAGAAACTTGAAGATTGGAAGTTGACGTTGACATAAACATTGGCGGAACTGGCAGGAAAGTTGAGGTAAAAGTGGTGGAGGGAAGGTGCGATGGAAGCTTGCCCTAATTTGTTGACCTCGACATAACATCAACACATCTATACAGCATACAACAACAACATCGATATCTCACCACATTCATTCTTTTTAAACTTGAACTACACACATATAATATCAACTCCATGCAGATTCGCTTCACTGCAAAAATGCCAACTCGCTAAACGCTGAATTGCCGCTGTTGAAGATCTTATCGATGCGCCGCCTTCTATCCCACACAATGTCACCATTCGCATGTCGAATGTAGAGTACACGATGTTGCGGGATAAATTCCTCATCAGTCGATTCTTTCTTCCAGCTATCCATGGTCACCTCAAGTTGGCCCTCAAACCGATCGACAAACCCGATGATATAGTCATTGCGATCAAAGTTGGAGTCCCACGTTATCCGGTTGATGATATCTGTGTTTTGGATCAGTATTGTGATCCATTGATCCCTGTAGTATGTAGATGGAACCAAATAGTAATAGGGATGGCTCTATGTTCTTTGGTCCATCACTGCTGGAGAGAGCTTACCTCCTGCTGGTCGCAATCGATTTTCGCCAGATCGGGGCTCTGGGGATGGAGTCCGTTGTCGTTCGGATTTCGTCGGTCGAGGAGGACTGGTGGACACTGATCGGAATTGATTGGCATTTTCACTGGGTTTCTCAACTCCCGTCGTGGGTGGAGACTCGGTGGATTCAATTAACGACATGGTTCTTGAGAATGGCAAAGCAAACGAGTATCAATATCTGGTCTACCATTGTGAATCCGAGCCTGGCAGTTCTTATAGCACCCGAATATATCATTTGAGCTAATGACTGTCCATCGCAAATTACGGAATAGTATTCAGCGTCTCGCGAGAATTTCTCTCGATCCTTTGCGATGACTCCTCGATGACTCAACTTCGCGACAGCCTTGGAGGCGCAGCTCTATGAGTCACCCGGAAAATGATGCCAAATGATACCACGCTAACAAACAAAGAAAAAACAATCAACCCCATATTTTATATGGGCGTTTTGAGCAAAAATTGAGAAAGGAAGGAAAATATACCTCCAAAAAAGAAATTCTGCTCCAGATGAAACATGATAGACTCCGATAGGGGGAATCGAACCCCCGGCTGCCGTGTGAGAGACGGCGATGTTAGCCACTACACCATATCGGATAGAAAGAGATGCAATAGGAGCTCCGATAGGGGGAATCGAACCCCCGGCTGCCGTGTGAGAGACGGCGATGTTAGCCACTACACCATATCGGATTACTTGTTGAGGATTGCTCCACCCTTTGGCTACATGAATCTAGCCTAGCGTAGTGAGTCGATTTGCGCTCCCTGTGCGTGGTAGTATATAAGTCTCGATCTCTGCCCCTAACACTTCCACAATTCTATGTATATTTTGCCCCGGTTTGCAGCCGAGGCATTTTTGCTATTGATCCAGATCACCGAGCTCCGCGACTGCGCCACAGCGCCACCCCCATTTCCTTAGCCCGGCCGATAACCGCCACTTTGCAATAATTAGTAATCTAGGTGTTTTGCTATGCAGAAAACGTAGAGTGGAAAGCAGAAAAAAAAAGGGTTGGAAAATCTACAGTCAGCGTAGATCATATAAATCCCTACGCAAAATATGTAGCAGTATACAAGATAATAATATAAATAAATTACCTATTTTGTGTAGTTTCTCTCGATAGTATATTACTTCTGACCTAAGGGAAGGAAATAAGACTAGTCCTAAATAGAACTAGATCTAATATATAGAAATACCCTACCTACTTTTTGGCTCTATTCACCAAGTTCAATAATAACTTTTGTATAAATCAGATTAAATATGACAAATAGAATTCCAATTAACAATAATCGAGGTTACCCTCCTCTATGGGCCTTCTGGAGAGGAGTGAAAAGACGAAGGAGGACTTGCACGTACTAGGCGGCAGCATGGGCGGTGACCTCGATTACTAATTATTGCAAAGTGGCGGTTAACGTAGTTCACGGCCGGTCGGGACACACGGCCGGTCGGGACACCCCAAAACACCATACTAAATGTGATTTTTCTTAACTTCATGTTTCAACGCTTAAGGTTAATTATATAGTCTTAGGCTATCTTAGAGTTCAATATATCATACTGAGTATGTTTATAACTTTGAAAGTTATATAAGAGCGTAATATTGTAGATATATATATCTATATCGCACAATCGGAGCGTATTTTTGGTAATGCAAGTAAATCATTATTTTCTGAATATGTCAGCTAAGTTAGTTTATTTCAAATGCTAAGAAATCATGTATTACTAAAAATCAACCAGAACCAACTTCTCGTTGTTGATATACTGTGACCTGAAAAATCGTATTGAGTATGGTGTTTTGGGGTGTCCCGACCGACCGTGTGTCCCGACCGGCCGTGAACTACGTTATCGGCTGCCGTAGGCAGGTCATGTCAGGTTACACGCACATGCTTGCATTGGAATTTGAGTGAGCTGTTACGACGCCAGAAGTATGCAGTTTACCCCCAGTAGCGCCCTTGCGTCGCGGTGAGAGAAACGATATTCTGATTTTTGGCGGTGACTGAAACCACTTATGTTACTCGGTCTTTGTACATGCTCTCCGAATCTTTCAAGGTTCAGATATCTGCTTTCACCAAGAACAAGTTAAGTTTATTGCTGAGGATCATGTCAATGTCTAAGGCTTTGTATGGGTTTCTACTCGACAACCCACTCGTTTTTATAGGAAGCGCAACTTTGATAGTACTGTCAATCTGTCAGTGGTTTCGATATTATCGATCATGGGTGCGTATCCCTTCATATATGCTCTTATCAAGATTTCTTGTGATAATTGGTATTCCCATGTGGAGTTTTTGAAATTTGCTGAAACGATGAAATCTTAGGTTGATGTTCCTGTTGTGGGAGAGAGGGGAGTTTTTCAGTCTTGGAAGAATGCCCGTCGTTGGGGTACATGCGGACCCCAGCTGCTTCAAGAAGGATATGAACTCGTAAGACCTTTCATCGCCGGCTCCAGATATCTCCATTTGAGTCTTACAAGTCACTGACTCCTCTACAGCACAGGGACTTTGCGTTTCAAGTGGCAACGCCAACTGGCTGGAATGTTTGTATCTGCAATGATGCCATGATCAGGGAGTACCTCAATGCTTCAGATGAGTACCTATCTTCCACAGCTCCAATTCAAGGGGTAAGAGCATACTATATCTCAGGCTGAGCTAGACTAATGTCCGGTATTACTATAGTTTTTTCAATCCAGATTTACGGCTCCTGGACTATTTCATAAAATACCGAGCTCAATGATGAGCAAAGCACTTACCTGGTCTCGAACCCGCACCAGGTCAGGGGATGAATACTTTCCAAGCTTCATCGAGGAGATTCAGCACTCATTTGAACAAGAGATTAATAATCACCTGCAGAGCGATGGTGACTGGAATCAATTCGACTGTTATACGATCGCCAGCCGCCTTGTGATGGGCCTTGTTGCAAAGTTACTAGCAGGGGACGAGTGTCGCAATCCAGAGAGCATCGACCTTTTCTGTGATTATACAGCCGAAATGCTTGTCGGAGGCCCATATATTCGCAGATTCCCCGACTTCATAAAACCGTAAGCTCTGCCATGTGACTTTTGATCTTTTGGGTATTGACTTCTGCTTCGAAAAGTATTATAGCACGGTCATCCAATGTTGTGACTTTATCAAATCGGATGCAAAAGCTCTTTCTTAATTTGATAAATACACGGAAGATGGAATCAGAGGAGAGGGAAAAGGCAGGAAAACAGCCTTCAGTGAGTTTCATGTTCTTTCTTTGCATCTTTGGCCCCGGAAAGGCCGGGTTCTTTCTTTTGTGCGGATATACGAGCTAACCAAACAACTATCATACTGCCAGGACTTAACAGATTGGTTCTGGCGATGGACCCAGCAGCAGAAGGATTATAATCTGAATGAGCTAGACATTGCCCAATTACTTGCTGCAAATACTTTCGGAGCTAGCTTTAACACTACGGTGGTTCTTGTCCAGTGTCTCTGTGAGCTTGCCACAAGGCCGAAATATATTAGTCTTATCAGACAGGAGGTCATCGGGGTTCTTCGGGCCAACAATGATACTTGGACCAAGGAAGGAATTGATTCAATGAAAGTATTGGACAGCTTCATAAAGGAATCACATCGCTATAACTGCTTTGATCATGCCGGGACACCTCGTGTTGTCAAGCAAGACTTCCGATTCAAGAATGGTCTTCATATTCCAAAGGGAACAGTTCTCATGACACCGAACGCACCAATGTTATTTGACGAAGGATACGTGAAAGACCCCTTTGAATTTGATGGTATACGGTTCTATGAACTTGCCAATAGCTCCAAGACACCGGAAATGTTCAGATATACTTCTACAAATCCTCATTACCTTCAGTTTGGAGATGGAAAACACGTTTGGTAAGCCTCTTCTACTTTTGTATTCTTCATTCTGCCAACCATGGAGGTCTGATGTACTAATTTCTGCTATCATAATCATCTAGCCCAGGGCGCTTTTTTGCAGCGGATGAGCTCCGGCTCATTCTGGCGTACCTGGTCTTTCATTTCGAGATCAAGTTACAGAGGGCCTTGCCGGAGAACCTCAAAATCAAGAGGCACAACGTGCTGTACTTGGGAATAAATGTACTCTTGAAGAAAATAGAAAGGTAGATTAGAGTACTTATCACTCGTTCTGTTATGATCTTCTCTTCAATAACTTTTTCCTTCAAGATAACCGTAGTTCAACCACACAAAGGAATACCTGAGATAATCAAAGTTAATATGATAGTGACCGCGTATTTCAACCATAAGCGACTTTATCTCCAGATCCCAAGGATGAATATTTGGCAACTAGAAAGAAGTCGTAGAAGAGGAAGTGCGTGATGTCGAACTTGACAGCTTTTGTAGGTAGAATTCACTGGAAGGAAACCGCGAGAAGAGATAAATCCAGTATATTCGAGATTTTTACAAAAGGCGCATGGGATCTGGCTACTCTGACCTCGTTACTTGTGGTCTAGACCTACTGCGTCAAAGTTGTGGCAACAAAGGCGTCAAAACATGTGCCGTGATTGACGAGCGTAGCGCAGAATTTCCAGCAAGGAAGCCGTTGCTTTCTAAAGTTTCAAATCGGAAATTCCGTGGCAGATGAACTTGCGGTGTAAACATATTGTGCTGAGTTTATTTGAACGATAAATCCCGATCCCATATTTCCATCTTGCATATGTAGCGTAGTATACAAACTGTCAACCACAGCCTTAAAACCTGCAAGGAGCACGCAATTCAGAAAGCTGCAGTAAGAGCGTTTCACAGCATTATGGTTGCAAGCAAGGAGTTTCAGAATGGGCATTCCTCTCGCTTTTGCTGACCTCTTTTTCTTCTCTGTCGAGAGACCTGGAATGTCAAACTTATCCAATAAGACTCAGCCTTGACTATTTGAATGTATTGGTAAAAAAGAATCATCTTTACAGTTATTTTCACTAATAGGGTACCAGTAGAATATCCACATCGATCAGGGTATAAATATGAGACATCTCCATAGGATATCACCCTACTACTGGTCTAAACTCTTCTCAAAAACATCTTCAATAATTCAAGAAGTGCCCTTCTATCGAGGTCAGCATGTCAATCCCACAAGAATGCACTGTTTTGGTAGTAGGTGGCGGGCCTGGCGGGTCTTATGCTGCCTCAGTTCTGGCAAGGGAAGGTATTTCCACCGTCTTGTTGGAAGCTGATTTTTTTCCTCGGTCAGTCAAGGTATACTCAAGTCAAGAAGTAGCTCGGGGCTGACAAGAGATACAGATACCATATTGGCGAGAGCCTACTACCATCTACAAGGGAATTCTTAAAATTCATAGAGGTTTATGAGAAATTCGAAAACCACGGATTCAGACATAAGGTCAGTATCGAAGCTGGATTCCAGAGATGAGACGATAGCCAGCTAAAGACCAATGTAGAATGGGGCATCTTTCAGCTACAACAGCAAGCCCGCAGCATGTAAATCAACATTGTGCTACAACTTGAACATCAACCACTGACTGCTTAATAGACACAAACTTCCTTGCGTTTGGAGGACATGCTTGGAATGTTGTCCGTTCTGAGTGCGATGAAATTCTTTTCGAGCACGCTAAAGATAGTGGGGCCAAAGTATTCGATGGAGTCAAGGTCAACGCGGTCGAATTCAAGTCAATTGGCTGCCAGAAAGGCCATGGTGATTCGGAGCCAGAACGTCCCGTGTCAGCTTCCTGGAGATCCAAGGACAAAAGCGCCAGTGGTACGATAAAGTTCGACTACCTAGTGGATGCGAGTGGCCGAGCTGGTCTCATCAGTACCAAGTACATGAAGAACCGCAGTTACAATGAGGGTCTCAAAAACATTGCCACATGGGGATATTTCAAAGATGCTGGGACATATGGGAAGGGTACCCCTGCAGAAGGTGATCCGTTTTTCCTCGTCTCAAAGGTAATATTTGCACGAGAATCATGATAGGACACTCAAAATGCTAAGATCGCTTTTAGATGGAACTGGTTGGGCGTGGTTTATTCCTCTGCATAACGGCACAACTTCTGTTGGCTTGGTGATGCAGCAGACCAGCTTCACAGCAAGAAAGAAGGCAATGAAATCACCGAATACGAAGGACTTTTTTATGCAGAACGTACATGATGCCCCAATGATCTCTGAACTAATCGAAAATGCCGAGCTTATTTCTGAAATCAAGTCTGCCACCGACTGGTCATACAGCGCCACAAAATACGCTTGTCCCTACATTCGCATTGTTGGAGATGCCGGGTGTTTCATCGACCCTCTGTTCTCTTCGGGAGTACATTTGGCATTTACTGGAGCTCTGTCTGCTTCTGCCTCAATCTGCGCGGCGATCAAAGGAGACTGCAGCGAAGAGATAGCAGCTAACTGGCACTCGGAGAAGATCAGAGAGTCTTATACGAGGTTTCTGCTTGTGGTAACCAGTGCATACGCCCAAATCACAGGGCTGGAGAGTCCTGTATTGAATGAGTATGACGAAGAAAACTTTGATCGTGCTTTCAGCTTTTTCCGACCCAGTGAGTGTCCCTTTATCTTACAGATTTGACCTGAATTATTTCGGATTTTGATGCTGATAGAATAATCCCAGTTATCCAAGGAACCGTGGAAGTAGGTGGAGAAAAGTTGAGTACAGAGGAAGTGGCCGATTCAGTGGAATTCTGTATGCGCGTGATTCGCAAGGTAGACGGCACTATGAAAATGTTCACAGATAGAGAGGAGCTGGGCAAAGATAAGTTGGGCGAGCTAACCTGTGATCGCATCAAGAAAGAGGAGCTCAAGTTGGATCTGAACAAATTTCGCGATGATATTGTACAAGGAATGACGGTCAATCTTCAGCAAGGGGCCCTTGGACTAATTCAAGCTGCTTCATAAGCTGAGATCATTCAAAGTATCACATTAATTTAGCAAAGCTGGCTAGCTTTATTGAAGATTTAAAGTCGTTAACAGCTCTATTAAATCATAATTCCGTTCTTTTCATCGACATAGATGTGATTAGTTTTACGTGCAAACCTTTTTTGAACGCAAGTCACATTCGACTTCTGATCAAATGCATCATGGCTATTCCAAAGCCAAATAACACTTTATGGATAAGGAAGAAGTTCGCAGTATGCTTTCGCCCTGCTAAAAGTAATAGCAATAAATCAGTCGGCTTAGACTATACAAACTCTATCCAAAGCCTGATACTATATGTTCGCTTCTGTTCGTGCATCTGACCCATGGCAAGGCAAGAAATGACTTATGATAGCCTCTATAAATGAGTGCTACATCGGATTGAAGCTAATTGAGGATATTTTTGAGCCTAGCAAATATACAAATTCATGTCGGATATTACAACTATGAAACATAGTCATGTTTTGCTTCGCTGCAGATATGGCAATGTCTATGAACCATCATATCGGTGCAAAATTACAGCTAAAAGTGAGCGATCTGCGGTCATATGTAATCCCAGTGATATGTCATTTTGCAAAACTCTTCGTATATCGCTTCATTATCATGCCCGAATTGCCTCGAGTACCGCTTGTCGATGAACGCCAGCCGTAGGGGACCGCCACACATTGACCAGCTTAAGCCCCACGGAACTAAGCAGCGCTCGAAACTGTTTCTCCGTTCGTTCCAGCGATGAGAATAATATCATCATATTCAGGTCCATGATAGCATCTGTAGGATGAACATTGGAAGCAAAGTCCGGCAGCACACGGTCGTGGATGAGAAGCACTGAGTCCTCGTCCATCGCATCTCGGATGTGCTGCAAAATGGTTCGTGCCTGAGAATCTGGCCAATCGTGCAGAACACGGCCCAAAAAGTAGAAATCCGCACCGACTACCGGTTGTGGCTCGAAAAAGTTGTACGCCATAGCCTGCACTGATCGTATATCCGTAGATCTCGAAAGTTCCGGTAATATAACTTGGATGACACTTGATACATCTTGAAGAACAAAATGACCTCGAAGAGATGGAATTGAATCCAGCAATACTTTTATCTCGTGGCCGATGCCTCCTCCAATATCCACAAATTGAAGCCCTTTATCAGTACAAGCCATTTGACTCTCGAAGATCTTCAATTTTTCTGTGATAGGAAATATCTGGGTCCATCGCGCAGAATTGTCGCGCATAGCACCAGCCTGCATTGTACGATTAAAGGCATCGAGCTGGATCGGATGTGACTCCATCCAATCAAAATAATGTTGGTCTGTATTCAGGATTGATTGAAAAGGCCCTGCGTAGGCGTTCGAGGGGGATGCATATTTGGTTTGATTCAAGTATTGGGGAAGTTTTGCGTAAATTTGGAAATGAATATCACTGGTGTAAAATTTCAGCTAGTGAGAACTTTTGGGGAGCGACGTTTTCAGACTTACAAGTTCATCAAAATCCGACTTTCTAGATAACCACCTTGAGCGAGGTCTTTAATCACGGCATCTGGCTTGTAGGTCCCTGTCGAAGTGACACTGAAGATTCCAGAGGCTGTCAAAGACCGCAATATCCGCGCTATCGAGTTTAAGTAATTGGTAAGGCTTTCGTAATGAGACAGAGGGGAGTTTACATACAAACAAGCAACGAATCCCCAGCCACTTGCGAGATAATCTCCCAGTCCTCAAACTCATCCTTTGGGGAATTGTGAACAAAATTGAATATGTTCATATCAATAGCAATCCTGACAGCTACTACTGGGGTTATCTATTGGGTCTCAGATTAATGTGAACACAAAATCATCGTGACGCCTGAAATAGGTACCGCATGAGTGCCCTTCTCTAATCGTGACCTCGGCTGTTCGATTATTGCGGAAAGACTCTCGCAAGCCTGTGACAACTCAGCTAGTTGCTGAGAGTCAATGGGCTGACTGGAAATAATTTCTGTTGCATCACGGATTGAAGATGCAAGTTTACCCAGATCCATTGCTCAGCACTGGTAGCACGTACAAAATGAAAGAAGATATGGATAAAGCCCAAAGAAAATATTATGGCAATTGTAGGACTGTGAAACCGATCTCCCACATTGTACAAAACACTTTTGATGCAGAAATTCTATGCAGACACGATCTGTAGAGCATATCATCTTGTTGTGACCTGTCGAAGCACCCCAGTAGCGGTGAATTAATCTTGCAGAGAAGGATGTAACTTGATATGCATTCTTCGTCCTGATAACAGCGTACAATGTTACACGGACTCACAGGCATCCTGCAAGTTTTTCATCTCGCTAACACTTCCTAGCTGCACCTGACTAGCGGTGAGTTAGTTATCGAGAGTATACAGTAGCTCCATGTATACATGTTTCTTTTTAGAGGATGTACTGCTGGTTGTAACAAGTCGAATACATATTGCATACCACACATTTTCTCTAAGCATCCCTCTGTTTCACAAACTCATTCTCAAAATCCAAGCCTGCATCGCATCTAATGATACCGTATAAGGCTGCCGAGTCTAATTGCCGTTTCTGCTCCTGGGAATAGGCCTTGGCACGCTGCTGATGATCTTGTATGACCTCCCCAACTCGCAGCCTGGTTCCCACCGCTCCTGCGCAGTCAATGGCATGCCCAGTATCCTTCAGAGCTAGATCTAAATTTGACCACGGGGATACTCCTAGTTTCAAGAGTTCAGTGTGTCAGTACGCTCCTACAATATATCGCGTAGACTGACCTTTGGGTGGAATATAAACCCCTTGGGTCAATCGCCTAGAAATCATGGCCGGGAGAGGTCCAAACTGGGCTTCCAACAGCTTTTCAACTATTCCGTGGTCCATCTCACTTTTTTCGGCGAAGACATGTGCTTCACCGACAATTTCAGTCATACCAGAAACGAGAAAGTTCCTATTGAATTGCGCTTAGTCGTGCATTGGAACGAAGGGAAAATAGCGGAAGCCTTCTCACCCAATTATTTTCAGCAGAGACGCTTTTTCCGGGCGTTCATCAACTTCAAGCATATCACGCGCTATCACGCCCTTGATGTAAGGGGATATGTTCCGGATCGAGTCAGGCTCGCCGGCAGCAACTATTAGAACCTTACATTCTGAAGCCATTGGAGCGGAGCCAAAAACAGGGGCTTTTTGGATTAGTATAGGCGAGAAAAGGATGGTGGAGGACCGTACAGCATACCTGAGACTAGAGACGCTTTTTTCATTTTCAATTTGGCAGAAATACCTTTGCTAGTATCTGGATGAACAGTTGTGGTATCCACGAATATTTTGTTTGTCAGATTTGCGGTGTGTATGATATCCTCAAGGACGATTCGCAACGTATCGTCATTATTTAGCTAAAGTATTCAAATTAGACATTCAAGTAGACTTAAGATGCAGATCGCAAGTACCGAGATGAAGATAATATCACACTGGCTGATCAATCCCGCTATGGTCTCGCATTGGATCCCGCCGAGGGTTGTGATATTTTCGCCTTTACTGGTCGTACGATTCCAGATGCGCAATGGCGAATGGCCCTGGGAATTCAGATGCTTTTGGAGATTTGATGCCATGGCAAGACCCATGTTTCCAAGCCCTATAGTAAATTTTGGAGATTAGCAAAAGCTCAACCTTTTTCGCCCTAATTTGACATGCCTATCCACCCCAGTTCGGTAGCCGTTGATATAGTCATGATGCTCTCACACGTTAAGGAGATCTTTCGGCCACACCGCGAGATGTTTAAAATATTTGTGAATCTAGAATTTGGCTTCAGCAAAAGAATTTCAGGTTAATGTGAAAAATTTATCACTACAGACTTCCAGATTCTAGTTCAACTCTGTCGGTTTTACCTGCTTTAGCTCCTTCTCAACGTCATACAGGACATCCCCATTCAATACACCCGACATAGACATGCCCCAAAACCGATTGATACGTAGCATAGTCCACATGTACCACTCCTTGCACCATACTGCCCACGGTGACTGATTGCGACGCATCCTTCCATTACGCATTGCAACCTCGTTAATGCGCTGTATACGCGGACGACGAATTTGATCGAACCGGTCAAATACCCCTTGCAGGCTTGCGTGGTCACCATCTTGGTACTGGACCAGCAGTCCAGATAGAAGGATCACATCTTCCAGTGCCATGGCCACACCTTGTCCAGCATGAGGTTGCACGGCATGCGCGGCATCTCCGAGCAACAAGACCCGCGGCGATCCCTGTGGGTTATCCGAGGAAACAAACCACCGACCACCGAGAGGTATGCGATAATGCGGATAAAAATGTACGTCCTGACTTGCGTCCACAAGCTGCCGCAAATATTTTCCCCACTTCCCCTGTACACAATCTAGAACGTTGGACAGTGAGTTTCGACAGTCGGCCAGTTCGTTCTGGCGGTGAAGCATCCAGCCATCACGAACGTCCACTGAGCCCGATCCTTGAGGCAGAGGCACCTCCTTGCTGAAGAACCAGAAGATCTGATTGGCAGCACATGGTGCAGTCGCGAGCATACCATGCGGTGTGAGTGTCGAATGTAAAGAGGTTGTGTCCCTAGGATCTCGATTTGTCACGTCGTCGACAATGGATGATATCGCGGAGATTCCTGAATACTCTGGCGCAATCTCTGCATCGACGTGTATTCTGCGTACCGAGGAGTGGATTCCATCGCAGCCCAGTAGGAGAGAGCCAGTGTCACTAGTGCCATCAGTAAAGGTGACCGTGACGGAATCCCCGAGATCGTCGATGGATTGGATCTGTTTGTCATAGTGAATCGGGATATCGTATTCTTGCGTAGCATCGCGCAAACACTGGACCAAATCCACGCGGTTAATGCGAATATAACCAAAGCCTGTTTGGTTCTTTGCCTCTGAAGCGACATCAACTTCGTTCAAAACACTGCCAGATGTGGAGTGTACGACGTTTTTTGCGATATCGACACTGCGCGGAAGGATGCTATCCCAGAGACCCAGACGGTGCAGTACTCGTACACCATTGGCGGGAATTCCCAGCGAGCCACCTAGACTTGCAGTTCCTGGATTGCGAAGCTCATAAATGATCGGGCTTAGCTTGTTGTTTTGAGCTAAGCGAATGGCTGCTGCGAGGCCGGTTGGCCCTCCTCCAATGATGATAATCTGCGGTATACGGTCAGATTGCTGTGTATGACCAAAAAGGGAAAAGTATACAATTTACCCTTTCAAGGTCATACATGATTTCTTTGAATGAAGCCAGAAGAATAAAGTCTAAGAAGGCCGTCGTTCAGGGCTATGTACCCCTGGATATAGCCCCAACACCGAATGTCGACGAAGAATACAGGAACCAAGTGGGGTATCAATTAGTTACGAGCGTCAAATGCATGCAGGGGCCATCCTACTAGGCCTGGAATGCCGATTGACAAGGGGGTTAAAGGGGGTTACACGATGCACTTTGAGACCAGCAGAGACGTTCATATCAAGAAGCAAGGACCATGCAGATATACAGCCACCACATCCTCAAACTCATCTTCACCGTCTATGGAAAGATATACAAAGTTCTTGAAATTTCAGTAACCCACTGTTTTCCATCATTGTTCCCTAGCTGGATAGACATCTGTATCTAGGTATTCTGAGCCCTAAATGACGTTTACAAACCTAACACTCCTGCTGGAGGCCGCCGCCAACCAGGAAAGCAGTGGTCATGTAGTCTGCTATCCGCTCCGAAATACCACCAAACCACACTCATGGTCCTATCGTCAGCTGCTAGAAGACGCTCAGAAGGCTTCTTGGGCTCTTCGCCGCCGCCCAGATTTCTCTCCAGGCCGAGTGGTTCTCATTCATCTGGATACACACTGGGAAAACATTGTCTGGTTCTGGGCTGTCAGTCTGGCCGGGTGTATCCCAGCAATGTCTACAACACTATCCAACAATCCTTCAGCACGTATATCACATCTGACACACCTGGCTACCACTTTCAAAGGGCCCAGTTGCCTGACGACAGCCAACAAAATGTTTGAATTCGGAGGACAGGATGCCATCACGCCCATTGCTCTCGAATCGTTGGCTGTGGATAAAGCCCCAGATTCAGAATTGCGCAACATCTGTCGCAACGCTAAGCCAGACGACATTGCCATACTGATGTTGACTTCCGGAAGCACTAGTCACGCCAAAGCCGTGATTCTCACGCATCAGCAGATCTTCCTGGCACTCGATAGCAAATATAAAGTGGTTCCATTACCGGAAAATACTTCGTTCCTGAACTGGGTCCACTGTGACCATGTTGCAGCCATTGTGGAAATTCATCTTCAGGCCCTCTTTGCCCACAAAGATCAGGTCCATGTGCATGCATCGGATGTCTTGTCTCACCCCGTGGCTTTTCTCGATATCATAGACCGCCATCGCGTTTCCCGTACCTTTGCGCCGAACTTCTTCCTTGCTCGCATTCGTACCGCGCTCGAGGACCACGGAAACCATTGTACCACATATGACTGGGACCTCAGCTGCCTCCGATATATCGCCTCAGGTGGCGAGGCAAATGTCACCAAAACTGGCGCTGCAGTGGTAAAACTGCTGACTAGATACGGCGCTCCAGAGAGTACTATTGCTACGGGCTTCGGAATGACGGAGACCTGCGGCGGCGCCATCTATAATCTGGACTTTCCTAGCTATGATATCAAACAAGGTCTTGAGTTTGCATCCGCAGGGAAATGTATAAGAGGCTTGAACATGAGAATCCGTACTGCGGAAAATATAATCGCGCCCAGTGGAACCGTTGGAAATCTTGAACTGTCGGGGCCGATACTCTTCAAGGGATACTTCAACAATCCAACAGCAAATGAGCAATCATTTACCAGTGATGGTTGGTTCCAGACCGGCGATCTGGCTTCCGTCGACGACAAAGGCAATCTCCACATGATTGGAAGAGCCAAAGAATCGATGATTGTGAACGGCGTTAAATACAGTCCGCAGGAGATCGAAACCGCGCTAGACCAGCCAGGTGAAATACCTGGTCTGGTCCCTAGCTTTACATGCTGTTTTTCCTCGTTTCCCTCAGGAGGTGACACCGAGATTATCTGCGTGGTGTATCTGCCAAGCTATGCCCCCGATGATAACGTCGCGCGAGCGAAAACAGCGGACGCCATCGCCAAAATTACCATGATGACCACCGGTGCTCGACCGGAAGTTCTACCTTTGGATAAATTACAGTTACAAAAGTCAGCCTTGGGCAAACTATCGCGGTCCAAAATCAAGTCGGCATTTGAGAAAGGCGATTACAAATCCTACCAAGAACTTAATTCGGAATCGATCAAGCTGCACCGGAAGACGGCTCGCGCTAATCCTTCAAATGAACTAGAAGAGAAACTACTTGATCTGTTCCTTGTTTCTCTTGAATTGCCCCAAGAGGAGTTCGATGTACAGTCCTCGCTATTCGACATGGGAATTACCTCGGTAGAACTCATCAAACTGAAGAAGAAAATCGAAGAGCATCTAAATCTCGCTCATGAAATCCCCATAATAACCTTGATGACGAACCCCACTGTCCGCGACTTAGCCAGTGCACTGAAATCCCAGCAGAGTCATCAAAAAGCCGGCGAGTATAGCCCCACAGTTACACTGCAGTCCCAGGGGCAGAAAACACCGCTTTGGCTCGTTCATCCTGGAGTGGGCGAGGTTCTCGTTTTCCTGAACCTTGCAAAATTCCTGGCAGACCGGAAGGTCTATGCTTTGCGCGCTCGTGGCTTCAATGAAGGTGAAGAGCCCTTTGCGTCCATTGAAGAGGTTGTTAGCACATACCATGCCGCCATCAAACGAGAGCAACCACATGGACCGTATGCCTTGGCAGGTTATTCATATGGTACTATGCTGGCGTTTGAAGTAGGCAAAGTATTGGAGAACAATGGAGACGAAGTACGCTTCCTTGGCTCCTTCAACCTGCCGCCCCATATCAAGGCTCGAATGCGTCAGCTAGATTATAGAGAATGCCTCCTCCATCTCTCCTACTTTTTAGATCTCATTACCGAGGATCGTGCGCGGGAGCTGGCAGTAGAGCTGAAAGATGCTACCCGGGAAGATACCCTGGCGAAGGTGATGGTGGAAGCCGATGAGAATCGACTAGCCGAACTGGCCCTCTCACCGGAAGCTATCACGAAATGGGCTTGCTTGGCCTTTGCTCTACAAAGCATGGCAGTTGATTACGATCCTGTCAGTTCTATCGCTGGAATAGATGTCTTCTACTGCAATCCTCTGGCAGTAGCGGCTGCTTCAAAAGCTCAATGGGTAAGTGAGCATTTGAGTCAATGGAAAGATTTCTCACGATCGCCACCGCGCTTTCACGACGTTGGAGGCGCCCATTACACCATGATAGGACCGGAACATGTCTTTGGCTTCCAAAAGACGTTACGAAATGCCCTTGAAGCAAGAGGAATATGAGATTATATCGTTTAAGAGGCACAGAATTGTGCGCAAATCACATGCACGTTGGTTCTCCTCAAAGACCAATCCATCTTGCGCACCATTGCGAAGTGATACGTTGGCAAAATGAAAGCAGGTTCTGCATTGATTGATCAGGTGGAATGGTCGAAAGTGTTAGATCACCAAGATTGAAAATAGCATCAGATGTGCTCCTAACTATATTAGGAAGTAAGACTAGATTGCGCAAGGGTGTAGTAACCTCGTAAGTGCCTGGTTGAATCCGACATTGGCGGTTCTCAATACAACAGCACCTTCAGCAAAGGGATGGTCGTTGGTCACTTTTCTCTCAAATCGGGAACCTCGCCTTGGTATCCTTTGGCTTGGCGCTTTACTCACTGGTTTGGCGACATTAATTCTGCGCGATATCCGGGCTGGAACGACGGCTCTAGATCTTCCTGTCTCAGCCTGGACCGGATTACAACAGACCTTCTTAACCTCCCCAATCGGAGAAATCAATGGTGTATTAATACGCCGCGAGGATGAACACCGGCAGCTATATTTAACAGCATTTGAAGGCCATGATCGACCTCCAATATGGTCTTGAAAACCCTTCGGGATGACGAAGCTCTGCGATGCAGAAATACTAGTCCAGCAACATGCTCGATGTGGTGCCTAGAATACGACTCTTGGGAGTGGGTCCTAACAGATGGCCGTTTGATTCAGATATCTAGTACATACGACCATAGGGTGTGGAGAACAGGGCTTCCCGTCCGCTCAGCCGTACTTAAGCCACACGCCGGCAGGTTAGTAGTATGGTGGGTGACCACATGCGAATCCCTGCTGTTGTATGTTTGTGTTTTTGCTTTTTGTATTTTGTTATTTCTTTCGGTTAGTCGAGTGCTCTGGCCGCCCAACGACAGAAGCCCCTTCATGCCCCGGCACCAGGAAAAACCATGACCAACCGGTTGCCGCCTTAGCCAAACGCAAACCAAAAAAAAAGTTTTTTGTTTTCAGGAGAATAAGTAGCGTTCATTCTAGATTATCAATTAAACATGCATGTTCCCCCTTCATTATGAAAACGTTCTACTGAGGCTGCTGAGGTTGCGGTATCGGTATACTGCTTATGAAAGGTTCTGTTATTCGTTCTGTCAATCCTCTATAGCGTCACGCTTTGCCTATCGTCTCCTTGCACTCTTCGAGTGTGGTGGTATTGTCTCTTCGCGATCGACCCATCTGCCAACGCAGACTGCCTACGAGCATTCCCATCTTACAATATATATTTCGGTGAAATATAATACTAGTAGAGGGGTCAATAGTTTGGACTTTAAGTTCAGGTTCAAGTTACAAAGAGGCCTGGCTTACTCTTTCTTTTGTATTCAATTTCCCTTGAATATGAATAATCAAGGGGGAAGGTGCTTGACAATTGGAGGGCTGTTTCCAGAGGGGTAATAGAGATCCGAGGCGAGATAGGCGTTGAATGGAAATCGAGAAAAAAAACTTGAGAAAAGTCAAAAGCATGCGGAGCCCTTGAGTATTTATACCTGGGAATGATTCAAGTTGTTTCCAAATCCAAGTCCCTTTCTGCTACATGTTCCACGGCTGAAATTCAATTATCACGTTATCCGCGTTACGTGGAGCCTTGGATATGAAGTATACGCCGCTAGGAGACCAAGGCATCTGCCATTCGGCAGTTTTTCCCGTGGGGCCACAACATAACAAATTTCACAATAATAATTCGCCATTGAGGCATCTTCTAGATGGAATGTTGGCTTAGCGGTGCTGGAAGCTGCATTTGGCGCTTATTTGCTAATTGTGAGTGGCCGTACACAGCGTCGGGCGCGAACTAAAACATGAGGTGATCGGCGAAGTTACTATTATTATGGCAGGTAATAGGAGAGTGAATGTCGTGGTATCCACTTCCAAGAGTCGCACTGGACTACATCCTGAGGTTATAGCCAAACAATAGAAGTTGCAATAGGAGCCTAGTCAATAAGAATCGAGTGCATTTAATGCGATGCTAAGTCTAGAAAAGAAAAGATATGGTGAGGCCTGCTAAATGGACCACCCTTGATGCTAAACGGACCATGGGCCCTTCTGAATCCAGATTAGTATGTAATCTCCATACAAATTTGGATACACTTAATCTTGTCTACTGTGAAAGCTTCTAACTCCCTATTATCTACCATTACTAGTTACTATCTTCTAATAGTTAGCAGACTAGTACCTACCCAGGATAGAATATATGAGCTACTATATTCCATCTCAGGTAGCTACTAGTTTGCCATAGGAAGATGGAGACTAGAGAGGTCAACAAGGAACTAGAAACTTTTGCAGCGCTATAGAGGTAGATTAAGTGTATCCAAAGTTGTATGGAGATTACATACTAATCTGGATTCAGAAGGGCCCATGGTCCATTTAGCAGCCCTCAATATAGTCACTAGCCCCGAATAGGCAGCCTCTGAACTCCTCACCTCTAATCGTCATGGACCGGCAGGATATCCAGTAGGTGGCCTGCCTATGGACTCATAAGAATATACTGATTATTCTAGATGCCCTTATGTGGTCGGCAATACGATCAAACTATACCTCAAAATAAACGATGAAGAGGTAGCGACCGATGCCGAAGTCATCAAATTATTCGAACCATTCACCCTCTCATCCGCGATGATCGCCCGCATAGCCTCTTCTTCTTTGTAGTTAGACGGAAAAATGGTGCTGAAGCCTTTCGACGGACGATTTGCGACAGAGCTCCGGAAAGCTGAAAAACTTCGCCCTTGGACTTCAGATATTGAGACGCATTATCATCAATTCGTCCTTGATGGCGGTGCGTCTGATTTCATCACTGAGCTCAACAACAATAACAACAACAACAACGGCGACATAGCCCAGCAATGCGAAACATGGAATACCTCCCAAGACGAAGCCTACCTTCATGATTATTTATCCGATCTCAATGAAACGGAGGTTCAAGTATATGATGCCTTGAGGGATCTACAAAGACATGATGTTCGTCAACTTGTTGCCTGCGTCAAAATGCAAGGCTTTAGCTTGACAGACCCAAAGCCAGTCAGCGAGCTCATTGACGTTTCGGGAATTCTTTTACAGTTTATTAAAGGCTTTCCTCTAAGCGATATCGCCCATTACACCCAAAGGGAGCAGTGGCAGAGTATTTGCGAAGAAACCATTCAAATACTTCATCGGATCGGCGATCGAGGGGTATTAAATGAGGATGTCCAAACGCGAAGTTTTATCGTGCAGAAGGATACAGCGCGTTCAGAAAATGGATACTAGGTATTCATGATTGACTTTGCCCTCTGCAGCTTTCGCAAGGACTATGCAGACGACACTGACTGGAGTGAGTGGAAGGCAATGCAGGACGAAGAGGGGGCAATTGGGCTTATCATGCAAGACCGCTTAGAGGGTGGATTTATCTACAGTCGATCTAACCGATACAAGAAGCCCGCTCATTATTACGAATGAAGCAATACCGGCTGCGAAGGAGCATATCGCTCGGCTCTAATCCTACCAAAACTTTCTTTATTCAACGCTCACAGTTAGACAACTATCTTTATGATACTTCACATTTTTAAATCCTTCATTCTGCTTGCAAGGGAGTCCCCGGGCCCACTGACCATGACCTTCTTGGATCATAAAAAATATTGCATACCATTTATCGGTCTCAAGGGAGGCTCCTTGTGGTAGGGAGTTGAATATGTACATCAGCGCGTGAATCATCGAACGATGCGATGCTTCCATCCCAATTAGGATTGGACTTCTTATCCTGTACACTCTCATACTAGTACTACCTTGATTGCCAAGTGCTTAAATGGGGCAGCTGAACTGTGGGGCGAGTATATAGCCTGAAGGTTTGGCGAAGGTTTGGCACCCGAACACCCTGTTCTTGGCGATCTAATATGGAAAGCACCACATCCAATAGATTTGTTTGCCCGATTCCAAGCTCGTGTAATATCGTCACAGGATGTCGCCAGAAATTGCCAGTCTTCCAGAACTGCATGACTGCATGATCTTTTTTCCGATCTGACTTGCAGAGATCCCGTCCCTGCCGCCATACCCCACTCATCTCCCAGCCAAGGACCTAAAACGGAATAATATGCGTCAATCTTGTTGCTCAATGTCGCCTGGTTCTCAACAATCTCCACCTAGAGGATTGATTGACGAACTCGATCTTCAGAGTTTTTTGAAATGAGGCTTCCGAATGGCTCCGCAGAGTGATTATACAGCTGGGCTCGTATAAGTACTTATAAGTAGCAAACACCGCAGGCTTCTGTCATTCAAATCGATCTCTTCCAATCTCTTCCTGCTCAAAATGCAGCTATTTACTCTCGGCACCTTATTGACCCTCGCCGTCTCGGCAGCGGCCGTTCCTCATTACCGAGGAACTGGAGATGTAAACCCCTCCCCCCTCAATTTTCTTCCCAAGGTCAGAGGCTAATAAATATCCAGTTCCAGTTTCCGGCTCACTGCTACCCAGACCCTTGCGCTGGTGTCGTCTCCCAAAACAAAACCTATGTCTGCGGCGACCCAAGACTAGGTCCAGTCCACGCACCGAAGAAATTTCCCCTGAACAACCAGCTGCGCACCTACGCCCGACTCGGTGCCCTCTGCCCAGCAGAGTTCCTTACGAAATGGGCCGGCTCAACAAACGCCAGCGATTCATACGAGTACCCGCCATCCAACGGCTATGTCGAAAGCACAGCTGGCAAGGCAATCATCGGCAACGCAACTCTTCCAGTCGGACAAAAGGTTGATCGATTCGGGTCTGAGTATGGATCTTTCCTTGCGCCGCTGGGTGCGCCATATATCGAGCGTTCGCTGCCGCCGAGCAATCTGATTACTTATGATGGAGATTATCCGTTCAATTATCATGTCTATCAAGTGGCGAAGAGCTTTGTTGTTGGGTTGGGCCCTATTGCGCCTTGGTTTGAGCAGCCCGGCATGGGAACTCAATTTGTTACGTATACTAATGTCATGGGATTACTGGAAGGTGGTTATCTCAAGAGGCTCAAGCCCGAGGATTATGATGAGGCAGTTGAATACTCAGATGGATACACGCCTGGTCCGTCTAACTAGTTAAACTCTTGCATATTTGGTCAGCAAAACTTAATAATCTGAAAAATGAAGCATTTTCCTTGTACTACCATGCCTTTTTGAGCCTAACTTAATATCAGTGGTATCAGTGGTGCTAGTCAAGATGCTGAAGATGAGTGCAAGATTCCGAAATAACCTTCTTTCAAGACTACTCGAGAACCAAAAGAGGTTTCGAGCCACCTAGAGAGTTTGTCAAAAAATCCATTCGGAGCGACCGATGTATAAAGACACCTGGGCATCAAACATGTTCAAGAGAACTATGGGAAAGATATCGTATGTGATATTTTTTTTTCTTTATTTTTTGAATGCCACACATCAGATACTCGTTATCCATCTACTGTATGCCACAAGTTGATACGTTGGCTTGTTTTTCTAATTGAGTACAAATACAAGATCAATTTCCTCGGCAAGAATCCTTAGAAGTTCCGCTAAATCACAATTGGAATCGAGGATTAAATCGCTATCCGATCACTTGTTCTTCTCAGACCAGGAAAACCTCGCCCTTTCCCCCGTTGTGAGCTTCAACCAGGGCTAGCGAGAACGGGCAGTTCCTGGTGTGTTAATGGCAACGCGATCAATCACCCACCTCGATCTCGAATCTCTAAAAGGTTCGATGATAACAAGGGACATGCTAGTGGTGAATCACTTTGTACACGTATTGAACAGTTACGCGACTTGCAGACCTCAAAAGTGTGTTTCGCTATGACATGAGAACAGGTTGCTCCAATTTCGAAAATTTGTATTATCTATCATCATGGTAGTTCAGGTCTTCTGTTTGGAAGCACCCTTCCTAATTCACTCATGGTTTACTGTTTACTATACTTTCTGTTATCAGATCGGCCTTCGCCAGCCCGAAAGTCGGCGCTCGGCATGATGGCCGGCCCGATACCGACGAATCACCGATGATGCGCATACTATAAAATGGTACATAAGACGCCGTACCAGTTCAAGATAATATCCCATTGAACTATATCCTACCAGTATAGTCAATTGTTTCTTCTTACTAGTACACATCGAGTGCCCCTCCCTATCCCGATCTAGCGAATTTCACGTTGATCCGTGATATCATCGCGATCCGAACCCGCAGTCCCACGCGAACCATCAACCTCCGCCACCCCTTGTGACCTTCCACTCAAGCTCACCAAGCCTCACCAATTCTTTCCATCCCCCCTCACACGACCTCAACAAGCGCAAAAATGGATATCTCCTCCTGGCAAACACCCCTCAGCTACATCGGCCTGGCAACACTAGCCTACACAACCTTCAAATTCACCCGCTCGGCAACAACATTCCTCCTACCCTCCTCTCTAAACACCTACAACCGCACAAAGAACAACTGGGCCTTTGTAACCGGCGCAAGCGACGGAATCGGTTTCGGTTTCAGTGAAGAACTCTGCGCCCGCGGTTTCAACGTCATCCTACACGGACGCAACCGCACGAAGCTCGAAACGCGCGCGGCAGAGCTCAGGACGCAATTTCCGACTCGTCAGGTCGCGATTGTGGTTCGTGATGTAGTCGGATTGACGGTTGATGTGGATGAAATTACTGTGGAGGTGAGGGCGATTCTTGAAGCGCAAGGTGGTGAGCTCTCTGTTCTCATCAATAATGTTGGAGGCGAGGTTCGGCCGTATACTGTTTTGAGTGATCTTTCCTTTGAGAATGTTGAGAGGACTATTGCGATGAATGCGGGATTCATCACGCAGATTACCCGTGTCTTGCTTCCTGTTCTGGAGGCTGGGGGTGGGGGTCTTGTACTCAATATCTCATCTGTGTCGTCGGTTGGCATGCCTTATATCAGTGTTTATGCATCGACTAAGGGGTTCGTGGATACATTTACCAAGGCACTTGAGGCTGAGTGTAAGGCCGAGAAGCGCAAGGTCGAGGTTCTGGGGTTGCGTGTTGGTCAAGTGAGAACAGCTGGCTTCGATGTTCAGGCTGGATTGTTTGTACCGGATGCCAGGACTCTAGCCAGTGCTGGATTGAACCGGGTTGGATGTGGTCGAGTCATTGTCTGGGCATACTTTTGGCACTGGCTGCAAGGCCTTTCAGTTGATCTTCTACCCCGGTCTATGCTAATGATGATATCCTCGAAGAAACTTATGGCGCTGAAGAAGGAAGAGGAGGAGAAAGCCAAGAAGAGGTAAATAGTCTTGAAAGCGTTGATCTAATAATATGTTTGCAATATTTACGCCCAACCATACCCAATTTATCTGCATGGAAATCTCAAGGTAAAAGCTCAGCACAAAAGAAGAAATTCAGTAATGTCTAAAAGCCAGCCGGGCTGCGTTCCTGGTCATTAGGACCGTGCAGGCCTTGGCCTAGGTTCTGCATGCACTCATCTTGCCAACTCTTGGGTGTAAACTTGTCAACAATTTCCTTAAAGGCGTCCAAGGTACAGAAACTCTCATCACCGGGGAGGTGGTTTTCAGGCTTGGAAGCACAGCCGGGGATATAAACAGGTTGGTCATTAAAGCGGAGGCGGACATAGTGTTTGCGCAGGGATTCGCGGGTCTCTTCGGGGAACGACTCAATGGGTGCGCGAGCAGTTTCAGATGGAGCCAACTTCTGCTGGGCTGTAGGCTTGTTTCCGAGGAGAGACGAGAAGAGACCGGTCTTCTTAGCAGCAACACGGGGGGTTGGAGAACTCCTCCAGCATGGAGCCGGCGTCGGCTCGGTTGTTGGGAGCTTGCGAAAATAGTTCAATTGCGACAGACGAGGTAAAAGGGGGCCAAGATCCATTCTGGAAACCACCCACGCTGGACAGAATTGCGGCCAGGGTGGTGTCGTGGCATCCGCTCATGGCAAACTTGATTGACTTGCCATCTCCAGGCTTACCAGATCCAGAAGCAGAGGTCTCGCTACGCCAACCGCCGTCAACTGCAGTGCTAACCATGCGGTCTACCACGTCACCCATGAGAGCACCAATTCCCAGCTTGCGGTACTCAGTGCTCTCGTTGTAGCCGGCGAACCACTCCTCGACCGCAATACGATCAATCACAGCACGGCCCTTCTTGTCGTAGAACTCAGAAGGAAGCTTCGTTGCCGGTCCGTGAGCATCAGTCGCGTTGATGGTATCCATAATACCGGACAGACGAGGATGCGCATCCACCGCCACCTTGGGCGAAGCCTCCGGCATATACTTAGACCAAAGCTTGTTGAGATATTCCATCTGCTCTGAATCGTTCCCTGTCGCGGGCGTGAGCTATTATTGACTGGGACGGGTGAGGTTTCTTGAGGCTACTACTTACATCGCGAGGCTGCACGATCGGCGAAGAGTCGAGCCAACTGGCGGAATCGTCGACAATTGCCCTCATTTGGAAAGAGGGTTTCCTCCGACACGGAGCGGGCGACAATGACAGGCGGCGGGAAGTTGAGGGTGCGGGCACTGGTAGGGTACATACCCCAGAAAGCCTGCTGCAGCGACTCGAGAGCGCGGGGGATGGGCGTCGCTCGCAGGTACATGTCTTCGCTATCGGACCTGATCGCGGGCATGAATCCGAGCTGGTCAACGTAAAGATGGCGCAATCGCTGGCCTAGCGCGTAGGTAGTTTCGCGACCCTTGTCCGTGAGTTCTCCGTGCTGGCTGTGGAATTATTAGCTGGATGGGAATTTCTCAAGGTGACCGAGACCCTTGTTCAGTGCAACTGACCAGATTCCCTCAATCTCATTGCCCGCGCCTACTGCAACAACAGATTGGTCTCTGTTGCCGAAGGATTCCATTTTCCGGCGAAACTGAAAGCCATTCCAGGAAGAAAGATCTTCGTTACTGGAAGCCATTTGGATCATGCGTCTCGCAACCCCACAGTATGGCCAGTCTTATACCGGAGAATAGTCAGCTGGGTGGCCGCATCGTATGGAACGGGACGGGGTTTGGGGGAATTACATGGGGCTAGACCTGTCTGAGAGAATGATTAGTATGCTAGAACCATGACGAGAGAATTGACGGCTTACATTTTGAAAGCGCGATGAAACAGGTGTACGTTCGCCTATGTCAAGTTAGAATGCGATCGGGCTCAACGGTCAACCGACATATAGGGCGGAGCTCTTGCATACCATGACGAAGGAACTGGCTAGGATTAGCTCGGAGCGGGCGGGAAGAGCGATAGGGGGGTTTAGACTCACGACTTGTACCAATTGCAATTTCAGGCCTTTAGGATAGAGCCGTTCCAGCTCCTCTGGGGAGTAGGGCTCCCGGGGAATAAGGGTTGTCATGCTTTCAAAGTTCGAGCGATGACTCGGAGTCGAGGAAGATAAAGCGGAGCATGCCATAGCTTGGGCCGAGGATGAGCACTGACAGTCTGGCCCAGGCGGTGAGAGCCAGCGTGGGGAGTGGGGGAGTGGGGGTACTCCAGAGTATAATTACAGCAGGTACTCCAGAGTGTAAGAGTATAAGAGTATAAGATTATAAGAGTATAAGAGGATAAGAGGATAAGATTATACACTATTATCACCGTGGTATATGGCAATGCTATCTACTTTACTACTAGTACTAGCATTGGCAATATCTTTGCAGGTATACTATTGCCATATCGGGAAGTATGAACTATACGACTAGTAGTATCCAATGACGACTGCCGCCAGCCGCACGTTTATCAGAAACTAAGTGGCTGTTAGTAGTACCCATGTAGGAAGAGAAAACATCAAACTCCATAGATTATGGCATATTTGAAAGTCTAGTTACACTCTTCAAGTTCTACCACATATGTACTAGTAACTATGGCTCAAGGCGACGAAGAACCTTGGCGCAGTGACCTCTCCACATGACTGATATAAACCGCATTAGCATTAAAACACGGTGGAAATTCTCGGCCAATAAAGCTCTCGTTAATACCATATTACCGAGTCGCCCCCGTCATTTGAGGACCGTGAAGGTCAGCGACGCCATCCAGGTACCTTGTGGACCACACCCGCCAGCCACACAAAGCCCTCCATTTATCAGCATCATGGGGCAGACCCGCCTTCATTGGACTGGTGATATCCCCACCACTTCCATATCAACCTTGGGGGACCTGTATGTGTATACGTATCGCATGGGAAATGAGACCAACAACGTTGGACGACGAGGAACTTGGAGACGAGGCCTGTGAGGCATAAATGAGTTGCCCGCAAGGTTTCTAGGAGAGGAAGTCTTGGGTTTCTTTTTTATTCTCGTTTCTTTTTCATAGAATTGCAAACCGCGCGAGAACAGACAAAATGGTTATTGATTCAGGTCGTGAGAATCTAGCGTACCATGTCCAGGTCCCTAATCAGGAGGCTGAGAAGCCCAAGCCTCGGCAGTTACCGGTCACACTGCTCTCGGGATTCTTGGTAACACTTATCCAAAGGCTGCGCATTTAAGAGATAATTCTAACTCTTCGACAGGGTAGTGGCAAGACAACTCTCCTGAAGCACATTCTTGGGTCCCCAGACCATGGAATGCGAATTGCGGTCATTGTCAATGACATGAGCCAGTGAGTATTGAATAAGCCGAAACGATGAACAACCCTGACCATATTCTCCTTAGACTTAACATCGACGCTGCCCTTATCAAGAACCACAAGGTCTCCCAAACGACAGAAAAGCTCATCCAGATGCAAAATGGCTGCATCTGTTGCACACTCCGTGGCGACCTGCTATCCGAGTTAGCCCGTCTCACCAAACAGAACGAGATTGAATATGTGGTGATCGAGAGCACCGGTATTAGTGAGCCAATGCAGGTCGCCGAGACCTTCACGGCGGAGTTCAGTTCCGCCATGTTAGAGGCCGAGGACCAAATCAGCGCCGAGAACGACGAGGAGGCGAAGAAGATTTTGAACGAGATGTAAGTGCTGTTAACATCCCGGTTGCTTCTTAGCAAAGACGAAGATGGCCTAACATTTCAGCAGTGTGGAATTAGGTGGCTTGCACACCATGGCCCGCCTTGACACCACGGTGACCGTGATCGATGCTTTCAACCTTCTCTCCAGTTTCGACACAACCGAGTTCCTCTCCGACCGATACGGCAAAGATGAGATCGTTCCCGAAGACGAACGAACCATTTCCGACCTCATGGTGGATCAAATCGAGTTCGCCGATGTGTTGATCATCAACAAGGTCGAAACCATCGATCAAGCCCACCGCGAGAAGATCGTGCAGCTTCTCAAACTGCTCAATCCAGACGCCAAGGTCCTTGAATCAAGTTACTCTAAGATTGATGTTCGTGAAATCATCTCGACCGGGAAATTTGATTTTATCCGGGCCGCCTCGGGGGCTGGCTGGCTGCGCAGTTTGCATGAGATGACGATGCAGAAGACTGGCAATGGGGAACGATTGGCACCCAAACCGGAGACGCTGGAGTATGGCATCAACAACTTTGTCTACTCGGCACGACGACCCTTTCATCCTCGGAAACTCTTCTCGTTACTTCACGACAAGTTCATCTTGCTCCAAAACAATGAATTGGAGGATGAGGATGAGGATGAGGATGAGGATGAAGATGAAGAGATGGGAGAAGGAGACAGCGACAGCGACAGTGAAAGTGACAGCGGATCAATAGAAGACTTTGATCAGCCAGATCCCAAAGACATCCTTGAAAACAAGCGTCATCACGCAGCATTTGGGCCAGTGCTGCGATCGAAGGGCTTCTTTTGGCTGGCGACGCGGGCGTTCCAGTTTGGCGAGTGGAGCCAAGCGGGCGGAATGCTAACGGTCGGGTGTGGAGGTCCCTGGTTCGCAGAGATTCCCCATGAGGCGTGGCCCGAGGACCAGGATGTGCGACAATCGATCGAGAATGATTTCCAGGGACCCTGGGGTGATCGACGACAGGAGATTGTGTTTATTGGGGAAGGGGTGGATGAGAGTGAGCTGACAGGCATTTTGGACGAGTGTCTATTGGATGATGCAGAGATGAAACAGTGGGAGAAGATTATGAAGAGTAAAAAGCTCAGTCTTGAGCGTAAAAGCAAGAAACTAGCGGGGATTTGGGAAGATGGTTGGGAGGAGTGGCCAGAATTGGAGGTGGAGGAGGAAGAGGAAGGTCATGCTCATGCTCAGGCTCATGCCCATCCTTATAATGGGGGGAAACACCGCACCAGCGAAATCACCCATTCCCAAATCACTAGGATATAGTTATACCAAGGTAGGTAAAAGTGATGATATAGAATATAACATTAGTTCTCAATTACCCTTCTCAATGAAATAAAATAATTAAATATACCAATTGATCAAAGTACCATAGTTACTACTAGTCCCTCTCCTCCCGCTATCGATAGCGACTTCAACTCCGCCTTTGCCCACCTTCTCCTCCTTCAATCATCTTCACGCACTGCTCTACACTGCACTTCAAGTACACAAGGGCGATCCCTGCTTGATTCAACTTTCTTTTTGCTCTGTCTTTCGAAAATCGATAATGCAGGCCTGACAATTCCTGCCCGGACCATCATCGCCATTGCTATTACTACCTCCACCTACATCTCCATCTCCATCTCACCCAGCCTGAAAGCGCATGCACTTCTTCGATCTCGACTGGTTCGTTTGATCACCATCTGTCGCCCCCACTCTTGGCTGCCTGCAATTCATGTACCTACCTCCCTGTCCTTTGCAGTGGTTCATGCTAACTTGCCTCAGTAACCCTCCCCACTGTGACCGACTGCTTCAATGGAGGTAAGAACTTGAGTGCTCTCCCCGCTCCACTCCACTTCCATCTGGGAAGGCAAGTCCTATCCTATGTTCGCATCTGCCCAATTCCTTGCTTTTTCTATCTTTCTTTTTCCACTTGCCTTGCAATTACCACCTATCTGCCTGCTCTCGGGCTGTTCTCTGGCTGCTCGCTGTTGCCCGCTCTGCCCGTTGCCCGTGACTATCGGTTGCGCGCCGCGTTCGCCTACGTGCTAAGCACATCAATGGTGAGACAAACGCTCAGTTCCAGTCCTCTTTGATCTCCGAATCGATGCAAATCTCTGTGTGTATTGCCTCTTGGTATGCAGGTGCAAAGATAAGAGGGAATCCCAGCCTGAGGCGTTCAGGTGTGTTAAGGCGCGCACACGCGCGGTGTCCATATGGCGCCCCGTGAGTTGCTGAGTCGCGATGGCCCGGAACCCCGTGGACCACGTCGGAGAGTATTCCCAGCCCCAATGATTCCGGAATGTTCATCTCTGTATTGAATTCACACGAGATTTCTATATCGAGCATGTGATGGCCCTTTGACATACGCAATCCTCTTCCTCCCCTTCTATGCGCGAACCTTTCCGGCCCAATATGCCCTGGCCTGCTGTCGAGCGATCCTGGTCGATCGAAGCGGATGTTGAACAGCCCTTTGTCGCCGACCGTCAATCATCTCTTTTCAAATCCGAAGCCCAGCTAAGCCTTGAACAACATCTACAGGGAAATCACCATGTCGGCACCTCGGCACATGCCAGGTCAAGTCTTGTACCCGATACCCAGCCGCGCGATGCCAAACCTCGTCTCCTTCTGATGGGACTTCGCCGGTGAGTCGGCATTATCTTTTCTCTGCCAGAAAATCGTGTTGCTAACTTCGTTTAGGAGTGGCAAGTCATCCATCGCCAGCGTCGTCTTTCACAAGATGCCCCCCAATGAGACGCTCTTCCTTGAATCCACCACCCGAATCCAGAAGGATTCCATCCAGTAAGTGCCAATGCACCTCATCTGAACTCTCTAGCTAACTCCGGCCATAGCTCTTTCATGGATTTCCAGGTCTGGGACTTTCCCGGGCAGCTGGAATACCTCGAGCCGTCTTTCGATCTGGAGGATATCTTCGGAAGCTTAGGCGCACTCGTCTGGGTCATCGATGCCCAAGACGACTACCTCGACTCGGTTGCGCGGTTAAACCGCACCATTTTGACTGTACAACAGTACTATCCCGGCATCAACGTCGAAGTCTTCATCCACAAGGTGGACGGGCTATCCGATGAATACCGCCAAGATACTTTCCAGGACATTGTCCAGCGGATCTCCGACGAATTGAGCGACGCGGGTTATGAAAACGCGCCTGTTCACTACTATCTCACCTCCATCTACGACTACTCAGTCTTCGAAGCCTTCAGCAAGGTCATCCAAAAGCTCATCCCCAACCTCTCCACCCTCGAAAACCTGATCACCACGCTCTCGAACAACTGCGGCTTCGAGAAAACATATCTGTTTGACGTCCTCAGTAAAATCTACATTGCTTCCGATACCCGACCTGTCGATATGGCCTGTTACGAGATGTGTTCCGATTACATTGATGTCATTGTCGATATTTCCGAGCTGTACTCTTGGGACCATCCGCTTCGAAAGGCAAAGGGCGAACAGGTGCAGGAGGCAGAGAGTCATGTCATCCTGCACGACGAGACGATGATTCATCTCATGGAGATGAACAAGTACTTGTGTCTTGTCTCGGTGATTAGGAACCCCGAGGCCAAGGAGAAGAAGGGACTTATCGATATGAACTGTCGCACGTTCCAGGACGCGTTGAATGAGGTTTTCTCTCGATCATGGGAACAAGAGCAGGAAGAACAGGCGGCGCGGGATCACGGTGGTCCTTGAGCTGGATGTTGGGGTGCGAAGACCAGCTGCTAGCTGTGCAGAGTCAGCACATCGCATGTCCATGACTCCTTCTAGCTAGAATCATGAATTTGATGACAAAATATTGCTACCCGGGTGCCCATTGACTCCGACAAACTTTCGTCGGAGGCTGTAGAGACAACAATTTTTGTGAAATATACTGTGGTCCTAGTAGGAGTTTCCAATACCCACCTGGGCACATTCAGGCCTGACCTCCAGGGCTCGGATGAAGAGTATTTTAAAGGATACAATTGGAAGACAAAATCTACTACTTAGGTAGGTCACGGTATTTTAAGAACTCGAGTCAGATCAGATGTGTGTTACCTTGCCATCCATCGCACCAAGAGTACTACTACTAGGCACGAACACCTTCTTTCAGGCCAACCGAGGCGATCTTCCCCAGATTTCCACCACACCACAACCAACCACCACCATCGTGACCACCTCCTCCCACGACCAATACCAACCCTGTCCAAGTCTAAGGGCAACCCGACAAAAAGAACATATCCCAACGATGCCGGAACTCCGCCAGCGACAAACAACCGCGTCCTCCGGTCCCAATCGCGACACAAACACACCAACACCCCAACCATCACGCCACACCTCCAACGAAGACCGCGGCATCAGCGTCCTGGACATCATCCGCGTGCTAGTCACCCTCGTCATCGCATCATGCGGTCTTTCATACTATGTCACCAACTCTGAATCCGTTTTATGGGGATACCGACCGTGGTATACACGGTGGCCGGTACTGAAGTCGTACATGGTGAGCGAGGCAGCACACCCAACCAGCTCGATCGAAGCTACAAACTTGAAGCAGACACACAACTAACACTAACACACTCCCCCTAGATCGGACCTATAACACTCACCCCAACCGAACTATCCCTCTACAACGGCAGCGACTCCTCGCTACCAATCTACCTCGCCGTAAACGGGTCTATCTTCGACGTATCCGCGAACCCAGGCATGTACGGACCGGGTGGTGGTTACGGATTCTTCTCCGGCCGCGACGCAACACGTGCGTTTGTGACGGGGTGTTTCCAGGAAGATCTCACGCCTGATCTTGGCGGGGTGGAGGAGATGTTTGTGCCGGTGGAGGATGTTGAGAATGAGAGGATTACGAATGGGGAGAGGAAGATTCGGAAGGAGCGCGAGGTTAGACTTGCTAGGCAGCAGGTTGAGAAGACGGTGAATAGGTGGGAAGGGTTCTTCCGGAATCATGCGAAGTATTTTCAGGTGGGGAGAGTTAGTGGTGAGCAGGGGGAGGGCGATGAGCTGTGGGGGAAGCGGCCTCTTTGTGAGGCGGCGGCTGGTCAAAGGCCGAAGAGGAGTGAGATGGAGGGGAAGTAGAGGGGTGTGATCTGCTTGAAAAGTGCAAGGTGGAAGGATATCCTTGAGAGGAGTAACATATTATTACAGCATTCGCGGGGCGCATTTTTGATGGCGTGGACTGTCGGTCCAATATGGTGGACTTAATCTACGTATTACGCAGAACATAGCGGGGGGGGAAAAATTTGAAGTTTTTGAAACTTTTTTATTCTTCGTTTAACCTGATACTAGCCCAGGGGACGAAGGTCCACAGTGCCGAGAGAGTCAGGCCACTAAGCATCACACTGAGCTTCCCATGTGAAATGATATCATTCGTAAGAGAAATAGACAACCGCGAGAAATGGAGGAACGGAGCGTTTACTCGGCGGCGGCGACGCGGGCTGAGGGGAAGAGAAGTTAGTTAGGATTCAAAAGTCCGAATATTGTGTTCGGGAAAAACGCACTGTAGATGTTCATCTTGGAGTGGCTGGTGACCTTCTTGATCTGGCCCTTCTCCTCGAGGTCGGCAAGAGCGCGGCGAGCCAGGCTGCCGTTGATCTTGAGACGGTCGACCAGGGTGGCGACGGTCACGAGACGGTAGGACTGGACATCCTTGTTGAGCTTCTCAAGGGTGGACTTCTCGAAGACAACGGCGTGCTGAGCCTTGTCCTTGACTATAGGCAGAAAATAATGTTAGTCGCCGTTTCCTCGCATGTAGTTCGCATATTCATGTCCATGTCCATGTCCAGATCCAGATCCAAATCCACCATCCATATCCGATCGCGCAACGACTCAAAATCTCGTCTTCATCGTGCGGTAGTTGTAGCCGGGCGAGAAAGAAAGGGTTCGAAGATCGTTGTCACGGTCGGCTGGATGGATGAATAGATGGATGGATGGGATGATCATGGCGATGTTGCTGGTGGTGGTGATGGCGATAGCGTACCCTTGCCCTTGCTCCACTTCTTCTTTTGCTTTCCTGCGGGTGGCTGTATTTGAATAGTGATTAGCTTGTGTCTCTGCAGCGATAACCAGGCATTTTGAGATGGGCACTCACCATTTTGTCTTGTCGGTTGCGGATAGTCAAAGGAAGGTTGTCTGGGACGGCGGATCTCGAGTGCGAAAATGGCCGTGGGGCATGACTAATCCACCACGCAAGCCCTAAGCCCCAGGTCACGTGTGGGGCAAACTCGGTTAGTGCGAGGCCGGTGATTGGCTGGTTCAAACAGTGTACAGTACTGTATACAGTACATCGAGTAGTACTCTACTGGATGGATTATTACGAGTCCATTCAGATTGATTGCAAATTCTGTTTATGATTTATTATAACAAAAGTCAAAGGGAATTCATCGATCAGTACTTCATGTTTATTGTGATGGTTCAATTTGACATTATTGTGGAACACAACGCTCCTACTATGTATAGAACTCCTATAAATTAGTTACATCATAGGACTGACTACCTAACGGCTCAAGCTACCAGCATGACCCCCATATCCTCGACTGGTCACCGAATTCAATACTTCAAAACCAGAGATACCATTCTCATCAGTCAAATACCCAACCACGTACTCTTCGGTCGAAGCAAACCAAAAGGTCGCATCATTTTCCGATTCAACAAGCCACTTCACCTCATACTTCCCACTGTCGCTTTTTTGAGTAGGAACGCGGGCGATCACCGGGTGATCATTGGGCGACCACCATCGAATAGTAGGCAGATTGTTCGTAATTGCATTAATGAGCAGCTGCGGCGTTGAAGGATGCCAAGCTAGTTGACGAACCGGCTGTTCATGCACCAAAGCAGATGCCAGTCTGGGCGTGGCATCCAATGCCCAGATCCAGACAACATTAGATCGCATAGTATCCACAGTTGCGAGCATCGTTCCGTCAGGGCTGAATGCCATGATTTGTACACCTCGCGGTGGCCCCGAAGACTCGGGACTCATGTTAAATGCAGAGGAGCATGTCGCCTCGGCGTATTCCGCGTCTCCGAGGGCACTTGTATATCGCTCGCGCCAGATCCTAGGTGAAGACTGATCGAGCGGGAAAACATGCGAGAGTGTAGTGGAACAAGTAAACTAGAAGAGTTAGATATATATTTGTTAGTTCTTACAAGAGGTACATACTGTTCGGGTTCGCAGCAGGTCAACATTGCCGTTGACCTTGCCGACAGCGAGAGTACTGGAGGTGCCATCTTTCCCAACAGGACTCCATTCAATCTGCTTGACGCCCAAATCAAATGAATCATCCATCTCGGATGGGCCACTATAAGTCCTGAATAGCTGTCCGTCGGCCGTGAAAATGAGCACCTTGGTACCAGAACTGGCAGCATCCCAGACGGCAATCCACCTCCCATCTGGACTCCATTTCAAGCCCTGGGCGTCATTGGTTGAGAGAACAACCCGGCTGACCAGGTTGTAGGTTTGAGGGTCATGGATAGTAAGTAGGTCAGATGTATCCGGCTTTAATAGGATGGCGAAGTGCAGGGTGTGCGGACGATAGCCGAATCCAAGATGGTGAGCAGATTTGGGCGACTTGATCATGGAGCTGCACCCTGTGTCCAAGGAGTGAATAGTCATTTTCGTATTCCATGCGTGAAATACAAGGATTTCGTTTTCATCGGCTCCAAATTCGATGTTGAGTGTCCCCGGCTCGAGGTTTTCGATCTCGGCAAACAGCTTCAATTCTTCTAGTTGAAAGACCGAGATGCGGGATTCATTGGAGCTGAGAAGACGTCTGTCTGTACATGATTTAATTGAATTCCGTGTAGGAGAGAATTTGAGAGATTTGACACTTGTTTCCATGGCTTTGGCAATCTGCATTTCTTTGTGCTCGGATGCCAAATCGGAGTAGACGGCAAGATCTTTGCCATGGACGTGAGCTGCAAAAAGGCCGTCATTGGAAAGCGAAAGAGCCAATGGAGCTGGTTTAAGGTTAGTATTTGGTTATAGATCTTGAAGGAAAGAATTTACCCCCGGTTCCAGTAGATGCATCCATTGTTGATGCTCTGTCAACAATGAGGCGCGTCTATGCGCTCAGTGGTATATCAAGAATCAGAGACCGTAAGTTCATCTATTGGATAGAGAAAAAAAGGGATACAATTTTTTGAGTGGTGGATCCCTTTTTCTGAAAATCCATCAACCTTGGTCTCGGAATAGTCGCTGTTCTGCACGTATTGAGGATATCTCAAGATGGATCTCATCCAATCCAATGCGGGTGAGGCATCAACATTTATTGCCTCAGGCACAAATAATTAGATAAGCCGCCACTCCGATAAGATAACTCGGAATATTCAATCCTCCGCTCCGAGATAAGCAGCGCGCCGGCAAAAAGTCGAGATGTTCGTCCTTCTCCGATGAAGTGGAACTCGGCTTCGGCAGTCAAAATAGGTCTTATAACCAGATCATCCCCGTGGTTGGGGCGATTTTTCTTCAGTATCCCCCGACTGCACGTCAGAATGGCGTCCGACACCACGCAACCGCAGAAGGCGCAAAATGGCACCGAGCTGCCCTCCGCCGTGGCACCTCAGAAGAAACTACTAGGAAGACAGTTCTACGAAAGCATTGGAAGCCCTAAGTATATTGTGGCTCCCATGGTTGACCGATCTGAGTTTGTGAGTCTATTAGAATTCACATAGAAGAATTCCACCCTGACATTCTTCTTTTCTTTCCAGGCCTGGCGCATGCTCACACGATCCTTCATACCCGAGGACGAGTCAAAGTCCCTTCTCGCATATTCCCCCATGTATCACGCACGTCTATTTGGAGAACAGGAACGTGTCCGCTCCGGGTGTTTCCAACCCACTCGTGCCGCCATTGGAGATTCGAACAGGAAGGACGAGCTCTTCCTCGACGGAAATCCCTCATTCGACCGCCCCCTCTTCGTTCAATTCTGCGCAAACGACCCAAATGAGTTCCTGGAAGCAGCGAAACACGTTGCGCCCTTCTGCGACGCCGTCGATTTAAACCTCGGTTGCCCGCAAGGTATTGCCAGGAAGGGACACTACGGTGCCTTTCTCCAGGAGGACTGGGATCTGATCTATAAACTCATCAATAAGCTATCCACTGAACTCTCAGTACCCATTACGGCAAAGTTCCGCATCCAAGAAACGAAGGAGAAGACTTTGGAATATGCGAAGATGATTCTCTCCGCCGGTGCGAACATTATCACAGTCCATGGACGTCGCCGAGAGCAGAAGGGTCATGAAACAGGTCTGGCAGATTGGAGCTACATCCGCTACCTGCGCGACAATCTACCATCAGAGACTGTGATCTTTGCCAATGGAAACATCTTGAGCAATGACGATATCGAGCGTTGTCTGGAGGCAACCGGTGCTGACGGCGTCATGAGTGCCGAGGGAAACCTTTCCGACCCCACGGTCTTCAGCAAGCCACCACCCGTTGGTAGTGAAGGCCGAGAGTACTGGCGGGGTCGAGATGGAAAGGGAGGGTACCGTATTGATGCTATCCTGCGCAAATATTACGACATCATCTACAAATATGTCCTCGAGCAACCTGTTCCGGAGCGCAAGCCGCTTTTCCTGCCATCAGACCCCGTGGATGCGGCGGAAGAAGCAAAGGAAGAGGAGCAGAATGAGGAGGAAGACGGCCCGCCAAAGAAGAAACAGAGACGAGAGAAGGTCAAGAGGACCAGCTCCCCTAACCTTGGATTCATGCAGGGTCATCTTTTCCAAGTACTCCGGCCCATGGTTGGAACCCACACAAATGTTCGAGATGCGCTTGCTCAATCCCGGCCTGGTGATATGGCCGCGTTTGAGAAAGTTCTCACTCTCATTGAGCGAGCAATCAAGACTGGACTGAAGGAATATGAACAAACCCCCGAGAAATTCGAGAAACAACCAGACGAGTCTTTAACAGGCTCCAAGGCTACCATCGCCGAGTATGGTCGTCCTTGGTGGGTGTGTCAGCCGCACATCCGACCTCTGCCCGAGGAGGCTAGAGAGAGCGGTGCTCTCACTGCCAAAGGTACGGTAACTACATCTAAGGCGAAGGCCGACGCCCGAAAAGAAGGAACCGACGGAAACTCAGACACCTACTTCGGAGGGCACTTCCACCCCAGCCAATGGAAATGGCACTGAAAACCTTACACCTGATCGTTTGGTCAGCGGTTAATGCTGTGCACTTCAGCAAATTATGGATACACATGGAATAGAAAAGCCCGAGGGCTAGGGAAGTACATAGGCACTGATAGATATTTGCTTTGCATAGCGGTCTGATACACCTAATGAAAATTCTAGTTTTCATTTTAAGTTCATGGAAAAAGGGTCTTTGTCTTCTACTCATACTTCGAAGAAACTACACACTGACCTCGGACGACCGTACATTAACTGGTGTGTCCACAAGTTTGCCTGAATCGTCATCGCGCCCATCACGATCGTCGTCACTGGCCGGGCTCTCGAACGCAACTCTTCCAATCACGCCTCGTGCTCGATCTCTTTTCTCGAGATAGGCAATCAAGCCTATAAATGGCAGGGTCAATGTCCCCGTCACCAAGCTTGCAATATAACCTCTGTGAAAATTAGGGGCATCGGTAGCAGCGTAGAATACTAGCGGCCACCAAGTTACAAAAGCGAAGTCGAACGAGTTCATGAAGCCAGTGGTTATAGCTCGCAATTGTACGTCTGAGCTGGTGACATCAGCCATCCAAGAATACCAAACCGCTTGAGGCGCGAAAGTGGTTCCGAGCAGGTAAAATGCCACGAAGTATCCGGCATCTGTCGAAGGACTAGACACGAGAATCGCCGACCCGATGATGAAGGTCAACCCAATTGCAATGGAGACCTCCCAGCGAGATTGCAATTTGTCTGATATTATTGCATAGAAGATTGTACCAGCAATAGCAGTTGCATAGATGCCAGTAGGATAGTTGTTCTGCTGGATAGTGGTGTATCCCCGTGAGGCCATCCAGTATGCCATCACATTGTTCTGCAGCATTTGCACGCAAAGAGAGTACACTAAGCTAATATTAGCGCTGAATGTCCAAGCTCCATCTTAGATACTTACACATAAAAATGAAGGGCAGTAGCCAGAATTGCCAACTCAAGAGCACTCTCCTGAATACAGTCAAATCCCAAGACTGCTTTCGGGGCGCACCTAGTCGCATGATTGCATGTTCTTTCAGTTCGCTATTCAAGAACCACGCTGCGCGGTGGGAAGGCAGATCCGGAATGAATATCCAGCCTGTGGAATTGCTAAGTACTTCCATATTTAGACGAACGGGGTTGAGAGCGTACCGAATAATGCAACGGGGATAGTCATCACAGAAACAATAATGAATATCCATTTCCAGGCAGGAAGACCACCCTTGTCTGCCAATGATGCTAGCAATCCAGCTTGGATCCAGCCACCAGCCATCGTCCCTATATGACCAAAGACGCAGAATACTGCAGCCCTTATACCGAGCTCAGATCTCTTATACCAGGAACCGAGAATGAAATGGGCACCCACACTGTCAGAATGTCAGCTCCTGCTATCCTCTGACACTCCACACATGCATTTCCGGGGAATTCTTTCTATGCGATCGCAGAGAATCCTCCTTCGATCGCGTTTAGCAGGATAACTTGCCAGGCTTTGGTCATCTTGTAGGTGATTAACGTTAAGACCGCCCAGGTCAAGTTAGCTGTTACAAACACGTATTTTGGCCGCACGATAGTCAAAAGACTGGTTCCTGGCATTTGGCAAACGGCATAGACCACCAAATACGCGGTGCTCATGTAGTTGTATTCCTTTCCCTGGAAACCGAGTGCCTCTTTCATACCGCTGATATAGGCTGAAGAATAGCTGGCCCTTGTGACGCCGAATAGAAACCATATCAAAGAGAAGTAGGGAAGTAGGGTGACATCGAGTTTTGCTAGCAAAGCTCGATCCTTACTATCTGGTCCCCAGAGCCAGATCGCGAGCTTCGTTAGTATCGAGGTCATTTTGCACAGCATTTTCGAAGAAACGCCCGAAAGAAAGAAAGGCTGCGGGGGCCAAGTTTCTTAAATTGATGGCTCCCGATGAGTGATTTCGATGTTGACATGGAGTTGTACGAGAAAGTTATTGCGATACGCTGTACCCCGCCGGTCGATCAGGCGTTCCAAGTCAGTTGATCCTGGCAGCGAAAAAGTGAGGGTCAAAGTCAAAGGTATGCGACCGACAAGAAAAGAGATAAATGTGCCCTCGGTTGCGAGATCTATCAGTAAGATGGTGAATCAAACGGCGAACTAATATTCACATGATGGTGTGATAGAAGGAGAAAATTACCACGAGCGGGGTTGGGATCAACTTGTATAAGTCATGTCATCCTGATCCATCCATGTGAAGAGGATTTTGCGAAATCTCTGTCACTACCAAAAATTCATTTGTAATGGTCTAATCATAATTATTTATCAGACCTATGGTTCAGATTCTATTCGCTGGAGAAGTACTCACTAACTAATATTTCGATGTAGATTTATCAGAATGAACGTTTCAAAGTCTTAAGTTGCTACTGATCTCTGACTTTAGGGAGGGGAATAGAGATCAAATATAGTTCTATATATACTAACGAAACAAAGGGCGTTTCCATCCATGGATGTCTGCGTTTACATCTGCCTAAAAACCCGCCTACTATGTCCAGGCTTCATATCTAAATCAGACCAGTTCAAGCGAGTTATGTTCTCACTACGAGTCTGCAGCTTTTTGGGTGCCATAATTATTGAGTTTCTGATGCACTAGGGTCAGATTAAAGCTGCTTGGTTTGACCACTGACATAGTGTACTTTTCAATTTCAGAGAATAGGAAAGGGGTAACTATCTACCTGTCTCCGAACATGAACGCTAGCAGTTCGTAAGTCCTTTTCGGTAAGCTCATCCATGTTATTTGTATTCTGTCGAGCAATGTTAATTATATGCCTGGTACAGAACGAATAAAGTAAAAATTTCCCCTACATTTCTCTTGATCTCATTGACGGTGGCTGAAATATCGATCACATCGTCTAGATCTGATACGCCGGTCTGTATAATCTCCTACCTCTATTCCTCCGAGATATCGAAGTATTTCGCAACTTCAATAAGACCTAACCCTCCAACTCCGATCCAATGATCAACAACCTCATCTTCTCTAGCCCGTGCAACGCCTTCACTATCCCAAGCCTCTTCCAACTCTCTCTCCAGATAAATCGTCTGAAACCCACATTTCTTAGCAGCCTGCAAGTCCTCAAGATGGGCCGCAACAAGACAGCATTGCGAATTCTCAACCCCAAATCTGCGAGCAGCACCATTATAAGCCTCGGGGGGACGGCTTGTAAGCGCCAAAATGCTCGGCACTGGTAAGATGCTTGAAGGGCAAGGAATTGTGTTTCTGTAGATCCTCAAGTAACTTCACATTGCCGTTTGATAATGTAGACGTCGGGAATTTAGTGTTCAGCAGCGCAAGGCCGGGGACACTGTCAGAGTATGAGTCAAGTCGATGCCAAGCGAGTGTTAAATTTTGGAGATCGTCGTCATTGAATAAATCCCGGAGACGCCGTTTCGTAAGAATATTTTCCAAGGATAGACGGTTGTGTTCATCTACTGAGACAAAGGGCTGAGATGTATCGTAATTGTCTCCGAAGTTCATATATGCGTGATGCCACTCCTCGGAAATCTCCCTCCAACTTGAAGTAGACATGTCAGAGACGCGTTTTCGCACATCTGCACTTAGAGATCGAGTTTGATCCTGAAGGATCTCTTGAGCTGCGGCATTCAGTTGCTTGGCGATGCAAAATCTCCATTCCACAATTGTCCCCAAGACATCGAAGAATAGAATTGCAGGGTGACCATTCTGTGACATCTTCTTGAAATTTCTTTAAGTTATCACAGAATAAAGCCTTTTGCAAAATGTAGAATTGAGCTTAAGTATTATAATCACTTGTCAGCCAGTGATAGTAACCTGTGGCGTCAAATTAGAGCTCCAAAGGATTTACCTTCAGGATCTGGTGTAAATTTTGACAAGATACTATCGCGATGGGATGAGGCTGATTTAAATGTTGAAGCCACCAAGCTCTCGCCATTTCATCAGCCTCGGGTTTAATAATAAGCATTGCATGTGATTTCGAGTTAGGCGTTTCAATGACGCCCTCGAACGTCGTAGCGTCGGAATTGTATTACTGGTCAACGGGCCGAAACGATGAGATCAATTCCCATTTGCGGGCCTGCGTTGGGGTATGGAGCGCCATAGTTGGGGTCACTTCCAGCCTGAGGTTTCTACTAGATATGACTGGGAGCGTTTCATGGAGGTTTTCTAATGCATGCCCAGGTAGCCTTCCAAGTTTGTACTGCCTCTGAGGGCTTAATTATCGCCGTGGCATAGCCCTGGGGTTTCAAGTTACTAGCCCAACTTGAACAAAGAGAAGATATGAGATTATACAATTCTAGAAAAATAACAATACAACCATCCCAACCGACAGGGTATCATGTATGCATTCAAGCCACTGGCACACAAAACGGGACTCAGCTCAGCCCAGGCCAATTATTCACATCTCCTCCTCAACATCACTAGTCTCCCACCCATCCTCACTTTCACTAGCACTCCAAACAGACCTCTTACTGTCATCCTCCTCAGCAGCAATGCTAGCCGCAAGGGCCGCAGCAACAGCCGCAGCCTCAGCAGCACGCTCCTTAGAATGTTTCTTATTCTTCTTAGCCTTCTTCGTCTCCTCCTCAAACTGGCGCTTCTTCTTCTGAAGTTCAGCCTCAGCAGCCGTACCACGCTCGATGACATCGATCATCTTCTCCAGCGCGGGCGCATATGCCTGGGCGTAGATTAGATCGCCCACCTTGACACGCATGTAATCCATTGCCGCGGCGACAGGGGCATTTTGACCTGGGATCCGGGAGCCCTTGACTGAGAGACCTGGTTTACCGGGCTCGGGGAAGGCGATATCGTCTAGGAGTTCGTAGGCAGATTGTCGGGAGGGTGGCTGTTCGGCCTCGGCATCGTCGTCGAGTGGGATATCAGGGGCAGCGCCGCCGCGATCAGCTTCAGCGAGTTGGGGTTCAGCGCCTGAGCGGGAGGGCGAGAACTGAATTGATCCCTTTGCTTTGGGGGTTTCATTGATCTGGGCGATCTTTTGGTAGCGCTGGCTAAAGTGGGTGAGGAGTACTGAGCGGGCGTTCATTCGCTTCCCGACTTCTAGGGCTTCGGCTGCGGTTGAGTGGCGCTTTGCAAGGGCTGAGCCAGCCATGTCATTTGAGAAGGTTGCTTCGTGGATTAGGACTGTTGAGCCAGCACCGATGGAGGCGAATTTATCCGAGGGCCGGCAGTCGCCGGAGTAGGAGACTTTGAATCCATCCGGGAAAACGAAGGACGCGGCTAGAGCACCGCGGCAATGTTTGACTCGGGTTGTGAGTAGGTCGCTGAGACCGGTGGCGGATTTGAAAAGCGATGTGAGAGGACCGGAGTCACCGAGGAAACCGAGGCGGATCTTGTTGGCGTTGCGTGCTCCGAAGGGAGGACCACCGTCTTGTTTGGTGCGGTAGCTGAATCTAGTGACAATGGTTTGGCCGGATGCTTCAGGGTGTGCGGAGACGGGCAGCACCTTGCCAAAACCGAAGTTCTCGACTGTCGCATACTCTTCCAGCCAGGTGATCATCATTTCGTCTGAGACGACGCACAAGCGCTTCTCCTGGAGGATCTTTGCTAGGTCTGTTTCGGGGTGAGCTTCAGGCTTGGCGTCTTTGCCGTAGACCTCGTGGTACCAAGCGCGAATGACAGAGACAGTGCCCAGGTGGTGGTCGGCGTGCAGATGGCTGATCCAGATCATGCGAAGGTTCTGGAAAACCTCACGCAGCTTCTCGGGTCCGAAAACACGCTTCAGTTGACCTAGAGTGCTCTCACCACAATCAAGGAGATAGTAACCGTATCCCGGGTGGTGGACCAAAGTGGCCGAGACATTGCGATACTTGGACGGCGCGGAGGAGCCTGTGCCCAGAGCAATGATCTCGGCGTCAGCACCAGGTAGAGTTTCGCGGAAGGCAGCATACTGCTTCTTGAACTCGGGCTTCGCAACACGTTTCTTGATGACATCCAAACGCTGTGAAACTGCACGAGGAACGCGTACGGCCATGGCCGTGTTGACAGGCTTCACGATCTCCGAAGTATTCAGTTTGAAGGTAGGTTCCATATCGATAATCAGACCAGGCTTAACCGGCTCGAAGGGAAGATTCTTCAAATCGATGGATCCCGGCAAAGCGCTGCCTGCAATTCCACGCTGGGGAAGTGTTTCATTGTCGTGGTCGGGAATTGAGTAGCTATCGCCGTTGAGGCAGTTCAAGCGAATGGCAGATTCGGCGGCGCTTTCCAGCGCCAGGTAGTTCGGGCAGTAGTCTGTGCCAGAGACAAGATGTTTACTCTGGGACATGCGGGCAACGAAGTCTCGGAATTTAGGGTCCTCGCCAACACCAGGTCCAAGGATCCAGAAGAAGACCTTCAGCTCAGCCATGACGGTGGCGGACTTCCATTCTCGACGATTGACCACGTCGTCGAGGTAATCCGCAGACGGAACCTCCATAATAGCAACTCCTTGGCCTAATCTCGGAGCGCCGAGAACCATGTCTGGAGTGATGGTCTTGCCGTCCTCCGACATGACAGTCTCGCCACCTGCAAGTTTGGCGTACGCAGGGCCGGCAGGCACCTTGCAGGCCCTAGCCTTCTGCACGTCGAATTTGCCTCGGACGTCGTGGTTGCGGACAATATAGCACAGGGCCTCTTTGGAGGGGGTGGTAGGCGGTAAAGTTTCCACAGTAGCACCGGGCCAGGGCTTCCGAACGAGCACGTTGATATTGGGAAGGGGCTTGTTGTCGCCGGGGATGGGTCCCTTGTACTGCTCCAAGTCCTTGGTTTCTGGGTTCCGCACGAACAATGTTGCAGGCATTTTCACTTGCGCGAGAGGAGTCTCCACCAAAGAATCCATCTTCCAGGTCGAATTGAACATATCATGGACAACCGATTGTCTCAGTAGGTTATCCTGTTTTTGCTGCGTCTCCATGTCGACAGTCTCTTGGAACTCGTCCAGGCTGCGCTTCCGCGGGCTCTGAGAGAAAGAAGAAGGAGGAGGCTTTGAGTTGTCTGAGTTGATGGGGAGAATCCAGACCTTGATATTCTCATCGTTCCAGGTGGGCTCCTGGAACGGGTCCTCTGCACCGACAGGGAGTCGCTTCTCAATATCCTTGGCGCTATACTCGTTCATGTACACGGGCAGACCCTTCCGGAAGACGAAGCGTCGAGCCGTGGCCATAGTATGCATTAGGTTGGTCGCTCCGTGGATATTCAGATGAGTTTTGTCAACGGCTGCATCGAACTGGCCCGTGGGATCGCGCGGTTCTGCAGCCCCGGATTTCTTCCCTGGTACCTCCGTAGCTTTGCGCTCGGCCGCGCGCTGCTGCTTTTCGCGCGTAGCAAGCTCCAGGGAGCCGTAGGTCGCCGCGCTTGCATCCGCGACAGTCAAGATGACACCAATCAGACCGCCATTGTTTGCCCATTCCGTGCGACCTGTCAAAAAAAGATGATTCAAGTGGCTACTGAGCTTGGTTCCCCGTTGGACACATGCTCGCTGAGTTCCCTCTGATACCTGACCGAAGATGTATCTCTTCTCGGGGAAGTGTAGATTGAGGAACGTACCGGGGGTGTCGGCCGTTGGGGTCGTCAAGGCCTGCCAGTAGAACTTCATTGGCTGGGCTGGGCTGGAGGGCTCGGGGAGCTCTTTTAATTTGAGGAGGGAGGGTTCGCAGAGGAGGTATTCCCGTTTCCCACCTCGACTAGTGGAGACGATAGGCGTGCTAGGATCGATGTGTCGTTTGTCCCGATTGTTTCTCTGGTCCAGCCCTCGAAACTTATGTTGTCGCTGTTCGCAGAGGCTGGGAGGTTCTTTTCGTTGGAAAGGCTTGAAACGAGAAGTCCGAGCAGCGAGTTTCTGCTTTGTTGCTTTGGATACCGATCCTCGACTACTTCGGACTTTGGTGTATGTCGTGGTTTGAAATGCGGCAACGCGGACGGAGGTTGTGATGGCCGGTCGAGGAAAAGCACGCGAGAGTGCGCCAGAAGCTGCGGTAAAGAGAGTACCGCGGGTCTGTAGAGAAGCCAATTTGGCTGTGAGGTGGATTCAGTGGGAGCGAAAGAGGAGAGACGGCATCAGTGTTGGAGGGAGGTTGTGGAGGGACGAAGAAGTGGTGTAGGCAGGTTGAAAGTTGGACGGCAACTTTTTTTTTGCGGGCGGAGGCGGAGGAGGTCGAGCCCAGCGATCATCCGAACTTACCTACGTAGGTACTACATGAGTCACGAGTAGGTACTTGACAGGAATTTGATTCAATTACTACTAGTATGCATTTAATTACAGTAATTTAAAACAGAAATATAATCGTAATGAATCAATTTTGAGTATCGCTGATCCTCGACGCCGAGTAATCGCTACTAAATTTCCACCCAGAAACCCAACCAGGAGATACATAAAATTAACGAGCGCCGTGAAACTCCCGAGGGACATCTGACAAAAGAGACCGACCACTTGCAGAATGTAGCTAAAAATAGAAATATGACAGACATTGTATAGTCAAACATATGATGCCAGGACAAAAGACAGATATACAAAGAAAAATGCTAGAGAGGGGAATCACTGAAGATGAGAAGTGACGGAAGACACTCGTTGGAAAGCGGCTTCCATGTTGTTGCAGAGGGAGTTGAATCGACTCTTGGCGAGGCACTAACTTCGCTTGAGTCCACCACCAGCTCAAATTGAGAAGCCTTCTCGGATTGAACACCGTCGAAGGCAGGGACATCGGAAGAAATAGCAGCAGGAGGGGAATCAAGGAAGAGAGCAAAGGCAGGGTCGGACTCGTCAATCTCCACATCGGGGTTGGCAACACCGATGTCAGACTTCTCAGTCGACTGCTGGGGCGGACCAGAGCAGGGGCCTCGTTCTTGGAGGATCCCTCGGAAAGGTCGACCGGGGAGGAAGACTTGCCAGACAAAGCCTCAGCATCGAGAGCAGGGCCCTCGGGAACCTCGAGGACGGCGAAGACGGAAGCGTTGCCGAAGTTCATGTCGATACCGGAGTTCCAGCCACCGTTGTTCATCGCCATGGAGGCATCCATACCCTGTTGGGGAACCATCATCATGTTGGTCTGGGGGTTCTGCTGCATCTGGAACTCCTGAGGACGAGGAGCGGCGGCCTCCTTGGGCACAGGAGCCTGCTGGGGCTGCTGGGCACGGGGGGCCTGTGCCTGCTGAGCCTGGGCCTGGGGGGCAACGGCATCGGGCATGTCGCTCAGGAAAGAGGAGAAATGGGGCGAACCCAGGAGCATGCGGGCGAGGTCGTTCAGGCGAGCATTCTCCTCGTAGAGAGCACGGTTCTGCATGCGAAGGTCGTGGGCCTCGGTGGTGCGGGAGGCAATTTCGCTCTCAAGCTGACCGATGTACTCTGTGCAAGATTAGTAAATGTTTCAAATTTGTCAAGGATCATATGCATCGTCTTACCCTTGCGACGAGAGCGGAATGCACGAGCGGACACCTTGTTCCGCAATTGGCGACGCTCTTTGCTGCTCAGCTTCTTTCCCTCCTCACTAGCGAGCAGGCGCTCATCCTCGTCCATATCAGCCTCATCCTTCTTGGCCTTGGCCATGTGAGGCATGCCGGAAGACGGGGACGGTGAGGCCTCGCCGTTGGCGATGGCATTTTGACGCATCTGGTGAAGAAGTTGAGAAATGCGCTCCTCAACAACGGGATCCGGCTGGCGGGAACCGCGGTTGGGAGGGGCACCAGGGCTCTCCTCCACACGGCGCTGGGGTACTTGCTGGTGCACCATCTCGTGTTGCTTCTGTTGCTGAGCCGCCGCCTTGGCCATCGCAGCCTGCTGCTGATGCATACCAGGGTACATGCGACCGACCTGAGTGGAAGGACCAGCCTGAGCCAGCTCATGGCCGCCGAGCGCGTTGGGATCGATGTATTGGTTCTTGTTTGCGTTGTTGGGGAAGTAGTAAGGGGTGTTGGTCATGCCGTCGGACTCGATCTCCATCTCAGATGGGTTACGGGCAGGGGCTGTGTTGAAATCGAAGGGAGCGTCCTCGCGCTTCATCTGTGGTGGGAACATTTCGCTGTTCATGGGATAGCCGGGGTTGGCGTTTCCGAAGCCCATGTGGTTCACCTGTTGCTGCTGATGCTGCTGCTGCTGGTTGTAGGTCATGGCCAGGGCGCCAGGGGGTAACCCAGTTTGTTGACGGTGCTCTTCATAGTGGTGGCTAGGGGCCTGGAAGGCCATGGGTGATTGACCACTGGAGGCGAAACTGGCGCTGCGAGCGTCGCTTGTGCTGAAGTCGGTCCCAGTGACCGAAGGTTGGCTGGCGAGGGCGACCTTGGGGCGGGCGGGGTCGGCAGATGTGTAGGCGAGTTGATCGAAGTTGATGAAGGAGTCGAGATCTTGGTCATAAGCGGCGTTAATAGTCGGTTGCATGGGATGCTCTGCGAGAGTAGCCATGATGTGTGGTGGTGATGGGTGGTAGGTGATGGAGTGTGGCAGTGATGGTGGTGGTAGTGTCGAGATCGAGACCCTTATCCCCTGGACAGCGAAATGGGGATAGGGTTGGTATAAATATGGGTATGGGTAATGATAAGAAGAAGAAAAAACGAGAGGGAGAAAAGAGCGGAACAGTGGTCTAGATGGGGGTCCGAGATAATAATAAAGAACGGTTCAAGCAGTGGATCTTGAGAGTTGAGAAAGGAGGGAGAGCGGTTCAGTCAAGAAAGGATTGCGTGGCCCGCCGGAGCGACTAAGCCGGACTTTGCTGAAGGGTGCCAGCTGGTTCAGCCAATGGGAGGGCAGCATAGGGTCTCCGCTGATGTAATCGGGCTGTGCCAAATTTGGTATGGTTTTCGGTATTGTACTGTGTATTGTGTATTGAATCCGCACGGTATTATTAGAGTCTCCCATCCCATTGTAGTCTATTGTAGTGAACTATCTAGTGAACTATCTAGTGATCGTAAACAATAAGTGTACTCATATACTCTATACTCTGTACTGACTCTACACTGATACTGATGTTTCCCTGCTCTGCCACACCCCTGGCTACCCAGGAATGCTTCTCCCTAATTCTTAGTGGTTGCACCTTCAACGACATTCTTCGTTGAGCAGGGGGTATTCGGATCCATAGATTACATCCTCCGTACATCACTACTTGTACACAGTATCCATACTACTAGCACTAGCATTGTGGGTGCTCCCGAAACAACTGGGCTCTCCAGGGTCTTGGCGCGGGCCGCTAACCGCCATCGCGGTCCAGAGTAGAGTGCCTCCTTTCAGTACTACTCTCCCTGAACAGACCCTGATAATGAGGGTCTAGAGATCTTTATTCTATGAGAATAATAAATATCGATTCTAGTATGAATATACTACCAGTAACTAAGTAGTACTATTAAATCGACCACCAAAAATAGAAACATATATCGCCTACTGGTATACTCACCAGCACCTCGTGACCACTACTCCTGGAAGAGTTTCCTGTGTGAGATCAAACCAACGCTGTTTCGCTGTCGGCAAAACCCCGGAAGTTGGCCGCTGCTAATCTTCTCACCTACAATAAGCTTTTTCTCGAATGACAATCTAGTGTGGTTTGGTCCGGTTTGGTCTGCCCAGGCTGGTCTGGTTTGATCTCGGGATAAGATGAGACGAATGACTAATCGGCAAGTTACCCAATAGGGCTAGGCTAGGTCCCACGAGCTTCAAGTTCAAGTTCAAGTTCAATTCTGGACCCATCGCATCCATAAAATAGTTGTTCCTACTAACGCTGTACTATGCCACCCTCGCCTCCCCGAATGTCTCATCAGATCCAATTCTGCTCTTCGGAAATCCGTCTTCACAGTGGCGATTCCAATGCGCAGTTCGTGTTCCGGTATAAGTTATAGCCGGCCCCTCGGCCCAAAGAGTGGATCGACTGAGAGCAGAACTTTGTTCGAGAGCCTAAACTTGATTAAACTGGGTCTCCGGCTTTAATCCCCCTTTTCAGCAACGATCACCTAGGGCTGAGACTCCGAGACTCCCACAGCAAAACAAAGCAAAGCAAAGCCATTCCGAGGCTGAGCTTAATCGTCACCCCTACTGCGTTTTACTGTCTGCGCCTCATTGCTACAACCTGGGAATGGAGTACGGTGTACAATACACACTACTCGTAGATCTAATTCAATTAAAAATAGCCCGCCACCGTCTCACCGAGTGTGGCGTTGTGAGCCGCCAATAGTCAGGCGATCATCGAGTTGCTTGTTGCCCTTCGCGGTGAACACTCTGTACTCCGTCCTCCGTACATTAGCATCGGAATTCCTCCTTCCTGATCTCGCTAACTGCGGGTCATTCTCCTTGGCCATCGATCCTCAATGCCGAATCTCGGCCTAGGGACCATACGGTTCTCAGTTTGGGTTTGGTTCCTGGTTCGGTATCCACAATAGGGTTTCCAACACGTTTTTGCCTCCACTACATTCACTACTATCCCACTGTCTACCGTCTATAGTTTGGACACTATTTACTCATAATGTATTATCCCGATTGCTCAGGGCCCCGGACTTCAATAATGAACAGAAAAAATCCAGCAATCCAGAGATCTTTGTTAATAATCGGATTTCAGGACCGCGGCGAACCACGCCCTATGTACCCCGTTCATGTCGCCTAGATAAAAATACCTACCAAACCATCCCATCCCGCTGACAACAGTCCAAGTCGAGACTTCTGCACCTTTGGTCGTCTGACGACGCGTCCTGCCCGCCCCGCCAGGCCCTGATCACCCAGCCCTGGCCAGCAACCCCAAGACCCTTGACCGAATTCCCAGCAGGGTGGTCGGAGCTCTTTGAAGTTTTGGTTCTCTGACGACTGCAGGCTTCTAGACCGATTTGAAACCCGGTCCAGATCTGATGGTGTGACGAGACCTCCCCAGGAAATCGATCTGGGACCCGGGATCTAGATCACCCATGAGCTTAATCGATATCTGGACGAAAAGTTTTTACATGGTGAACCGGCGTTTCTACTCAGTCTCGAACGTCCATTGACAAATTCCATTGCTTCTGGAACTTCCTGATGATTCTGCACTCGACACTCCCCTTGGCATGGCTTCCACGTGGCAGTCTCCGTTGGACTTGACTCCCGGACTTCTATCTTTTTCGGTGAGAAGGTCCGGTGGAAGGAATCTCGATTACTGGCCATTGAGGCCTCGATGGGTTGTCTAGAATTATGACGTTGTCCCCTCAGCGAAGATTCGTGAATGTGTCACGCGAGAACTTACCCAACCGTTGGATTTGATTCTAGGTTTGATTAGACAAGTTTAAACTGACTCTTAGATGATTCTCCCGGAAATGAACAACTCCATTCTGACATAGCGAAGCTGCAATTGAGATAGTTGGCGATCAGGCTGGTTCAAGTTTACATAGGTAGGATATATTGAAGACGGTGGCACCCGGGCATCTGGTCGAATGATATACTGAACGGCCGAAGAACACATGAAATTGCAAGTATGAAGCAATCGTATCTACTCAAGTTAATGAATCTTATAAGGCTCATCAGCTTGCCATTTAGCTCTAATAGTAGTGACCGCTTCGATTCGCTCCTGGCGACTAAAGTTTGCGAATAGCTTCCACATAGGACGCGACTCTATACCGCTCAGATAAACTGTCACCGACAGGCATGAACGGGGAGTCGCGATCACAAATTGATTACCTCAATCCTTTCCTTGAGCTTTCAAACATTTACTGAGATTGACAGCTGAATTTACTATTAAGTAAAATTATGTGAGCGACATAATTCTAATCATCCTCACAAAACATCTTCTTTTGGCCCCCATTAGTATCACGTAGTATTCAAGTTGTCGTAGACTTCTTATCGTATTATGTGTTCTTCTTTTGGCTTAGCGCAAAATATGAATCATCTTCCATTTGACCTCAACCACTGTCCGTAGTCGCCTTGTCAGCAAACATGGCTCACGTAGGTGACTTTATATTTGTCAACACTTCGAATCCCGATCGCTTTCGCGACAAAGACATCCAGCGCACCGTTCGAAAGCGCGTGATGCGCGATATTGGCAAGGCGCGACGAAAAAGCAAGCAAACCCCTGCAGTGACCTTTGTCTGGCAACCATCGCATTCATTGACACGACTGGTATCACCGGATCCATGTCCGAGTCTCGGCTCAAATCCTCTTCCCGTGGAGATAGACCCCCGGGCCCTGGAACTGATTCATTTCAGTACGTGACTCCTATCTTGTTTCAGATCGATGTCTAACTTCGAGTCACAGTGAATGCGGAGGCAGAATACAATTACCGACCTTTTCGGAAGATTTGGTTCTCAATGGCTCTGAGCGATAAGAGTGCTTTTATCCTCTGCAAGGCCAATGCTGCCATGTTTCTGGAAGAAATCCAACACCCGGATACGTTTCGTTATGAAACTTGCCAAGAGACTTTGACCTATTATGGCCAGTGCGTGAGACAAGTCACTGAAAGATTGTCGAATGCACAAGAGCGTACTAGCGAGGGAATCCTCACTTGCATCCTAGGATTGATCTGTCATGATGTATGTTCATCGCACTCATCGACTCCACTCTTCTGACCCTTTCTTTTTAGCTATACGTTGGTACCTTGGATCGTTGGACTTACCACATTCAGGGATTGGCTCGTATTATCAAAATCCGAGGAGGTTTTCTTGGTCTCGACGAAAGAGTCCAACTTTTCGCTTCTTGGTTTGATGTCTTAGGGTCAGTGACTAAGGATGCCCTACCAAATTTACCCAGTTGTTCGATCTATTTGGATGAACTAGTCAAGGAAACCAGGCCCCAGACACAATTTGATCATCTTCTTGATGACCTCGAAAGGGTTTCTAGTGATTTTGATTCTCTTGCCACAATACTTAGGAGAGTACGAGTACTGGCGGAGTACATCAATAATCGGTACAGCGAGCCGGGATTTTGGAAAGTTGAAGATGATATGAGCCCACTTCAACTTCTTGCACCAATCACACATGAGCTGCTCTCGATGCCTCGACCAGATGAGCTGGCATCGGACGGATTTGAAAATTTCCGTGAGATCATGCGACTTGCTCTGCTTATTCTTCTCTGCGGATTGAAAGCAATTTATGGATTCAGTGCAGTTGAAATGCCTACCCTGCAGAATAAATTCATTCGACTTGTTGAATATACGAAGGTGAACCATCAAAGTTTTCCGCTTCAACGTCTGCAGTTATGGGCTCTCGTCACAGTTGCTATGCTCCAGCCTGGGGAGCCGGGGCGGGACCTCCTTATCAGGGAAATATTCGCATGCATGAGATCATTTAATTTACCTGACGGCCAAAATGGGATGAAATCTGTTCAGAGTTTTATATGGATTGAAATTATTGCAAAAGATAAAGTTAGACGGCTCATTCATGATATGGACTCGCCGGGTATGACTGACTGATTGACTGAGCGACTAAATCCTGGACCGCTTCAACCACCAGTGATGCCGCCACTAACAGAGATGACTTGCCCAGTAATCCACCTACTTTTCTCAGAAACAAGAAGCAGTACTGCATCGGCAATATCATCGGTCGTCCCCACTCTCTCTTCCGCCCTCGTCATTGGCACCAGCATACCGTGAATTTTATCAGCAACCTCTTTAGGCAAGACTTCGGTATCCACCGGACCAGGCGACACGGTGTTGACAGTAATTCCATGACCACGACCGAGCTCCATGGCCAATGAGTATGTCAAGGAATCCTGGGCAGCCTTTGCAGCAGCGTATATGGCAGTTGGGGCCATTCCCAGCTTCGACGCAATTGATCCGATGTTGATCACACGCCCTCCACGTGGCATATGAGGGACGGCAGCTTGTAGGAGGAAAATTGGCGCATAAACTGTGGAGGAGAAGGTGGCGTCGAGAGAATCACGAGTCGCTTGGAAGGCTCCATGGGGTGCACCTCCGGCTGCATTGTTGACTGAACGATAGTCAAGCTATTAGTCTTTGTACTTTAGAATGATACGGGACAACCAACCAAGAATATCAATGTGATCGATGTTCAAAGAAGCCCGAGTCTCGTCGATGAGTCTCTTCGCGCCCTCCACTGTTGATACATCTGCTTGGACGACAATCGCCTTGCCCCCCAGGTCACTGATTGTCCTGACCACACCGGCCGCTCGCGATGCAGTAGCATCAGAGACGTGATTGATGACCACGAGAGCCCCATTTCGAGCGAGGGTGGTTGCAATACGGGCACCAATCCCGGTCTCTTTCCCTGAACCAGTGATGATGGCAACTTTGCCATGAAGGTCGAGGGTATCAGGCGTCATTGTGAGGAGCGAGAAAGGGAGGGATGGAGAGAAAAGAAATAGAGAAGAGAGAACTGCAATTGATGAACTTGAATTTATCTTGAAAGACTGGATTTCTGGCCCTCTTTATACCGCAATTTTTGCTCTTCTTTCCATTTCTTTTGTCAGTGTTCATCCTTCACAGATCATGATACGAATATCCTTACCCGATTCAGAAAACGGTGTTCCTTAGCTGCATCCAGCCCCACAGCCAAGGAGATAGCCAATTATTGATCGCCCAATTGCGAAACGGCGCTCTACTAAAATAAGACTAGTAGTTTATTGTTGTTGGGGGGATGAATATGACGCGTCGAGTCTATCTCCGCGAAGCGCTCTGATGCAATCCATCAGCTATATTAGGCTATTTGAATAAGTACGCTCGTTCAGTCAAGTCTACAGTAGGCTAATTGCTTCTTGTATGGGTGGAAAATTCATTTCTAGTATTTTTGCGCTAATATTTCAAATCGTGGCGGGTATATCGATGTGTTTATGTGTACAATACGGAAAAGCCAATATAAACTGCACGAATTAGTATCGCTGTTCGAAGTTCGTAGTTCACAATTCGCTTGGGTAGGCGGATCTTGACATACCAGTGAAAGCCTGTATGACCAACATCCAGACATTGAGTCTGATGGATGGCGGCTGGCCATTGTCCCGGTTAGCCACCGAAGGCTGAGCCGGGGCAGAATAAGCGGGGAGGTGAGGGTCGGTTGTGTTGTCGTCGAGTTTCTTCATGTTGAATTTGGTTGATGTGTAGTTGAAGTTCTGCAGCATGCCCTCCTGCTGCGCGACTTGGAAAGCCGCCCACCACACCGATGCCATCTTCTCGTAAGCGGCATCATCCGGATGAACTCTGTCCACGAGCTCGTCGACTTTGATAAAATGGCTCATGTCGGCGAGAACGATCCTGTTGTTCCTTGCGCGACGATAAGCGACGAGATTGCGGAGTTGCTCGTTGATGGTTTCGACTTGTTCGGGCTTTTTCCCATTTGGAAGTAGCGTAGATAGAATAATGGTTGTTCCTTCGATGCTGTCAAAAAGCTTTTCGATGAGAATATTCATCCGGGTACCGGCGGAGTAGATGCGGTGGTTTTGAAGCGCATCGTTTGTGCCCGCACTGGCCGGGTGTTAGAATGTGTCAAGGTAAACAGGAGGAAATGATCGACATACTTGATGAGGATGAGATTCGGTTGTTTGGCAAAGTCCTCTTCCGCTTTTGGCAGCAGTTGGTCTATTCTAAATCCGATATGGCCTTCATTGAACTGGAATGAAGTCAGTATCAAGTCATTACCCCGCCGGACAGGGGGAGGGGCTGGCGTGGGGGGACTCACATTGTCGCGCATGGTGCCCATTCGTCGACTTCCGACCATTTCAACGGGCCATCCTTCGTAGCGTAGTTGTCGTCGAATCCAGTCTCTGTAGCCGTTTCCATCTGTGGATTTGTATCCAAAAGTGATGGAAGCGCCGAGGGGTAGGACCCGGAGGAGGAACTTTCCATCGTCGCCCTGCGAGGTGGTCGAGGTGGTCGATATAACATTGGCTCTGGTGTCAAGCAATTGATCGGGAGTCGCAAGAGCCCAGACGAGAGTGAAAGGTGATAATAATGACAGCCATAATAGACAAACCTGGGCGACCCAGTGGATGGGCGCCGGTTGCCTCATGGCGAAGCAAAAGCAGGAAAATTGTCGCGTGAGGAGATGAATCGCATCAAGGGGAGAGACGACAATCTTAACTTAAAACCAGATAGCAAACGGCAGGACTAGGAAGAAATATGATTGGGGAATCAACTTGCCTTGAGTAGTTAGCATGTACGAGGTACGGAGTACGACGATCCACCGGGAAATCAGGCTGGACCTTTCAGGAGTGAAACACCGCCCGGATCAATGCGAAAAAAAGGAAAAAGGATCGATTTACCCAACTAAGCCTCTTTCTAAAATTACCGCGTGGGGGAAAAGGATGGTATGATAGGACGTAGAAATCACGAGAGCGGGCATATCTTGGTTGATTCCACCCATTTGCACTACGCTAGTTTCCGTGGCGACGTTTACTATCCTCAACCTGGTTTAGTACGGTCGGCCAACCCAATTTCGATTTCCAAGCATCTGCCCAGAAAAGCCTTTCACTACAGTGTAGCTGCAGTGTTGGACATGCTGCTCTTTTTGACGAGGCTCTGACCTCAAAGGATTGCTTCCGGGGACTCTGGTCAAACAACTTGAGCAACTGCAAGGCTTACCTGGCACAGCCCAAGCACTACTCGCAACTAACTCTAACCAGAAAAGCAATTTCTGGCCAGGCACCACAATTTGCAAATCTTGTTCTAGATAGGCTTTCTAGCAGGCTGCTGGTTTTAACCCGCACCGCTCCGCACTGCATAGCCCTGAGGCTATTTTTCTCCCTTTGCGACGGGGTCGGGTCGAGGCTACAACTTTACCAAAGGACAAGGGTCCTCGGTGTCCTCGGTGATACTCCGTCCTCCGTCCTCCGCGGTGTGAGGGAGCGAAAGTTTGGGGGGAAATATTTGCCGCCTCGGCCTCGCCCGAGACCTCGCGCTCGAGCCGACTACTCTTAGACTAACAAGCATTAGCCTGAGGCAAATCAAAATCACCCCTGGTGAAAATCAGCGCGACCGACGATACTGCGAAATTTATTGGATCATGCACATGCACTACTAGGCGATAAGCACTAAAAGGGCATACAGATGTACATGTACATACCCTGACCGGGTGACTCACCAGAAATACGCTGCCTACATTTGCAGCTAAAATGTCTGAGAATGTTACATACATCGAGGCGATCTGCCGTTCAGCGCGTGGGACTGTCAGGGTAAAGCTTAGGCTCGCAGGAATGTGGATATGTGGGTATCCCCAAGGGTAGCATTGTACTAGCATCCCCAAGGCCCCAGGGATATCCTTAGACCAAGCGATTTGGACCCTGTGCCGAGTTCCTTTCACAAGGCTAGGATGCGACAAAGAGGCAAACCAAGACGCTAAAGAAGACCCTGAACAAGGGTGGCAACAATCTCCCGCTGCCTCATAGAGAGTCGAGACGGAGGGTACTGCCGGTAGGTACAATCGGAACTTGAAGAATTTTCACGATCTCTTTCTGTGGCCACACCGAGCTCTAGAAAATCCATCGTCGATCGAGCCCGGGTTAGTGCAACCAGTGATTTCTATACTGCCCAGGCGTAATGTCCAATTAGTGATTCTATTGCTTCGCTCGACACTTGACTTCCAACTTGAAAGATCTGAAAGATCTCTGCTTCTCCACACTTTGATTCTGCGCCCACAAAGTGATTATGTAACACAAATATGGCTGACATAAGGGGTCGTGGCATCACAACTGCACCTTTTTGATATTGCAACTACACGTCGATTACGCCAATCATTTGCCCTGATTTCCCCTAGTCACCTGATCCAGTCAGGAATTCAACAATATGACCATCTCAGAATTTCTATCCTCCCCTCCCAACGGTCCCTAGTTTTTAATATATACAATTTCTTTTCTTTAACTATATTTTATTCAGCTTTTTTTGGGAATTTCAATTGGAAGAAAAGGTGTTGCAACTGACGAGGTAGGGGGTGAAGTAATATGACATAATCATTTTGAGGTCGGAGTAAGGAAAAGTGTGGTTGGACCCACCAAATATTCACATTATCAACACCGAATATCAAGAACCCAATACTCGTACTCTAGCCATCCCTTTTTCTGCTACTTCAACAATGAATCAAGAACTCCCTCCACCTGAGGATTACGATAATCCGGCACCGAAGCCAGGCGAGGGCTGTGCCTTGGCAGGGTGCGACAAAACCGAAGAGCTCAATCGTTGCAGTGCTTGCAAAGTCTTCTTGTATTGTACTCGCGAACACCAGGTCGAGGATAGACCCGCTCACAAGACCACCTGTAATGAGATCAAAAAGGCAAGGGCAAATGTTGAGAAGCAAAGGCAGGCTCTCATCGACGACCCCGAATTCAGAAATGACAACCCTTTCGAGAACCATGTTGGCCGTTTCTGGAAATTGCGTGAAACGCGCCCCTACATGATGTCGTTAAGCAGTGAGTCTCTTTTACAATGCCATTGAATTCCTTGATTGCTGATATGCTATGCATTTAGAATTGGCCCAAGCTTTCCAAAACAAACTTTATCGACCTGCACTTGAAGCCGAGCTCGAGGTCTGCATGGAATTACTGAGATTATGCCCAGGAGATAACATGGGTGTGCGCGAAACTGTACCTGCGTTGTTTATACGCCTCAACAGGGACCAAGAATGTTATGACTTCATCAAGTGGTGGGCTACCACAGCAAATGAGAGAGACTACGACTGGGACACATCGGATCGTTACCTCAATATCAAAAATGCGGACATTTTCGAGCCTTGCGATTTCGTCAATGAAAAATCCCTCATCGGCTCATTGTCTCTCCACGCTTGCATGATGATCTTGAAAATCAAATTTGTGCTGGACTTGATCAAACTACGAGCCACCCAGAACTCAATCGAGAAGATGAGCGCCAATCTTTGTGCCGAGGCCGGCCCGCCGCCCGAGGAGATATTTGAGGAGCTCAAAAAAGGGAAGTTGCAGAAGCTCGGCTATTCTTGCACGCCCCGAGCTCCTTGTTGACCGGGACCTCACACCGAAAATAAATGCGCTGAGGAAACAGATGGACTCATTGTCGGAATCTATTGATCGACAGAACAAGCACTACTTCCCTGCGTTGTTTGGTCCTGATATGGAGCTTGGTGGTGATACGATGTTCGCAATGGGCAGCCCGGAAGAAATGCGAATGGCTTTGAAGAATACATGGCATGCATGGGTAGAATCAACTGGAACACTCTCATTCATGTTATTGCATCGTGAAGGGGAACTTGATATTCATTTCAACCCTGACATTAACATTCATGAAGATTATTAATTGATTTTCGCTCGTTTTCGAAACATGTCTTTATCTTGAACCCGAAAAATACGCAAAAGGAATCTACTCATCCAGGCCAAGGGCGCCCGTTGCCCCTGGTGAAATTTTCTCTATCTTTCCAATAAGCTCGTTGAAAAATGCTCTCTCGATAATTGTGCCATTCTGGTTCGTGACGATACACGATGGACTATCGGATAATTAGTATGGCTATGCAACCTTGTAGATGCCAGAAACTCTGAACTTGCACGTACCGTTTGATTTGACAATTGTCGATATACTGCCCAGAGCTTTCGCGACCTGCTAATATCCCATGAACTGAAGTGAGGAAATGACAGTTAGCTTCCATGTGATGAAATACGACGTGTCTCAGGACAAAAGAGCGCTCATCAACGTACCTAAAGCGCGGCTGCCCATTTCAGTGCTTCGGGCAATGAATCGTTCCCCGACTCGTACGCCGAAACTTTCATTCTCTCGCATTAATTGCGACTTGCACCAGCTGGGATTTGGCGCGTTCAAAATTACCAAAGGCTCCTCCTTGCTCAGCCGTTCGGCCAATGCTCTCACTCCAAAAAGCACCAGCAATTTCGATAAAGGATACCGCAAACTCATTTGCGCGGTTTTCTCATCATTGAGGTGAGAGAATATGTCCTTGCTATCACCTGCGATCTCACTCAACGGAGCGATATAATGGAGGGCCGAGTTGACTATGCTGATTCGAGTGTTTGTCGAGTATCTTTGCGCGGATTCCCGCAATTTCGGAATGAGCAGCATAACAAGCAAGAAAGTGCTGACAACATTGACCGTGATTGTTCTCTCATTGTCTTCTACCATCTCAAAGGTCTCGGTAGCGAGACCAGCGTTGGCAAGAAGAGCATCGAGGCGTGGGAGTGTTTCCGCCCGAGCGGCGAAGTTCTTAACTGAACTATAGCTGTCCATATCCAGCTCCCAGACTTCAATCGTGCTCGCCTCCCGACCGGTCAATTTCAATAGCTCCAATCTTGCAGCTTCTCCCTTCTTCATATTGCGGACAGCCATGATCAGTCGATGCACACCGAGGCGCAGAAAATGGCGACTGGCCTCGAATCCCAGCCCTTGGTTTGATCCGGTCACAATGATAGTCTGTTGCGAAAGGTCCCCTTCAGGAATGGGTAGCTTCACGAACATACAAGAAGCCATGGTCGAGGATAGACCTTCTATTGTAGAGAGGACTGCCATTGCGGTTGACTCTTAGGATGGGAGTAGAGTAATCGTAAGAGGAATGGAGATTTTCGTCGAGAAAATTGTAAAAGCGTCAGAAATACTTCAGCAAGGCCAATATCCTTCTTTTTATATGTGCGAAGACCTGATCCATCCTTCAAAGCTATGATAGGTAAGCCTTTCGAAATTAAGGCGTGGGCTTCAACGGGGGTATTACGCCCGCTCCGGATTCTTTCAGCAGGGGAAAACCGCCCCAAATTCTAATTCCGGATTGTCAAGTACATCTAATCTGGATTGAATTTCAAGGGGTTTACAAATGGCTAGCGAAAATATTACACCAAAAATAAGGGAATTGCCACCCGAATCTCAAAACTGAGGGCGTTGAACACTCTTATAACTACTCTCCGAGGCAAGACCAGACGCTTTTTTTACGGTTATACGTCGCTAGTGGTTTTAATTCTTTGACAGTAATTATATTTTCTTTTCGATGAAAGTTATGATTTAATGCGGTGGTTTCTCCAATATTCTGGTGATTCGCGGAGGTAGTTCATAAAACCCGCGATCTCTCGGGGTTATTAAATCCGCCCCGCCTCTCCCTCACCCGACCGACATCTGCCTACTCCGATAGATACTATAATAGCCTGAGATTCATCACAGTCAACATTCCTAAGGTTGGCTTGAGATTTCCTACATGGAAAAGATTGAGAAGCGAAATCGCCCGCCGGTCTCTTGCGAACCGTGCCGTGGCCGAAAGTAATTAATCAGGCCCAAAGTCTTGCTTCAGGCAACATCTGATACGCGCCCTAGATTGAAATGCAACCGCCAGTCGCCCTGCGATACCTGCATCAGAAGGAAATGCGCGTTATCTTGTCATTATGCTGCAAATGCCGACCGTAACAGAGCTTTTCCAGCGCGAAACAGCAATCTCAACGATAGACTTCGAAATATTGAACACCTGGTGTCTTCGTTGATAGGCAAACATTCTGATGAGTTATCACCGTCCGATCAACCGTCGATTTCCACAGCAAAGCTATCTGGCCATCCCATCGAACACACAGAGCTACCGAACACGAATGTCCCACCTGAGAAAGAGACTTTGAGGTCCTTGCATGATCAGAATGGCGAGGCAGTTTACACCGATCCAAGTCACTGGATGTCAATCTTGCAAGAGATCAAATGTGTGCGAGAGAGTTTGCCTTCTGAGGAGTCTAGCGCACCTGATGAGACTCCCCATCTTGATGACGGGCCTGATTTTGATCTCAACCTGAACATGGGGCCAGGCAATAGATTCAGTATTTCCGACGCTTTGACATATCTTCCGGTGCAGCCCGTCTGTGACATGCTACTGTCTAAATATTTCAATTCTCGTTACATGGTCTTGGGTAAGAGACCGACTCGGGGCTCCTTTGGCTGACGCTCGCTGATATGCAATGATTTAGGAATTGTACATTACGGCAAGTTCCGCAAAGAGGTAAGTAGCACAAGCCTCTATTCAAAATTACAAGATGTTGACCGATTAGTACGAGGATTTTTGGAATCATCCCCAGGGGACCTCTTTTCGCTGGCTTGCTCTACTCCTTTCTATACTGAGTGTCGCGGTTACCTGCTATGACAAGGCAAGCCCGGCCAATGGCTCAGCCCAGAGACGACCTTCGGCGATTCTTTTACAGCAAACCACTGCCCGATGCTTGATATCAGGGGGGGTACGGAACCGCAAAAGAATACTCGATCGAGGCTTTGTTCCTCTATCTACAGAGCAGGTTCATGAATGAGACTAGCTCGACCACGCAACTATGGCTAGAACTAGGAACCATCATTAGACTGGCGCTTCGAATGGGGTATCATCGCGACCCCGATGGACTTCCGAGCATCTCTATTTTTGAGGGAGAGATGAGAAGACGCGTTTGGCTCAATATATTCCAAATCGATGCTCTCGTCTCGTTCCAAATGGGGCTTCCGAGTATGCTTCCTGCCGAATATTGCGATACTAAACCGCCAGGAAACTTTCACGATACGGACCTTTCAGCCGATATGGACCACCTTCCAAATTCCCGGACTCTTGAAGAGGGGACCCCATTGAGATATGGCATTGTGAAGTGCAAAATCATGAGCGTTTTTAAAAAAATTGTTGGCCACACACAGCCTCTTTCATCGCCGGAGTACAGCGCCACGCTTGCTTTGGATAGAGAGATGAAAAATGCCTACGAAACAATTCCCGATGTTATGAAGCGGAGGAATATGTCAGATTCCTTCATAGACGCCTCGGATATAATTATGGAGCGATGCACATTGGAACTACTCTACCTCAAGGGTATCGTTGTCCTTCATCGAAGATACATTCGACACGAGCCTCATAACCTCCAATTTGAACCCTCGCGTCGATTCTGTCTGGAAGCAGCGCTAGAGATCCTCGCCCGCCAGGCTGACATCTACAACGCTACACTTTTCGGAGGACGCCTTCATGAGGATGCCTACATGGTGACTACACTAACGGAGCATGACTTTCTCCTGGCTGCAATGGTTGTCTGCTTTAGATCTTTCGGTGCAGATGGAGTCAGAGGTACCCGAGATCTCAAATATCGAAGGGAGTGAAAGCTTTATAGCGAAGAAATTCCATGCCCTTCAGACATCACAGCAAATATGGGCAGCTAAAAGAGGTTCCCCATCGCAGTCGCATATCGCCTCGATAACGCTTGACTTGATGATTCGAAAAGTGACGGAGAGACAGGCGAGTGTTCAAAACACCTTGGATGAAAGTCCCCACGATAACGATCCATGGATGGGGGCTGGGCTACCTTATATACAAATGGAAGACATGATTGATGGCTCCGAGGCTGTGGACTGGGTCAGTTGCTGCTAAATTATGGAAATTTGGAATATAGCTAATATCGTTTAGTCGCTGCTGGATCAGCTTTTTCAGAACCAAGTCATGGAAACGAAGCATTGAGTTGGAAGGTACAATTGAAACAAAACTCTCAGTCGGCTAAGGGGTTCCGAAAATAAAAATAATTAATTTCAAACAAAAGTCAGAGATTGACAAAAATTCTGATGATATGAAGACCCGCACATACTTCAGAACCCACCAACGCCTCGTACGCGTTTAATTGCCCCAACAGCCCCTTTGGCCCAGCCAAATTTCCCCGGATTTGTGCCCACTGACCCATCTGGGATTTTTCCTGTCTCAGGGTCATGCCAGCAGCCATCCTTGCTACTAGCCGCGCCGTACTTGAGTGTATTTTGATTCCTATTGATTTGCTCCAACCAAGATTTGCAAATGAAGCTCGAGTCAATCAATACATTGACCTCCTGGCTGTGATAGAATGACTGTGTGTCAAGATTCCCATTTCCTAAAGAACCGTTAGAATTTTCATCGACTCGTGCATTGGCTCAGCATACCTTGAATGGCGATCTGCTCATCAACTATCATCAATTTAATATGGCAACTCCGCTTCTTGAAAGAGTTATGGATAGGGCGCGTTTGATCTTTTCCCACATAGTAGCAGACACGCAA